GGGCAAGCAGGCACGTCCGCAGTTGTCATAATGTAGTCTCAACCTTATTAGAAATATTTTGGCTATTGTTATCATAAGCAATTACATTTCTGTATGTTGGGAGATGCCAAATGTTTCACCTTTTGACCTAATAGCCATGCAGACTACTGACCCACATTTGAGACCTCAGCTGGTGGAAAGGGAAATCTGTGAGTTGTAAACAAAGCATAGGAAGTAAAGGAGGAAGTACTTCAAGACAAAAACAAAAGCATGAAGTGTTTTGTTTTCTTGAGACTGGAAGTGTCATCTGTTTGTCACAAGAGAAACAAGAGTTTAATCGATCCAATGCCATGAGTGAATGTATATGCTCATTTTAGTGAAGAGAGCAATGCAAAATCCTGATATGGCTGTATTTTTGCATTGGAACACTACTGCCATATAGTTCTACCATAGTCTCAATACCAAACATGCTTATTTAGAGCTAGTCATTTTAACATAATTGTTTAATTATGCTACACTTTGGACGATGACAGATTAATTTTTCAAACAGCATACCTTTTGGTGACCTTTGGTAGGCCAGCCTTTTATGTCAGTTACTCAACTGATGGTGGATAAAGGCATAAGGCTTAAAATAGAATAAAACTGAAAGCACACCTACACTATAATACACAAATAACATCTACTTTGCACAATGCAACAGATGATTTAGATGCTTTGTGTTAATTAGGGTACTTAATAGGCCTGCTAAATATGTAGGCATTTTATTTAGCCTAGTGTACTATACAGATTCTGACCTGTGTTGCTGAATGTTGAATGTTTCCAATACTACTTTGTAGTTGTGCATTGCACTTGTATCCTGTAGCTACGCTTCTGGCAGTTTATTATTATTATTATTATTATTATTATTATTGTTGTTGTTTTGATAATCAGCGTGTTATTTCATCGTAGTCTAATAGTCGACATAACCCGTCAGATTAAAACCTGTTTCACGGACACATGACACTAATAAGACAACAGCTGCGTAAGGCCATTGCCGTGCTATCAGTCACCTTTAAAGTCCAAACTCGCACATAAACAGTTCTTTTTCCTACACTTGTGGGGGTTTTGCATTGAGCACGTGTTAAAGATTATAATACCCCTCCAAACGGCCACTACAGCTCGGAGTTGTGCTCATAGCCGCTGCTTATGCTGTCGCCCGAGCTCTCTCCCAGCTGACCTACTTTCTCAGCCCTCAGCCACACAGCCCTGTTTACAAGCCACTGCCAGCGGAGGATGTGGAGTACAGAGCCTGGAAAATACACGGACATCGCGAGTCGCAACCAAATCCTCGAATGGGAAATTTTATCGCGCATACTCGATATTTGTACCTCCACCGGGCGGATTATTTGCGATGCTTAGATAACTTAAATAGTGGTTATGCAATTTAACGTGTCTATTGCCAGCGACTTTACGCACGGCTGCTAGTTTGATAAAATGACTGAAATTAAAGAGAAAGTAGTGCTCAAGTGCGCATTGCTGCTGAAGACCAGTTTTCAAGGTATGTGTGGATTTTTGAAGCGTTTTCTTTCGTGTAAGTGGAGACATTGTTGTAATCTTGTGCCATATTTTCATCGTCAAAGTTCACAGGCACGCCGATATGATTAGCCTACTTGTGGAGTCAGTTAATCATTTTCTACCAGACCCCGTGAATTATGTCCCAGCGCAAAAGGCAGAGCATTTGAGATATTATACTTGGGTTTACGAGACGCTCTTGAACGTTGCTTACACGTTTTGAGCTCTCAGTCAGCAAGTGCCCTGGTTACAAGGCTGAAAAAATAACCTATTTTCCATTGCTGGTGACATCACTACACAGAGATTTTCATATTTTCCAAATAGCAATACTGGTACACTGTATTTCTGTTATGTTTACCTTGCTTCTTAGCCTGTAGCTTGCCCTGTGTCCATAGACTGTATGCCTGTGTCATGTAGTTATGACACCTTGATGATTTTTTGGGTCACTCTTTGTTTTCATATGGTTTTTAAATATTACAGCAGTTCTCAGTTTGACCCTAATTGCTTGTTGTGTAATTACTATGTTACTATGCACATACATTCACATAGGTGCTTAAAGGGGTCATTGAGTGCGCTCTCTACCCCCCTGTTTCTGTCATAGTGGGCATTTGTCCAGTTGTAGTGCTTCCTGTTTCCTTATCACCTCTCGGCTTATACATTCAACAACAATCACAACACAGCACCTTTTTTCTTTTCTTTAAATCTTGGACACAGAAATGAATGACCCATATAATCAAATAGGCTAGATGTTTCATGCATTGAATTGATTTTGATGAAGTGGGAAAGATTGGATTGCAATAGATCAGTATCAGTTGACGGACTGAATTCAGAAGCCTACTCATAATTTCAAAATATTGTTTAATAGTTGCTGGCTGTATAGTAGTGTAATGGAGTGAATCTTTCATTAATTGTTTGCCCCAATGCAGTTGTTAAGAGATGTGCCATTTAGTAAAAAAGAGCATTGCCTGTAATGCTGACCTGGCTGGCTGGAATGTTCAGTTAATGTTCTCTTAATTTTTTTGTTTCAAATTAAAGAGGTGGGCATTTTTATCATCTCATCACCTGCTCTATAGCTTTGGGGATATTCAGTACGTGTGATAAGTTTTATTCTGTTATATTTTGTGATAACACATTACATAAATATTTTATGTCATTATTTTACATTCATTTTGCACATTCATTTAAATTTGTTCAAGTTTGTTGAGATGAGTTGTTGACCCAGTCTGACAATCTTGCAATACATCCATCACCACAAGAGCAACAAAATTGCTCAAACAATGTCTCTGCTACTTCACATTGGTGTGTTTGTTACACTGTGTGCTTGAGCTTGCTGAACTCTGCCGCAAAACCTTCCACTGATAACAAGTTTACAAGGTACTTATTGCTTACTAGATTATTTATTATTTATTAAACAGCAGATAGTGATTAGTAAGTGCATCACTAAACACCTTGAAGCAAATATAATAGCTTCATCAGACCAAATGGTTTTGAAATATATTAAAAACATTTGTATAATCAAAATACATGTACATGACCAACTTTGGCGTAGATGTGTATTTGAATTTATTTTTAGTGGGTTTCAATAAAGATAACCTTTAGCGGTGATTTAGGATAGGCCAATCATGAATTATACCTTTAATTGTTTCAAAATGAAACTGTGACAGAGAAAAAAAAAGTTTATTTTCTCAATCTGATAAGTAATAATGGCTGGAAAAAATAGCCTTTCTTGAATTAGTCATCCTAGCTTCAGTTTTTAATGATCTCCTCAGTATTGGAGCTGACCTGACCTGACTGACCCCATAAGCACACTCAAATAGCTTTCTTTTATGTTAGTTTGATATCAGAGATTGGGCACTATTGACAAAAAATAATGTCCCAATATGGTTGCATTATTTATCTTTTTCCTTCTATCTTAATCTATATTTTAACTATGTGTCGGGAATACACTAAAATGTGTCCTTAAATATCTTGGTCGAGATTCAAGGGCTATAATTAACCACAAAGATGCAGAAGTTTCTGTTTATTTTATTTGTAATCCTTTTTTTTTGGTAATTTTAAATAGTTTTAATCATAGATGATAAACTTGTTATTCAAATTTTTCACATTAACCAAACAACAGTTGTAGCATTATCCATTTTGATGACACCTCCCACATCACAAGATAGATTTTAAAGAATGATTACAACTAGAAACAGTAGCTCACGGGATCTATATGGGTCACATTTGACAGCTTTGTGTGTTTTGGCCACACCTCAATAACTGATGCCACTCACTGATTTTGATTTAGCAGCTATGCACAACATCTGCTATGATCCACTTGTGTTTGAGCCAGAAAGTGTGATCATCTTCAACAACCTGTTTGGTGGTTAACTACATAGTGACAGTAGACTTGGCCTATGCATGACGGCATTCCTCACATGGATTTCTTTATTCTTGATGAATGGCTGAGACGCCCAGTATATTTAGGCTGCAGGGATGAGGGAAAATTGTAAAAGGAAACAACTGTCTGGAAATGACTAGGCTGTCTGGTTTCTGGAGGTGAATATTGTTTTTCTCATTAAAGTCCTCATTTGTGTACGTTTCAAGTTTCCAAGCTGAATCAAAAATGCCCTTCAATCTGTAATTCCACACAATTCTACACAATTCTAGTAGCATATAAAACTGTTTGTTAGTTATAAATATATGTACTTGTCCAGTATGACCACAAAGTTGAAATGTAATACTGTTTGGTGTTAAAAGGGCATTGGGCAGAGAGTTCATTAGCTTATTGTCAGGAACGCAAAACAAAAATTAGCCTAGACAAACACAAAATGAACTTACCAACACATTACTTTACACATCAGTACTTTAGTCTGAACCGTAGTTTGTACTTTGTATCTTAAAACAATCATTGGTCTAACCCTAACCCTATGCCAACATTCTCATATGTTGCTGCTGTTTGACAACACAGTGGACATGCATTTGTACAGTAGTAATATTGAGGTTGAAGAGCTGTGGTTTGTTTTACTCAGTGATGGAGACAAATCAGTTGTAAAAAATAATAATGATAACTTGATGAGGTTCTCTCAAGGAACAAAACAGAGGGCATGTGGACTTCAGCTGTAGTAGGGCTGCACAATATACCACAACCAAATTTAAGTGGTAATATAAAGTGGGGCAACATGAATTACCATATTGCAGAGATTGCAGGTTTTTGCTAATTTTTGCTAATATCTTGTCTATTTAGGGTGAACATGTTTACCCTGAAGTTTAACCCTTTACAAGCTGTAAACTATATGGGATCCCTATATTAGTGTAGCAGTTAGTAATTCAGTCTTCTCTCAGATATTACTGCTCATGGACGTTTAAAATGTAAATGCAATGTAAACTGTGAATCTCTAATTGGAAACATTTAATAATAATAATATTTAATAATAATTTGCATATCTCATCACAATACTTCTCAGTTGGAACCTTGTGTTTGAATAAACTTTTTCAGCCTTACTGTGGAGTAAAGCAGTGCAAAATGATGTCAAAAGCAATGTATAGTTAGTCATAGTATATTATAGTATAGTCATTTTAGCAAATGATAAGAATCCACCTAATTCTGATAAGTTTTATAAACTTTAAAAACACGGAGGAGTTTCATAGAAAATCACTTGATGAAGTCAGTGTGGGGGAGCATTTCGGGCCTCTAAGACAGGGGTCAGATTATATATGCAGGATATTGCAGTACATATTAAAGGTGTGCAGTGTTATTGATAATGTGGTTGTTATAACATAGCTGTGCACTTCGTGTGATTTGAACTTGAACTTGACTTGCAGCAGGAGTTCAAGTTGCTGGTTTGAAGCTTTACTGTCCCCTGAGGCCCCCTTGTAACCAGACTCTGGTGTTGTTAAGCTGTTAAACTTGTAAGGTGTGGTTTAACCTCAATACATTTAAAGAATGCAGGTTGATGCGGTTTCACTTTACCCAGCCCCCCAAGTAGATACTGCATAGTTTGTGACTGTTTGACTTCTTGGTGGGGCTGCAAGTTTGATCTCAATCAATTTAAAATCACAATTTGAATGGTGGCAATTCCTTTTGTAAACTACAAAATGACCCTTCTTATTATGTGTAAAATGCTCCTGTGTTTAGAATGTGAGCAGAATTATGTTATCAATACATATTAATAGTTTTTAAAATTTCCACACGAACTGAAACACTACTATGCTAAAGTTTTGATTTCTCTTATATGACAAAAGAACTGATTAATCACAATTTTTAATATTACTATTATTATAATTTTCTTCTTAATAATAACAAATAAATGCCTTTCATTATTAAATTCCTGAACAATACACACTTGTAATCATTGCCATTTAACACGAACCTTTGAGTACCTAGAAAGTAGAAAAGTGCTGTATAAAAATGTGACTATTCAGTAATTTTTTTTTTACAAAAAACGTTTAACACAAAGTTGGAACTCTGCTCTAAACCACATGCATTTACTGACAGAACATTGGCTGTACACCTTTTACTTAAAAAGAACCATAAATATCACTGACAACTGCAAATGGCTGAATTTTGTTCTTGATTAAAATTTGATTTATTGCAAAGGTCTAAACCTAAGGCAATGTAATGATATCCACAGTGGGTCAGTAGGTTTATCTAGGTTTAAGGACAAAGGGAATGCACAGAGTGGTACAGTATCAGATGTAAAGTTACTCCTGTTTGTGTTCAGAATGTATGCTATACTTTCTTTAGGCCAGTACTATGTCTTATGGCTTCAAACATAAACTAACCCCAAGACATTAACCCTATGGCCTGTGAATAAAATATTTTCATTATTTACAATATGGTGAAAAAAGTTTATCCGTGTATTTATTTATTTTGTCTGGCACATATGTCTGCAGTTTTCTGAGAGATTTGACCTCAGATGTGCTGCTGTCTGTCTAAGTTATCTTTTATTCAGGTGGAGGTGAATAAGGTTACATGATGGGTATCATAAGAGCTTTGTACTTGAGACATTTTTCTGGGTCAGGAGAGCTCCTTCAGTGCAAGTACATCTTCACTGTTAAAGTACTGGTCTTACAAAACCTGAAGAATGAATGGTTACTTCAATACTTATGTCTTTTAGACAAGACAGACAACATGACTCACTATTTTTCTTTTGTGTTGCAGGATTTGCTGTCTTTTGGGTGACCTCTAAGCAGTGGAGAGAGGAGCATCTACAGTAGGTTTTTGCTGTTGAGTTTTGGGACACAATCAGCGCGGATGGGCCAGATAAGACTGCAGAGAGGGCCTGGCTGGGAACTGGAGTGAGCATGGACAACCTAGCCGACTACAGTGGCTCCTGTGCATCCACACACAGGGAATGGGAGTAAGTATTGCATAGTGTGGTTTCTGTTTGCTTATTTGGACAGTGCTTGTTGCTTGATGCACATGCATGTAAACACACTGGGTTGTAGTCATGGGATAATTTCCTTTAGTTGTCCCGCATTTGCTCTCAGTTACAAATATGAGCCAAGGGAGGCAAAGTGTCCCACTGTCAATTTACTTTGTCTGTGGGTGGGTTATTGCTGCTGTCTGAGCAGGGACTCCCAGATTTCCCTGAGCCTAAGCTCAAGCCTCAAGGCATTCTCAGGTAAACCAAGAGACATATGCCCCTTTTACATGGGACCTGAACAGGGCAGTGCAATTTGAAGGTGAAGGTGACAGTTGTCACAAACTGCTACAATTGTCAGTTACAGGGTAGCTGTGGCTACTTAAACCCAGTATGCAGAGTGAATGAATAACGCAATGCAAAGTGACTTTGTTGTCAGGAGAATTTATGTGGTTAAACAAGAGGCTTGAGATGCCACTATGAAGAGCTCTGCGGTTTGGAACAGGAAGTCAGTTGTTAAGATCAATATTGCAGTTTTCTAGAAATATTGTAATTACAATATATAATCATGATCTAGTTACGTTACAGTTCAATGCACAGTACCATAAAAAAAAGCTTAAAAAGCTTATATCTTGTTTAACATTCATAACAAATTCATATTTTTGATTTCTCCTCTTTCAGTGAGGAAAGGGAGAAAAATAGAAAATGCACACTTAAAACATTTCTTAACCAATTCTTAATCTGTCTGCTCAATGCATAAGCCATAACTTGACTCAACAATGAGGAATGTGACCTAGATTCATAAGAAACAGCTCTTTTAAAAACTCCCTTTAAAGCTATTAAATAAAAATAACAAAATGTTTTTACAGCACCAGCAGCTGTGTGGAAGATTTGATGGACGAGGATGAGAAGGACAGGGCAAAAAGGTACCACCACTGTACAATGCAGTTCACTATTGCAGATTTCATAACTGTTTAGGTTGTTAATGCCTTTATTACATTGAATGAATATTGCTAAGCGACTGTGTAAGCTTTGGTTTCTTGGTTTGTTCTACATGTAATGATTGATTTATAATTAAATGTGTTTCATCTGTTCCTTCCCTAAGGGCATCTAGAAACAAATCAGAAAAGAAAAGAAGAGACCAATTCAATATGCTCATCAAGGAACTATGCACCATGCTGCAGGGCCAGGGCCATCCACGCAAGATGGACAAGTCCACCATTTTACAGAGAACTATTGACTTCCTACAAAAACAAAAAGGTAAGAAATGTGTGTGTAACATATTTATATACTTATATACTTATACTTAAACTCAAACATCTTATTGTTTTCAGATATCACTGCCCAGAATGAAACCTGTGATGTAAAACAGGACTGGAAACCCTCTTTCCTTAGTAACGAGGAGTTTACACAGCTGATGTTGGAGGTGAGTTAACTGAATAATTGGCAATAATGGAACAGATAAACAGACTTTACATTGTTGGTCCTGATTGTGCAGTGTAAATGATTAATCTTAATTCTTATATTTCAGGCCCTGGATGGTTTCTTGGTGGCATTAACTACAGATGGAAACATAATTTATGTATCTGACAGTGTGTCTTCACTTATTGGCCATTTACCGGTAAGTTAAAAACAAAAGACATCCATTAAAATAAGTTAAATTGTTGCTAAATTTTGAAGAGCTATATATTCTGTAAGTAAGTATAGACAATAAACAATAATACTGAAGCCAAAACAGAAAGCAGAATTATCTCCTAAAAAGTATTCTAAATGTATGATATTGTTAAAAATATGAGCCATAATAACTAAATAACACTTACATAGTTAGTTTGCATATATATTGAGCTATAGACCTTTATAATTCAACTTTCAACTGCTCAAATCTCATTGTAGTACACAAAAATAACCAACATTTTCTCACTACTACAAACATAAAGTAAAAAAGTACTCAATATTGCCCTCCAAAAATTACTATTCCATTTTACAGGAGAAGCCGATATAGTAATTATAGTGGCAGGCCTAATTGTTGATCCACAATCTTGTATCATAAAACAAAAATCCCATTTTGAGACATGCGTTAGCCCTCATAATTCATCATGTAATTATGTCTGCTATGATCTCTTCAAATCGTCTACAAAACACTGACCATGTCCTGTCTCTTGCACCAGTCAGATATGGTGGACCAAAATATCTTGAACTTCCTCCCAGAGCGTGAACATGGGGAGGTCTATAAGCTGCTATCATCCCACATGCTGATGACTGACCCCATTGCTGCTGACTTTCTAGACAGTGAGTGTCCTCTAGCAGTTTTTTGCACCATCTACTTCATTATAACATTACACAAGCACTGCTCTACCTGTCCAATATGTCTGGGAATTCAACCATCAAAGCCCATTTTCACATAGATATTAGACATATTTATGCAATGAGGTTTTTCCAGACTGGTGATGGCACAGTTTATTTTTAATTTTGTATTACATTTACATACTGAATACAGAAGTTTGCTATATATAGACCAAGTTACCAAATAGGTCTCCTACATGATTGGATTTCTCATTAGCCTGTATCTATGATTAGTCTTTTAGGCTAATAATAGAAACCAGCTTAGTATGATACTTAAGGCTTTAAATCAGTCTTATGTTAACAGTGTAATCCAGTGCAGTAATGTTGTATCTGGGACTCAAGATGCTGACCTTAATCCGTGCCACTATTGAGCTTATGTGAGAACAAGAGGTGGCAGAGCAGGCAGCTCAGTGTAAAAGGCCAAACACCAGTTTGTTCCTTTGCCCTGGTCTGGTTGGACCTCTGAGTTACATGACCACATTTATACGTTGTTAGATATATATATAATAGTTAGTAGAAATAGTAGAAATGTGGGGTTTTTTTGGGTTTTGTTTTACATTTAAAAAGGAACACCATTTCAAAGGACACACATCACAACACAGAGATTACATAATACCAGTGTAATACATTATTTGAACAGAACAGGAGGGCATTGTTTATAGCTTGTTCACATACACATTTATGGGTTTCAGCTTCCTGTTATATTTTGAGGACTTTTTCCCATTCAAAAGATGTTATGTTTTGTTTAAATTGGTCATCTAAACAGTCCTACTTTGTCATTGTCAAACCAGTGGATAATCATATAAATCATTATTTCAGCACATCATCTTTCAGTTAGTTTGTTTTGGTTTGGAATTTTAAAATCTAAATGGGTATCCAATCGTATATAGCTCAAACACAAGGTTCTTTAGTAGTTGCAAGAAACTCTGCTCTGGCAAATAATACGACCATCTGATTTTTAGGTGAGACACATATTGAATTTTGCTGTCATCTGGCCAGAGGGAACATTGACCCTAAGGAGCCACCTGTGTATGAGTATGTTAAGTTTGTGGGAGATTTCAAGTTTCAAAACAGCGGTAAGCATTTTAATATTATCGTTTTAATACTGGTGCTAATGCTATAAAATACTGAATTGAATGTTCTCTGCTCACAGTGCCTACGTCTTCTTGTAACGGTTTGGAGTTGACTTTACCCCGAGCTCTACAGTCGTCGCTGGAGGAGCAGGTCTGCCTCATCGCTACTGTACGTTTGGTCACTCCTCAATTCTTAAAGGTGAGATTAGTATTTAGTCTTTATCTGATTGCATATACATAATCAAAATAACTTGAATTTGGGTGTTCTTGCTTAGATATTGCACAGATGGTGTAGATTAGAATTTTTCTTGCTTATTTCAACATTATGTTTCAAGAGAGTATGTATGGAATGTTTCTCATTTCATTTTAAAAGTAATACCTGTTTATTTCTGCTTTCCAAAGGATTTATGTAATGTGGAAGACGCTTGTGATGAGTTCACATCTAGACACAGCCTTGAATGGAAGTTCTTGTTCTTAGATCACAGGTAGAGTTTTGTTCAGACTAAAATATGTTAAATTTCTTTTATATTCTTTAACACTTGATTTATTTCAGGGCTTCACCAATCATTGGCTATTTACCATTTGAGGTTCTTGGCACCTCAGGTTATGATTACTATCATGTGGATGACTTAGAGCTAATAGCTCAGTGTCACAGGCAATGTAAGTTAGTCTGCAGCTTTATGATTTAGTATTCCTATGATGATTCTATAACACATATATGTAATTGGTATGTAAACATCTTTATTTTTTTAGTGATGCAGTTTGGAAAAGGCAAGTCGTGCTACTACCGTTTCCTCACCAAAGGGCAGCAGTGGATATGGCTGCAGACGCATTATTACATCACCTATCACCAGTGGAACTCCAAACCTGAGTTCATCGTCTGCACCCACACAGTAGTCAGGTTTGTATCCGTACATTACTTGTAACATTGCACATACTTTATTTCTCACAGATAGCCTTTGTTTCACTTATACAGTTATGCAGAGGTCCGAGCTGAGCGGAGGCGAGCGTTTGGCCTTCAGGAGCTGTCTCCTCCTGAGATAGCCCCCTCATCAGTTAAGGTAGGGGTTAAAATGTCTCGTACAAGGTCAGTTCTGATGTGTAAAGCCTGACAACTGAACAGTGTTACTCTGTGTCCCAGGCGCAGGAGCTGTACTTGGACATCTGTTCCACACTAGACCCTCCACGGGACAGGAACAGCGGTGCGCATTCAGTATCGTCCCATAGCTCTCGAAAGTCATCCCACACGGCGCTGTCAGACTCTGCTTGTGAGTCCTTTTTTATTGTCACTGCTGTGAACATAAACTATAGGTGTGATTATTACGAGGTGAAGGTATTATCATTCATGCAACCAATCTTTTACAAACAGGTAATGTATTGGTTATGAATGCCATTTCAACCAATTTTTTTAATATTATGGTTTCTATTTTTTACAAATGTTCTTTTTCAACATTTTGAGCCCTTGTCTTGTTGCAGCTTGTGAGTCACTTTTAAAAAATAATTTATGCTCTTTGTATTGTGTGCTAGCTTTCACTGACTTGCATATTTTGGTGTTGCCATTCTTAATTCAACCATCTCCATTTGTCAGAGCTTTGGTGCATTATAAATACACCCACGCTTGTGACCCCAATTGGCTGTATTTCTATTTACTGAATAATCCACTGACTCAGTTCAAGGTAGTGCCTGCATTTTCCCTCTTTAGACAAAAAATGAACATGATGTCTAAAGAATATGTTAGCTTGTTATTACATTAGATCATTTTTATAGGTGCTGTATAGTTGCATCCTAAAAATGAGTTTAGGTTGTGTATATTAAAACATGTTAAAATCATAGAATTGTCACTATCATGATAAAATAATGAAACTAAACTATAAACTTGCTGTAGTAGAGAGAGTAGTAGTATTGATTGTGTTGATGCTTTCTTGCAGCAGCTAACAGCTACACTGAGGCCTGCACCCCATCATGGCAGCCCTCCTCCATCGGGACCGAGAAGACAACCAGACTCCAGCCCAGCAGTTCAAAGGTCAGCACAAATAACATTTGTATTTGCCTCTTCTCAATCTTTGAAGAAAAAATGTCCCGTTTGAAAATGTTGCACAAAGTTTACACAAAAGCATGTCTGTGACTGTGCTGAACACTTTTGTCATTTCCTCCTGTAGAATTTGGTACAAAGACAAAATTCCTTTGACCTCGTTCCCCAACTGAGCCTCCCTGTCTCTCCTACCTGCAGCAAGCACTCCGGCATGGTTGGTGCTACCATCCCCCTTCCCTTTTACCCTTTGTATTTGCACTATTCACTTGTTAGCTCAGTAAAATTATGTCAGGATATGAAGTTAATTGTTGTAATCTAAATCAAATTCTCACAAATTGCAAATATGTTGGGAAATCATTTATCAGGCCTGTCACCTGCTGGTCTCCTTGGAAATGTTACTGCTTTTTCTAGAATGTTCCACAGCATGATCCATCTTGCATTAGTTTTTAGTTATTTACAAGTCTATTTATTGCTCACAAATTAATTGATTTGACCTTTAACTTGGCCTAGTAACATCACTTGTTTGTCTCCATGAAGATAAATATGTTTAATGCCGTACTATGTAACATTAATGTAGCCAAAGCAATAACATCTCATTGGAGTAAAGCAGGTGGCAGACCTCCCAGAAGTTTTATAGTGACCTAATTTATATAGAATAAACATATTGTAACATATTTAACATCATTTTTTGTATTATTTATTATTATGCATTTTATATTGTACAATTAGTTTTTAAAGAGAAACATATTTTGTGGATATTGTGTGTGTGGTTTCAATATTATATTTTATCACCCTGTTTTCTCTTGCAATCTATCGCTATTGCACTTCAAAATTTGTTACGATGACAGGCCTAGAAGTCACTCAATGAAAAGTCGCATTTCTTTGGTTTATATGAGCAAAAAACACATTCCTTTGTGCTTTATCTGCAAGCAGAACTACCCAGAATACAGATAGAATATTGTAAATCCATAGTCATTCAATCAAGAGTTACATTAAAATCTGTAATTAAAACCTAATTTTTGTTCTCCATTGTTTCAGCAGTCAGCACCCCCACAACCCCCTCAGCCCTCTTCGTTGTACCAGCTCCCGCAGCCTCAGCTCGGGGTGATGACCCAGCTCAAGGAGCAGCTGGAGGAGCGCACGCGCATCCTGCAGGCTGACATCAAGACTCAACAGCAAGAGCTGCATGACATTAAAGAGAAGCTTCACCTGGCTAATCTGCAGGTGAGCAGTCACGCTGAGATGCACTAGGCTAGACAGGGCACATGTGAGGACAGCTTAGTTTTGGTAATGCTAATGTAATTTTTCATAGTATTCTCTCAGGAATGACAGATAGAAGAATATATTGTGATTGAAATTATTGTATAAACCACCTACTGCTTTAGGCTCTTATCTCTTTGCTCTTTAGAAACAGAGGTCTATCCCCACCAAGAGGCCACCCATAGTTATTTCACTCTGTAGGACTTGAAATCCTTTTTGTAAGTGGATAGTGAATCTACAGAAATAGGTTTTGAGTGCAGCCCTAAGAAAATAAAAGCAAAAATACAAAATTCAAGTCAACACATTTTAACATCTTAAAAATCTGCAAATTTATTTCTATTACACTAAAGGAAGTTGACATGGCAGCAGGAATCTTACTGCTAATTTTTTTTAAATATGTGTTTTTAATATATTACAGATGTTGTTACAGCAGCCGATCCACAATGACTTTGGCCAAGATCAGCCCCCTCAACAGCAGGGTCCAGGGAGGCCAGCCCCCCAGAGCCAGGGGTCAGGGGTCATAAGGCAGCACGCAGCACATCCCAAACCACAGGCCTGCGGAGCTCACAACTCCTCACCTCACTCACTCATGAGAGAAAACAGCTCTCCATCAACACAGGTACTAGCACCTTTTTACCAAAACAACTTCCAATTAAATAATAAAGTAAAAAAAAAAAAAGAACTCAAGAGTCAGGCAAAAAATGTCTATAACAACTACAAACTGTCTTCACTGCTGTTGCACTTGTAAATATGGCATAGTCACATGTAGATTATTTATGACTTTTTATAAAGTGGGGTTTTAAAGTGCATTTTAATGGTCATGAAAGAGTGTATGTACAAAAAGAGAAACTGGAGTGTTTCCCCGGTCAACCCAAAACATGCTACACAGGTCTCCAGGAAGAACAGTTGATAGCTTAGGTCAATTAAATACACTCAATCAGTGAACCTGTCCAAGGACTACAGGTGGAAATTTTCACTGGTGCTAAAACCTGGAACAATGCATCGCTCCTGTTAAGGTTAATGTAAATTGTGCACTGTTCCTGTCTCATTAAATAAATAAAGCAATAAATAAATACATTCATATGTACATACATACATACAAACATACATTTCCTGTTCATTAAACAGGCAATACATTGAATTAAAATATAGTAGCAATGTGGCAAATTACCTTACACAATCATTGACATGACAATATATATAATGTGCTCTGTAATTTCTAGTATAAATTGTATGTTGAAAAAGGATGTTCGTTTGTTGTGTATTGTGTATTTTGCTAAAGGTGACGATGATGACTTATATTTATATTACATTTTCTTTTGGAGTCTGACATTTGAATGTTGATTGCTATTGTCAGACTGGCAGTATTTAAGTGTCAGCAGCAGCAAATAATAAGTTATAAGTAATAATAAGGTTTTGCTTCATCACAATTAATGACTGATGTGAACCGTCTGCTAAAAGAAGGATTGTGCTGATGTCCGTTTTGGTTGTTTTGTGTGCAGCCGAGGATTGGGCGCAGCGGGCAAGTCCAGGCTGTGAGTGTACCTGTGCAGACAAACACCAGCCTCACCATGCCCTTTTATAGTAACCCCATGATGTTCTCCCAGACCAATACAAGACCTCTGCAGGAAGCAAACCAAAGACCCTCTGAAAACGAGTTCAGTCAGGACGGACAGCTACGGTAAGAATCACAATACAGTTTTCACCTCAATATCAGTCACCACATCCATACTTTATAGATATATTTCATGTTGCTGCATTCATATAAGGCAGTTTAATGTGTACAGGTTTGTTTGGTTAGAAGCAATTATTTTCAGAACAGAATGCACTGTCAAACACACCTTAGTTTATGATGATTAAATAAAAGAAATGACACACTGTGACAATTTAAATGTTTTTCTACAACACTGGTTATGTTTACATGAAGCCAAACTCTGATTTCTGGAGTTATCAGATTATTGAAATATCATGTAAATATGATGTGAGTAATCTAATTTGTTTGTGATTGTTTTGGGGTTTTGACAAGGACAAAATATATATATATATTTTTTTTTATTGTTACTCTAAAAATCTGTGGATTAGGTGACATGTCTCGCCAGGTGTTTTTGATGATCAGATTTCTTTAGTGCATCTAAACTCACAGACTCACAAATCTCACAAAAATCAGATCTAATCATTTTTTTTATCAGATTATTCTAGGTAACAGGTTTTTACTGGCCATGCGAATGTACCCACTGTATTAGGCCTTTCCTCTAAAACATATTATCACCCACAGCATGCTTCTGAACCAGCCAATGCAGACCCTTGTCCCAACCAGCAGTGTCTCCTCACAGTCTTCACAGTGCAACATGGGCCTCCCCCAGACTATGTAAGATTTTTGTATGGGCATATTTATTAGATTTTAACAGATTTAACATATTTTATTCTTTCCCACAGTTACACATTGGAGCAGCAGATTATTGCGCCTTCATTCTCCATGCCGCAGGTGAACTGTAACGCGGTGCTTGTGCCCTCTCCAGTCTTCACGTCTCCCGTCATGATCCCTCACAACAGTTTTATCTCACATCAGTCGCACTCAGCCTACCACCCCCAACCACAGGCTCCACGCCACTCACTGCAGCTACAGCAGCCTCAGCAGTTCTTTCAGGTACATGCAAACTCTGTGCTGTAGTTATCAGCGGGTATACTCCTGTTTAATGCACCATTAATTAAATTCAGTTCAGTGTATTTTTGTCAAGCCCAAAATCACGACAGCAGTCACCCGTTGATATAACCAACAGAAAGTTAGAAAATAAAACATCATTGGGCAAGACAATCAGATTAACCAACATTCACAAGAAATAGATGTTCTTAGACCCTCCTTCTCAGTAAGGAAACACTTTAAGCTTCAGTCATCACTGAGGCAGTGAGCAACTAGGCCTCTAAAACAGTTACACTGCCCAGAGAGGAGTGGGACAACTGACTACAGGTGAACTAAATATTAAATCTATTTATTTATTATTTACATCATATCTATTCTATCTATAGATTCTAAGAGGGTAGCTCCCACAGCAGCAAGCATCAGCGTAATTTATACTTGTTACTACTGAAAATAAGTCATTACCATTCATTCAGAAATATGTGTTATCCCTCAGTTGTCCAGGTAATTCAGATTTCAGTTTTCTATTGTTATTCATTCAGAAACACCAGTTACACTAGACACTAGACAAAATATTGCTCTGTTAGCAGATATTACATTTGTATTATACTTCTTGCTAATTTAATCTGCTCCATCATCTCCAGTCAGTAGGGACTTATAAGGTCATAAAACGACATGTAAAATGGAAAGTAGTTAGCATAAAGAGCACCTGGAAAAGGAAGACCCATTTTAAAGTAGCATTTTATTTTCTCTGCAGATGACTCAAGGACTTGGATCTACTTCTGCATTCTTGCACACCACAAATGTTCCACAGCAAAGCACTGTGGGATACATTCAGCAGCAGCCAACACAGCAACAGCAACAGCAGAGGCAATACCCACATTCCCAAAACCAGAGCGCCAGTGACTTCCGCAACATGCTGACTCGGTAGCACTGAGACTGGTCTGGTTAGGACTGCCACTTTTGGAAGTAAAAGTACATGTTGTAGAAACCCAGTCAAATGGACTGGTCAGTGCATCTACAGCAGAAGATGGAGGTCACCTGCAGGGCCAGGTCTGGACAGGACCAGAGCCACAGGAGCTTAGACCTGGGCCCAGGGCTCCAGCTGTGGTCAGTGGTGCAACTAATGGTGACAGCTGAAAGGAAGTCTCTCCCATGTGTGATCAGGTGGAAAGATGTCATCCAAGAAAGGATTTTCAGTCAGGTGTGTGTCCGCACTCTGGTACCACTTTACTAAAATTGGGAATATAATTATTATTCCTACCAATAATAATCCTTCAACTATATAATCTTTCAACCTCAATCCCAGTAACCGAAAACCATGCACCTAGTTTGACAAGAATTTTAATCACAATCATATCTTAAAATTAAACCAATGTACAGTTGAAAATATTGTCAGTAGAAAAAAAATTTCAGATTTTTTAAAAGCCTCAGTCTGTCATAAGAAATAATGGGGCTCCTGTTTCCCTCTTTTATCACAGAAAGCTTTCTTCATAGCTTTGCAGTAAAACTTTGGAGGAGGGTCAAACTGTGCCTTTAACTATGGTCTGTCCATGGTAAAAGTTTGATGGTTTAGTCTGATTACGGCTTTAAAAATTCAGCTCAGGTCCATTTGGGATACAAAGTTATATTTTCATAGGTCATAATTTATTGTTTTACAAACCTGAATCAAACAATAGATTTATATTGAAAATGATCTGTTATTTACTGCCTTCACATGTCCCATTTAGAATAGACTGTAAGTTTAACTCAGTTCAGTCATGAAAAACATATACTTTCATTATTTACATGAGACACATAAGATGTCTGGCTATGTATTCATTTACACATTGAAAGGTCACCACAGCTAAGTGTTGTAATATTTGTGATTGTGAAAACTGTTACAGATGTGTATGCTTGCTCATTTGCATCTATTAGCAGTTTTAATTTAATTTTGAAAAATAATTTAACTATCGATAAATATATTTGCTAGATACAAACATTTACCCTGATACAATGTGCTAAATGTTCTACAGCTCATTCTCAGTACTGTAACGCATTGAAGGTCGTACTTTTGTTTCAGTGGAAATTGTCTTGGTTTTGTTTGAAGGACAAGTGCATGTGTCTGCACTCAGTCTTTCCTTGTGAATACAGAAGTAAATACATATTTATTGACTAATGACAGCTCTTAATGCTGTTTTCTACATCTACAACACAAGCAAAGTTATTACAAAAAGAAATCTAGTTTTTCATTTTGACACACCCTTTACCAGTTCTTAGCATTAACGCTAACCGTACAGTCCTGAAAAACTGCTGCTGATTTTCAGACCACTACGAGTGTGTATGTTCAGTGCCGTTTTACACTTTACTATGTGCAATTTCAAATTGAGAAGAATGTTTTTATTGTAATTTACTGTAAACTCTGTGTTGCATATGTATATAGATGTGTATAATAAGCCATGCTACCATGTAATTTATATGGAAGTATTTTTCTAATGAAAATATTATTACATTCCTTAAATCCAGCAGCAGTTTTCAAAAGGTATATATGTCCCATCTATGTTTCCCAAGATTTAAAACAAATGACAAAATTAAGAAATTTAGGATATTATTGTTAGTGATTAATGAGGTATTAAAAGGTCCCCTGTGGAGATCTTTTTATTGTTATTCTATTTGCCTGAATGATTGGGTCTTCATGGTAGTAACTCACTCAAATGCCATATTTGTAAGTTATCTGAAGGAAAAAATATTTCAACTTATTTGTTTAAAGTGCAATTCTTCATTTCATTTAGAGGATGGCTTTAAGGTTTATCATTGGATCAATCCAGTCACTTTCCTTTTTCACTTTGTTCATTAAAAAAGTTAGAGGTGCCATAGATCAAATCATTTACCTGTCTGTGGTCATTGTTTTGAAAAAACCCAAAGATATTTTAGAGAACATCTTCTACTCATTTAGATAGTTACTTATTCTCCCAATACTCTTTGCTGTGGAGTAAACCTGTTGCACACTGTCCTGGAAAGACAGAAAATAAAATTATTTTCTGAGTGACATTGCAATAGTTCATACGTTTTCTTTTTACTCTGCGTGTAGATAAGCTTTAGTTTGAAATTTTCTGTTGCATCTGTTTGTGTTTATAGTCTGTCTGTAGATTCTGCCGCAGAGTAAAAATGGCCTTGATTTTTGGTGTAACCATTTTAGAAAGTATGTGAAATTAATCTGAAATTAAAGTGAACAAGTAATGGTCTGTAAAAGGTTCACCAAGACACAGTTCATTCTGCAGTTTCAGTGCAGGAACAAGGATATTGTAAAATAGAATGTACAAAGTTGAGACTATATTATAGTGGTTTATTTTATATGTTTAATAGATATGTATGTTATATGATTTTGAAATTAAAGTAATTTTGTAACAGATAATGAAGTGTCTTATTAGAAGAGGTAAAAACTTTGCACAGTCTCATGTAATGTATGTATTGTTTAATTTTCATGTTTATTTACAATCAAAATCAGCTTTAAAGATATTTATGTTTTAAAATACAACACAGAGTTTACCCACGAAATGCTAAATTTCAACCTGGATATTGTGAAATGGAAAATAAATATTTCAAACATGTATGGTTATTCTAACCAAATGGGACTACATAAATTCATTAAAAAGCTTTTCATGCATGTGAACACAAAAAAGCATATTTGGGTGCACTTTAAAATCCAATATATTAAAAAAACCTCTGCTACTCTTTGCTATGGTCCATGTCCTGGAAGACTAGAGAGGGTCTGTGCATTTTTAAGTTAAAAGATTTATGCAAATATTGTCTCACAATTTAATGAGAATGGCAGAAATCTTTTACACAAAAATTTGACAAACATGATTTAGTCCATAAATCTAGTCCATAAAAGTCTATTGGAGAGAAACTTCAGTGACTTTGTACACTTTGTTGATGAGGACTTCTACACGGTCTCCTCCGAGATGACACAAGTCCAGGACGCACACCAAATGTAAACCCTCCAACTCTCCAGCTGTTTCCAAAATCTCCTCTAAAAATATAATCAAATTGAATGGAACATCGAATTAATCAGTGTGTAGCAATATGAATGTGTGGTGATTAGTACCTGGCTGTGGATGTATTGATTGACTTGTATCAGAGCTGAGGGGGCACAGGAAGCCAGAGGAAAGGCAAGACAGCATGGTGTTGCCGTGGGGATCCTGTAACAGCCCCACTGCACAAGGCTCATCAGGGTGCACAACAGGAACATAGGCAGCGTCTACAGCTAACTGCCTGTTTACCCCTATGAAATATTAACACATACAGCTTAGATTAATGTATGGCAACCAATAATGAATAAATAAATTAGTTCGTCTGGTCAGTGTGATCTGTATGTAGAGCGATAATTAGAGCATAGAAGTCAATAATGCACAGCTAAAGAGCCCATTATCTCTAGCATGTATTATTTAAACAGCAATATTGAAAGACGCACTGTTGCATTATTGCTGTTTAGAGAATTATTCAATCGAGTATACTGAAAAGGAAATACAATGTTTGTGTAAGAATATAAGAACTCCACAACTTAATTAACTAGAGAAGTTCTTAATAAACACCAAAAGTATTGATTGTTTTGTTACTAGTTTTCTCCAACAGTTTAAGAAAATATTACTGACTGCTTTCAGCAATAAAAAAACATCTTATTCCTGTGATGGTACAAAATGGTGTCCAAAAAAAAAAAAAACAGGCCTCCACCTTCATATGACTCAACAGTGACTCAAATACAGAAAGTAGGTTACCACAATTTCACAATTAACCTGTAGGACAGCATTATTTGTCCAATGAAATAGTTATTCATAGAAGGAAAGGGCATTTAGGAAACAATAACATGTAAAGAAATATACGTTGGATAAGGGGCAGTGCATTATGTGTACCTAAAATGGTAATTCTGTAGTAACCAGGGCAAGCCACAGGTGGGATAGGGTCTGTGGAGTGCTCTGGGGTCCAACGTGCTGGGTGAAGGTTGCTCCAATGCAAAAGAGAATTTTTCTCCTCAAAAGTGAATCGTCGTGAAATGCTGTCTTCATATAAGATGCCTCGATGTAAATGTTCTGAAATGCTCAGCTTTTGCGTCAGCCAATCACTGCTTTCCCAGGATGTGACACCAGAATCTGTAACAAAACTAAAGTATAAGCACTCCAAATATAATAGTATAACAGTAAAAACAATACTTTTTTTAATACCTTGACTATGGAAATTCTCAGTTTCCTCTGGTGAATTGTCAGTTTTATTCTCTTTCTGTTCTGCTACTATATTGTCATGTCTGCTGCTTCTAAAAGAGCAGCATAAAATTAATTTACAATATCGAAATAGTGACACCCAGTTATAATTCAAAACTACACATACAGCACACTACAACTGGAAATCTATAGAAAAAAAAAATCTGCTCAATAACTGTGGTTACCTTTTAGTTGGTGTAACATCTTCTGAGGACTGTTTTCCATGTCTACAAAAAACATTTGAAACATTTGAGTGATTCAGGAAACTTCTTATGGGTAAATATTTAATCCTAGTTATCTGTAGTACCTTACTCGATATCTTCTTTTCCTTGTGTTGATTTGAGTCAGAGTTGCATCTGTAGAGACAGAATCATGGTCTGTGCTGGCATCTTGAATTTCTTCATACGACTGGGTCAAAACTACAGGACCCTGATGAAAAAAAAAATCTAAATTAAATGTACTGTAGCAAATAATGAAATATTAGACTTTATTTACTACCTGTGGCTCTTCTGTTAGACATGGACTCTTGTTTGATGTTTGGTGTTTTATAAAGAGCACAGCCATGATCTGTCCTTGGATTGCAATTCTTTTATGTTCCCTGTATTGTAGCATCTCCAACTCCTTCCTTAGGTCGGCCGCTGCAACTAGTGGAACTTGTCCTGTAAATGCATTTATGGCATGGTAATACAAGATTTGACTAAACAGTTATATCTTTCAATATTTTTATTATTGTCACCTGATGCATCTTCCACTGACTGCGTGAATATTTTAGGAGCTCGAGGATAGCTATAATATCCTCCAAGTGTGGTTTTCTGGAGGATGACGTTGTCTTTTTGAGTCTTGGTCCATTGAATGAAGCTTTTTACTTTGGGGTCACTCACATACGGCTGCCCTTTGTGGTAACCTGACACACCACAAACAGAACATCAAAAGCTTTTAGAAAATTAAAAACCATAAAAGAAATGCATTTGCACTAACCTGTTATGAACATCTGTGTCTCGCAGCTGCTTGTGAGGTAAGGCAACCCCCCATCAACATGACACAGTCTCATCTGGGTGCAAACCAGATAGGTCACTGGAAAAATTTGAGAAATATTGCACACACTATATTAGATTGAACATGCGATACTATAAATAATAATTTGTGTCATACTTGGGTAAATGTGACTAAATATTTCTGGCTGAGAAGATGAAAAAATTTCAATGATAAAAGGGAGATCAGATGTGCCGTCTACTGCATGAATCCATCGATAAGTCCAGTATTTCTCAGGAAGACCTAAAGACAATAGAAACACCTGAATTTGTAAATCAGTATTCATTAAATTAAGTTTTAGTGTTACAAACTGCATACCTTTGCTGGCTTTACATTTTACTCTCTCTACACGTCCCACAAATGTTACCAAACCGATAATGTCACACGCTGAATTGTTTGATAGTTGATTCAACTCTGACCTACAACAAACATATATGGTAAATATTGATATTTTATCATGACCCAAATAAAAAGGAAATGTTAGAGTAACCTAGTTGTGAACTGGTATGAAACTTCAGGTAACCCCCACTGCGGCAGTACACTTTTTGGTGAAATTATAGTTATAACTGAGGCTGGTTTACGTGGGTTGAGGCAGATTTCTGAAGAAATAAAAAAGTGTGATGTAAAAGACAGGTCTTAATTGTTGTATAAAACAAAATAGAGTTAACATTTTAAATGAACTAAACAATAAGATTAAGAGATTTTAGAGAACCCCTTCCTCCTCAGCTACATACCCACAGAGTTAAAAGCCTTCATTCTGTAATGGTCCATGTGTGGGCGTGACCTGTTCAGATAACTCCTCTTCAGAGTATAATTTTGGAGGTACAGCACTGTGCCCACATGAAGTCTTTGGTAAAACTCAGGACAAAGGTCATTCCACAGCACCAGGGACATAGTGCCACTCTGATCGGCCACCTCAAAATAGGCCTGCAATATCATAGAAAAGACAGAAGAGTTACAACCAGGAAGTAAAGTTTTACTAATAATAAAAGTTATACATTGAAAATTAAACTCAAACCCACCTGATAAGGATAGTCAATATTGAGTCCATATTTTCCATAATATCTCAGTCTGGATTTATGTATTATTTTTACAAGAATAGGGAATGGTTTCTGTAGATTTTGAAATTGTCCTTCCAGATGACACAGAAACGTGATCTTGGACACTGTTTACAAGAATTATTAACAGCAGAAATGGCTTTAGGTTTGTATGAGGGCTGTCTGTATACTAAGGATATTTTTCTCCTCAGACTTACCATCAAGCACAGTGTTCTCTGAGTGGGGCTCAGAGGCCCACATCTCTCCATCCGGGTCATCATTATTCCAGAGGGGGAGGTAGTGCTTACGGCTCAGCTGAAGTGGCACATCACTTTGCAAAGAGATGCTCCTCTCCATGCCTTGTCTGACCAGTACAGGAAGTGCACTGATATCTTTGTCATTGGCCTGTACAGTACAGGTATCTGTCCTGCATGTGAAGCCCTCAATGCAGAGATAACCATGCCCTAGTCTCCTCTCGTTGTAAACAAAAGAGCATTTCGTTATGCTGATGTCTGTGCCAGTCCTCAGGGAGTTTTTATGCACCACACGATTTAAAGTGGTGTGGAGGAAACACTTTGCTCTCCATACTCCGTCTGTGACCGTCACATCGTAGCTGTAGCTGTCATCCTGCTGGTGCGCCTGCGTCTCTCCAGAGTCAGACAAGTACCGATGGAGAGCTACTACAGTAACAGGAGATGTATCTTCTGCTTGCAGTTTTAGAGACTGAGTGACACACAGCCGCTCCAAAATCTTCTGCAGAAAAGATTCTCGACAAATACTGCTAGCAGTTGAAGGACGCGATGAGCTTTCCTCCATTATTCTGTTAGCCTGTTAGCTTAGTGTTAGCCATAAGTTCGTGAAATCAACTTTGAAGTAGATGAGTAAAGACACCAAATACATCGATTCAACTGAAAACACTAATATTTAGTTGTCTGTCAAGACTTTACAAAATAGCCAGTTGTGAACACTGTTTATAAAGATTAGACGAGCGCAGGCGTTACAGGAAAACACAATATTCACGTCACTCCAGAGCGGGACACCCACCTCGAAGCTTAGGTTTGAGGGGGGGGGGGCAACTATCCACCGTAATTTTCTAAAATCGTATACAAACGATACGTATGTGAAATGCGAGGTCTGAACTAATTGCCGTGGGAGAACAAAAAAGCTCAAGTTGTTTGATTTCGGCGCTTAGTAAAGATAAGGCGGGTTTGGATGACGTAATCAGTGCGACGATGTTGTAGTTTCAAAATATAATGTAGTTAATTAGCTAATTGATTAATCAGTCACTTGGTTAATTGACTGATAATTATTAACAGTTTTATAAAATGGTTAGAATAATACACATTTTAATGTAAGAATGCATACAGTGATGTCTGATGACCGCTGCTGTTCACAAAAATACTACATAGCTTCGTATCCGACTGGAAAAATATACTTTTTGTTCTGTAATATGTGTGTATATGTATACATGTCTAAATTATTATTATATAGTACAGTTTCTCACTAAAACTGTCTATATCCATGCCTAACAAATTTCAGTCTTGAAGTACACACAGCCTGACAAAGACACAGACATAAATGTAATTCTCATTTTTTATAATTGTAATGTTCGGTTACAAAACATATTTTTTTGCTGACTGACCATATACAGTCTATGTGACTGACTGACACATGAAATGACGTATGCGCCGCCTTCTTGTTAGAAACTACAATCCCATCATGCCTTGCAACTTTGGCAGAATTTCTTGTCGACGTGGGAAGGGAGGGATTCGGACACAAACAAATGTCCGTAGATTCAATATTGGGCTACATTACAGCCAACTGTGACATGTCAGACAGATTTTACAGACGATTAAATGACCTGTGAAACATGTGGCTCAAACCTGAAGAGATTTTGCTGAAAAACGCTTTCAAATTATGGGTCACCGAGAAGGATAACGAGTACTTCATTCTGCAACGGAGGCGAGGGTATGGAGAAGGTGGCGGAGGGTTGACAGGTAAGATATCAATGTTGACAATATGTTCTTGTCTGCAAATGTACACTATAGGCATGTTCGCATATTATCATTTTTATTATCTTATATTGCGTCTATATTTTTTAACCCATGGGCGTATGCAGCCTACAGTCACAGTGTGCTTCCATTACTGAATCTTACTGCAACAGGTTTGAGTCTAGCTTCAAAATCTCACTAGTACGAGAAGGCAGCGCGACTGTTATTATGACACCAACGGTGAGTTTGCAACGGTCGTGTTCCCTTGAGCGTACGTGTCAGTTCATTGACTTATGTGGCCTTAAAAGCGTAGTGGTGAACAATACACCCAACATCTGTACATTCACACGTGCTGTAGTTCAGACTGTACTGACTTCACTGCTTGTGGTAATTTGCTTATAAATACTGTGAGCAGCACAAGATCAGTGAACACCCTGAAGTGAGTTAAAAATTACCCATCTTTTTGGGTTCATGCTGTTTTATGCTGTTTGTTCTTTTGTCTTGAGATTTCATGTTTCCAAAGCCTTACTAAGCAAGAGGCAGCAGCACTGTTATCATGACACCTCAGTGATCCTAGTGACAACAAAAGTTTACAAAACTGCACTATTATACAGTAGACCTAATACAGATAAATATTGTGCAGTGAAAATGTTTATAAAATCCATTGTCCCTGCTAGGCTTGATTTCTCAATGGCAGAACTATCTATAGTAACTGTCAAAAGTGACGTTCACCTTAGCCCAATTAACAGATCATTAATGAAAATGTAGAGGAATGCAAAGATAGTGATGGGTGAGCAGGCGTTTACATTAACAGTGGAGATTAAATGATGCTGATGATGATACATGTTATGCTTGAAGCCCACTCCATGATAAGAGCTGTTTGTCTGAAGTATGCTCTATTTGTTTTCTCTTATCTTTAGTGTGTATTATTGTACAGGGTATTGTCACCAGTATTTGATCCTTTAGCCACTGCTCTTCAACTACTGTGTGTGCTTTGCTGATGCTGAACGTGTGGTTTCTCTGCACACTGGTTAATTATTCATGGAGGACATGTCAGACAGTTGGATAGGTATTTTGTTCATTTTAATGGCTTGATTTACACTGATCAAATATGGCTCTCACTTTTAATTATTACACAACAGAAAAAGGGAAACATGTTTATCTTTCTTTATATGTATTAAGATCATTTATGCAAATGTATAATTTTTCATGATCTCATCCATTCCTTTATAATGTTGGAAAGCATTAGCATAAATGTCTTTAAGACCAAAGACAGTCTCCTAGACCACAAACTTACCTTTATAAGAATATGTTACTCTTATGTCTCATTATCCATTCATTAATCCTCTACTTTGTTATAGAGAACTATCCAAGCCTTTATTGTCATGAGCTGGCTGCTGTAGGACAATCACCAGTTAATTGCAGCGTTATTCTTAGAGACAGACACTGACAGGCAACTATCCAGACTCACATTTAGGCCTTTGCAAAACACATTTTTCACTGAATTTCAACCTGTAATTTTTCTAGGATCAGTCAATAATTTTACTGTTAGCTGGAAGTTCTATGTACATACATATATTAACACTACCATTTAAAATATTGAGCAGAGAGATTTTTGCTTTCATTTCAGAGTTGGATGCAGTGCTTTTAGCTTTAAATTTGTTATCTCCTAAGAGAGAGTGTTTTTATGCATTTTTTAAGGCTCACTAGGATCAAGAATTCCTCTGAACTTCAAAGCTTATAACAGAGCAGCATGTGCTTTCTAATGAAGCATATTAATTAACTGCCTTTAACTTATAGGGCTCCTTGTGGGCACATTGGACACTGTGTTGGACTCGACATCCAAAGTTGCCCCCTATCGCATTCTGCATCACACACCAGACTCACAGATCTATTGGTCGATAGCGTGTGGTAAGTTGTCATAATGATCTTTGAGGTGACAGTTATTAATTGCATAATCATGTAGAGATATTGACAGACTGAATTTAAACAAATTAATGAATCTTTGCTCAGGTGTGACCAAAGAGGAGATCTTTCAGCACTGGGAGTGGCTACAGCAGAACATCATGAGGACACTCTCGGTTTTTGACTCAAGTGAAGATATCACCAGCTTTGTGCAGGGCAAGATTAGAGTAAGGGTTTATCTTTATTGTCATGTGTTCTTACTGTATTTACATTTCCCTAACAAAGCTCTCTTGGCATGTTCCCTGCTAAATTACCTGATGTTATGTGTGGTGAAGGGTCTGATTGCTGAGGAAGGCAAATCGTCTCTGGTTCTTGAGGATGATCCGGAGAAGTTCCGAGAGGCTCTTCTGAGGTTTGAGAAGTGGTTTGAGCTGCCTCCAGAGGAGAAGCTGGTAACTTATTACTCATGCAGCTACTGGAAAGGCAAAGTGCCATGCCAGGGCTGGCTCTACCTCAGCACCAACTTCTTTTGCTTCTATTCATACCTGCTGGGAGCAGAGGGTGAGTCAGCCTAGCCTTCAATATACTTTAGTTTACATTCACCATAAAACTGAATATTTTGAGCAAAGCATCTTATTACTTTCTGAAAAAGAGCAAGTAAAAAAATATGTGTTATTTTGTTTTAAACTTTCTGTCTCCATGTAGTGAAGTTGGTCATCTCCTGGGATGAGATATGGAGGCTGGAGAAAACTTCAAATGTCATTCTGACTGAAAGTATCCATGTTTTGGCTCATGGCGAGGATCATTACTTCTCAATGTTGCTACACCTCAATGAGACATTTGTAATCATGGAACAACTGGCAGATTACTCTATTAAGCGTCTTTTTGACAAAGAGGCTTTCCAAAAGGAGCCAATGCTTCGTGACCCCCTGCAAATCACAAAGAGGTACAGTTTACCTCCCATCCCGTTATTTATGTATGTATGTATGTGTATGTATATGTGTGTACATATGTGTATATATGTATGTATGTATTATGTATGTGTGTGTATAAATATATACACACACACACATACACACATATATATATATATACACACATATATATACATATATATATACACATATACATACACATATATATATATACACATATATATATACATATATATACATATATATACACACACACACATATATATATATTATATATATATATATATATATATATATATATATATATATATATACATGCATACATACGTGTGTGTGTGTGTGTATGTATGTGTATATATATATACACATACACACACATATATAATTTTTTTTTGTCCTATTGTATCTTTATTGTATATTGTATCTTTTCTTTCGTTTTTTGTTTCAGAGGTCTAGAAGCTCATGCAAAGAGTGAACAGTTTCGGACATTTTTTAGGCTTCCTAAAGAAGAGAATTTATTAGAAGTCCATGAAAGCTTTCTCTGGGTGCCCTTCAGCCATTTTAACACACTTGGCAAGATATGTCTTTCTGAAAACTACCTTTGTTTTGCCAGTCAGGATGGAAGCCAGTGTCATGTCATCATCCCAATGCGTGAGGTAATTTACTATATCTTTATGATATCACTTTAAATTAGCCAGAATAAAACCATCCATTTTTGTTCAGGTTGTTAATGTTGAGAAGCCAGACTCTGGCAGCAGGGCTTTGACCGTGTGTGTACGCGGGAAGAGGGCACTGCGTTTCTCTGAAGTGCGCGACTACCAGCGTCTCGCCAACTCCATACGCAGCAGATGTGGGATTAGTGCCAGTCCTCTGCACTCTGCCTCATCTGAGGTAACTCCTATTGGCATCCCAATCTCATTACCCATGTTTTAGTGCAGTCATCTTTAATATGACTTCACTTGATTTTAGGCCATCCGAGGGGAATGTCAGTCACTCATCAATCACTTTGAGGATAACCCGGAGGATGTGACCCTGATGGTCGGGCAGAAAGGCAGCTCCAAGGCCGTGAGCACCGAGGCCCTCATGACAGTGTTTCACCCACAAGACATGGAAAACCTTGACCCCAAAATGGTACCTATCTATTTCACAATGCTTGTTTGGTTTGTGTTTATATGGATGAAATAAATTTGTCACGTGTAATTGAATCAACGTATAACGAATCTTTAACATTTTCTTTTTAATTTTTCTCTTTTTTTTTTTTTTTTTTTTTTTTTTTTTTTTTGCAAAACATTCCTTGTTAAAATCTACACAGGTGTGAAGAATCAGATAGAACTCAGATTATTCACTCCGAATCAGTTACATTCCCTCACAAAATCTTATCAGATTTTTTAGAGCTCAATAAAAAATAAAATGAAATGCAAACAGCAAGATCATTACTGATTACTTGCATCAGATTGTGCAGTTTGCAGGTCAGAAATCAGATTCTAATCAGATTTTGGTGTGCATGTGAACAAAGCCACTGTTTACAGGACGTCCAATAATCTGATAACACATAGAATAGAATCAGCGCATGTAAACATATGTTGCCTGCACTAATTGTATTCTAATATGTTTTGTGTAGCTTAAAGAGAAGATGAAGGAACAATCTTGGAACATACATTTCTCTGAATACGGACGTGGTACAAGTATGTTTTTCACAAAGAAGACTCGAGATCTGATTGTGCGTGGCGTCCCTGAAGCTCTGAGAGGAGAGCTGTGGATGCTTTTCTCAGGTATCTATTAAATTGTCATAGGCTCTTAGCATCGACTTGCCGTTCGATATATGATACCCAGAACAATAATTTTAGAGGTCAAGGTTCAATATTTATCCTGTGTACTTTTTTAAACTAGCAGAGAACTTGGTGTTATTTTTCTGTACTATAATAACATTTGAGCTGTAGAGGATTTAATACACATTATATCACTCTTAACTGATACAAATTAACTACCAGTACTCAAGTGTTTCTTTCTGCTATTTATTTATTGCATCTGTTTTATTGTAGTTTTTCTTCAATATTGTACATGTAGAATATTTTTGGGGAAAATCCTGCTTCAGGGTTATTGTGCCCATCAAAATTTGTTATTGTTACCGGCCTATGTCCATCGTTTTTTTTTTTTATTATGATTGAGTTGGCTGCATCAAAGGGTGTATTGGCAAAGACTTCCTTGGCTAGTCTATTCACCCAGCATAAATAATTAAGAGAAACATCTTGGAGTATGCACATTGTAGCTCTATTTTGGTTTTTCCCTGTAGGAGCTGTGAATGACATGGCCACTCACCCAGGCTATTACACTGAGCTGGTGGAGCAGTCTTTGGGCACCAGCACACTGGCCACAGATGAGATTGAGAGAGACCTGCACCGCTCTCTGCCCGAGCACCCCGCTTTTCAGAGTGACACTGGGATCTCAGCTCTGCGCAGAGTCCTCACTGCTTATGCCTACAGGAACCCCAAAATTGGCTATTGCCAGGTAACTACTCATGGGTTTAGACTTCCTGTTAAATTCAACATTTTGAAGACTTTCTGAATCAAAGTATAGTATTTTGCTTTAAATTGTTTAATCCTGTGGCAGCGATCCTAATTTCCCTTAATTCTGAAGCAGCCAAGGAATAAAGATATATTTTTTGTATTTTTATATCTTTAAATAATAAAAAAATACTTTTTACTTGTTTTAAAAAATGTGTTTATTGTTTACATTCTTTAAAACATAATTTATTATTTTATATGTATGTCTTGTCAGGCCATGAACATTCTCACTTCAGTGCTGCTTCTTTATGCAAAAGAAGAAGAGGCTTTCTGGCTTTTAGTGGCTGTTTGTGAAAGGATGCTGCCAGATTATTTCAACCGCAGAATTATTGGTAAGTAAAAGTTTTAATTGAGTTTGTGACTAAACCCTTTTGGGCTGAGAGTAAAAAAAAAAAAAATGTATATATATATATATATATACACACACACACACACACACACACACACATATATATACACACACACATATATATATATATATATATATATATATATATATATATATATATATATATATATATATATATATATATATATATATATATATATATATATATATATATATATATATATATATATATATATATATATATATATATAAAAATTTGTTTCTCACCTTCCACGGTGGTAGGTCTCTCTCACCCTCATTCAGCTCGGGTCGTCTACCAGAGGCCTGGGAGCTTGAGAGTTCTGCGCAGTATCTTTGCTGTTCCCAGTACTGCACTTTTCTGGACTGAGATGTCCATTGTTTTTCCCGGTATCTGTTGAAGCCACTCTTCCAGTTTGGGGGTTACAGCCCCGAGTGTCCGATCACCACAGGCACCACTGATGCCTTTACTTTCCAGGCTCTCTCCAGCTCTTCCTTGAGGCCCTGGTATTTCTCTAGCTTCTCGTGTTCCTTTTTCCTGATATTACCATCGCTTGGTATTGCGATGTCCACCACCACGGCTCTGCTCTGTTTCTTATCCACCACCACTATGTCTGGTTGGTTCGCCATCACCATCCTGTCCGTCTGTATCTGGAAGTCCCACAGGATCTTGGCTCGGTCATTCTCCACAAGCTTTGGAGGTGTTTCCCACCTTGATCCTGGGGTTTCCAGCCCGTACTCTGCACAGATGTTTCTGTACACTATGCCCGCCACTTGGTTATGTCGCTCCATGTATATATATATATATATATATATATATATATATATATATATGTGTGTGTGTGTATATATATATATATGTATATATGTGTGTGTATATATATATTTATCATATTTATAATATTTATTTATTTAAACTGCTTTATGTCCAGGTGCATTGGTTGACCAAGCAGTGTTTGAAGACCTGATTCGCGAGAACCTGCCGCAGCTGGTGGAGCACATGACCGACCTGAGCTTCTTCTCTTCAGTGTCCCTATCCTGGTTCCTCACTCTCTTCATCAGCGTTCTGCCCATTGAGAGTGCGGTCAATGTGGTCGACTGCTTCTTCTACGACGGCATCAAAGCGATTCTGCAGCTTGGGTTGGCTGTGCTCGACTACAACATGGACGCCCTGATCAGCTGCCATGATGACGCAGAGGCTGTCACTATTCTCAATAGGTATGTGTTAATGAGCTACAACTTGCTTCTCAGTGACTATCAGTGGGTTTCAAAATGATGAAAAATTTAAGGACTGTTGCCATAGTAATGAACCATTCAAAGCAAAATATTCAGTCTTTTGAATGGTGATGTTGCATATAACAGGATGCTAAAACACATGAATAGGAAAGAATTGTTAGACAATGTATTGTCATTTCTTGTTTAGATTTTTTGATAGTGTGACAAACAAGGACAGTCCATTGCCTCCAACCGTTCAGCAGGCTTCATTGGGGACCAATGACAAATCATCTCATTTTGGTGTGGATATCAGCGAACTGATACGAGAAGCATACGAGGTATGGAGTCCTATAGATCACACAGTTTATCTGCTTAATCCAGTAGTGAATTTTTTCACCTTTTATTGTAGAAATATGGACATTTACGCTCTGAAGAAGTTGAAAGCTCTCGGAAAAGAAATAAACTTTACGTCATACAGACATTAGAGGACACAACCAAGCAGAATGTTGTAAGTTAGTCAGGATAATAATGTTGATAGAACAGTTGTATTGTTGTGTTATTCTGTACATTTCCACCTTTTTAGATTCGGGTGGTATCACAAGACGTCAGATTTACTGCCTCTCAGCTTGATGAACTTTATTATTTATTCAAAGTAAGACAACAAATTCTGTTAAAAATGTCACCCACAGAATAATGAAAATAATAACAGAAAACATTATTTTATTCTTTGTTTCAGAGGCAGCATTTCCTGAGCTGTTACTGGACGATGAACAGTCCAGCCCTACTCCACCATGATCCAAGCTTGGCCTATCTGGAGCAGTATCAGCTGGGCTTTCAGCAGTTCAGCACGCTCTTCTTCCTGCTGGAGCCATGGGCTTTTTGCCCAGTCAAAAGCACTCTGTCCCTGTGGGTCTTCCGCCTCATTGACGAGAACCAGGACGGCCTCGTAAACTTTAAAGAGTTCTGCTGTGCCCTTGGTATGTGAGTAAATATATTACATAATGTGACTCATTCTATTTCCTTAACGCTGCATTTCACCTGCAGATACATTGTATGGGGGATCCTTCACAAACAAGCTGAAGTTTCTTTTCAAGCTACATCTCCCTCCAGGTGAGCATATTTCAGTATGTATTGTCCCAAATGGCACGTGTTAAACTGAAAGTGATCTTTTGACTTTGAACTCTCTAAGCCAACCATTATCACAGGTATTCGGTCAATGAAAAGGGTCAAAGTTCAAATGCAGCAACTGTTTGTAAACAACTTTATTGGGCAGAAATATCTCCTTGCATTTATTCTAAAAGCCAACAAATACCACACGGAACAATTACACACAGAAGTAATGAGCAATGTCCCATAATAAGTGTGTTTACATTCCTCTGTGGAGCAGCTGACAAAGCAGGAATAGGTCTTTCAGTGGACATTTCTGCATTCCTCAGTTAGTCACATGAGCACAATGCTCCAGAAAAGAAACTCTCCTTGAATATGTGCCTAATTTTTGCATCATTAGGCACTAGCTGCTTGAAGGCAGAGTAAGAATAACCAATGTGTGGTGTGAAAGGACTTTGCCATGGCAACGATGGGTGTGAGGAGCTGAGAGCACAGTCTGTAGTGAAGTAGTGTCTCTGGGATCCGCCAAGAGGAAGTGTGTGAATTACAGCTGACAGTTAGAGTCAGAGATAAAGAAGGCAGCAGAACATGAGTCACATACAGCATGATTTATGGCTTGAGAGGAGCTCACATTGCTTCAGCACCAAGGACAGGTCCTGCCCCTGTGTCCCAGATTAAATAACACATCTACAGTTCATTGATCATTGCATTAAAACACAAGGAAAAAGGCAGCAGCTGATTGCACTTCAACACACTAATGTGGGACTTCTGCTGGGAAGTGACTTGTACACAATGTGCACGCTCTCTGCTTCATGACTCATCTGCATAACTGAAGGAAGCATGTAGAAACACTATATTTGGAGCTAAATATAACATGACGGAAGCTTTAAACACTGACTGTAGTATTTTAGCTCCTAGACATAAAAGTTTTACATACAATAAATAGTAGTGTGCAATGTCTACAGCATAACACTAGGAATAAGTTTATCAAGATATCAACGGTTCAGTCTGACTTTTCACTCTTCTTTCAATAATCAACAAGAAATGACAGTCATTAGTTATGCTCCATAAATGTGGTAATTTTTGTGACGATAGCATATAATTACTTGAGTGTGTCCCCTGCTGATTAAAAGCAACCGTAAATGTCATCGCCATCATCTATGTCAAACATGCGTTCATATTAACAGTTTTAAAAGGAAAAAACAGGTGAAAGAAGCGATTGAATGCCCTGACAACAATAATACTGTAATCAACTTTGAAAACCCCCATGCATGGACCCATGGTGTGTACTTGTTTCACACATGCAGCATACCCAAGTGTTTATTTAAATGTGTTAATTTAACAAATATATTCAATGTAACCCTAACCCAACTCTAACATCTGCCCAGACATGTTTTCAAATGTGACATGCTCACCACACTTACTGTTCCTAATGTTTTCTTACTGTACTACTAATTTCTTTATTCTTTCCTTTCCCTTATGAACAGCTTACACAGGAAGCCCTTTGCACGCACAGAAACAAAGAATGCACTTCTCTCTCTCTGAAGACTCTCCTCATAAGAATATACACACTGGTTAGCCTCTTTCCTCCTCTTTCTAAATGTGGACTTCCTTTTTTCTCACTTTAATATATTCTCTGTACTTATCACTAACATTTGCCCATTTGATTCTTATAATGTGTTTAAAGTACTTTTTATTTTAGCTTTTGAACTTCCTGAAGATGGTGTGATCAAGAAAAGTCCTGAAAGAGGTAATATTAGAATATCACAGTTCATGTAAGTATTAGGAATGTTATATTGTTCATTAATGTACAAATTTGTATATGATTAACAGGCCGAGGGAAAGTGGACCTGCAGGCTTATTTGAAACAATGGCAAAATGAAATACTCAAGAAAGAAGAAACAATTAAAGATCTGCCAAGGATCAACCAGGTATATCAGATAACATCCAAATTTTAATTAATACAAAGAGGGCCATTGGGCCCCTAAAACCCTGCAGCCCGGAACAACAGACCCCTTTGTCCCCCGTATCTACTACCCTGCCTGTTAGTCTAATTGTTCCTAGTTCATGGTGTTTGTTCAACTGTTGATCTGAAGTTCATTAACATACATATTAATTGATACTAATTTAGATACTCATGTGAACTGATCAATAGTTTTGGTCTTAGTTTCTATATCAGCGGTGTAAGTGTAATATATTTTTGGATGAAAATAAGTGTGTATTATCTAAGAAAATATATTTTTTTATTATTGTGGTGTTGAGTCTCTCCCTTTTGACAACACTACTTAAAGTCTATGCATGTTATGATGGTATGGATGTCAGTTAACTTATAATGCACTTTTACATTTTTTCTCAGGCTCAATTCATCCAGTTCTCCAAGACGCTGTACAACATTTTCCACGGCGACCCAGAGGAGGAGTCCTTGTATCGCGCTGTAGCCCATGTAACCAGTCTCCTGTTAAGGATGGAAGAGGTCGGACGTAAACTGCAGGAGCCCACCAGCCCCTCACCCTCCTCCAAAGTTGCCCCCACCTCCACAGAGGCGTCTCCTGCTGATGATACCACCATCTCCCCTGACAGCACAGACACTAGCAGCTCCCAGACCAGCCAGGACACACCAGGCTCTGAGCCATCTGAAGTGGAGTGGTCTTTTTCATTTGAGCAGGTCATAGCATCACTGTTAAATGAGCCCGCTATTGTCAGCTTCTTCGAAAGACATGTGGACATTCACACAAAACTGGGACAAGCCAAAGCTGCTCAGCTAAAGCTCAAGATACAAAAGTGACAGCTGCATGAATTTACTTTATGGTTTCTTGAGGCAGATTGTTGTTGAAGTGGTTTGAATATTTTAAAGGGGACGTGTAATATCCAAATGTGGGATGCACTTTGTAAGTGTGGCAGTTGAGTTTGGATCAGCTGGACTGCATTGCTGTGGTGATGTGAGGTTTTAAGACATTACATATATCATTCACTGACCAACTGTGCATTTCCACTGTCATTGCTGATAATTTTGGCTCTTTACTTTTTATTTTTGCACAACATTTCGGATGCATTTATAATCCTGCTAATAAGTTTCTATTTCTTCAAGCAGGCTCTATATCAAAATAAGAGTATAGTTTTGTATTGTGTAATGGACATACTTTGTCTGTATATAAACACACAAGAAAATAATTCCCTTAGTCTCTCTAAGGATGTCCTTGTTCATTTGTTCTTTGATTGTGGCTACTGTAAACATAGTGTACATGCTAACATGTCCTGTGACAATGTTTTGGCTGTGCTATAAGACCAGCTATTCATTCAGACTAAAGCATAAACAGAGCGGAAACTTGCCACTGATATATATTTTAGAAATATTATATATATAATTATATCAAATGACTGATACTCTGCAAGTATAAGAGAAGGCAAAAAGCACTGATTTTGGTATGACATTTGCAATAACATATAGGGGAGAATGCCATACTGCCACATTTGTTAGAGTCTTTAAAATTGTAAAATGCTAACATGTATCTATATATGTGCTTTCTATTGTTGTTAGCAGAGTTCAATTTATCAATGTGCGTTATATTAGCTTTCTGATGTAATCGGTTAAGTGCTGTTTGCTTTTGTCTGTCATATATGAAATACTCTAGTGACAGTACTGTATTGTACACGTGTCTTAAAGGCCAGTTTAGTAGATATATGTAGATGTTAAGGTTTAAATATACACTTCTATAATTATCATAATAATTTGGAGTAATTATTATTAAGTTGACATAGTTCATACAACTTGAATGACATGCTTATTGAAATCTCAGGGTATGATTTGTGAAAAATAAAAGGTTAAAGGGATATTTTTGGACCTAGAACCTATCTGGTAGATATCTGACTTTAACATGGCAAGCGTTTAGTCAGTAACCCTAATAGAAAATGTGTAGCATAATAAATGTCACCTTGCCTTTATAGAACTGCTTGCTTCTTAATGCCAAACTGATTTAGTGTTTGAATTCATCTTCCTCTTTATTTCTGCATTTTGCTTCTGTGGCAGTAAATACTTAAGGTGCCTCCTGAAAAGAGGCATTTCAGTGAGAGAAGTCCTACCCAGGGCACCTGCAGTTAATATTCTTTAGGGGCCAAATACATATTTATAGAGTACTGTATTTCTACTTAAGAAGCTTGTGTACTGCAAGTACATCTTTTTCTATTGTTTAATGCTGATGTATTCCCTTCCGTTACTTTTATTGTGCTAATGCATTCTAGATTTTGTTTTGATTTGAGGCATACACACACAAAAAACAATACTAATGTTTTCTGCCCAAAATAATATAAAATAGAAGTATATATATATATATATATATATATATATATATACATATATATACATATATATATATACATATATATATATCTTTGCTGTCATATATCAATCCAAAGCTACATCTGAGACATAAACTAAGCCATAAGGACAAAACGCTGCAGCATTTCAACAAAGAGAACCTCATCCACTGTTTTATCGCATACAGTATAAAGTATGCACTATATCATGATGTGTATCTATATAACTAATCCAATAAGACTGTTACTCACTAGACATACTTCAAGTTCTGTCATAACTTGTCATATCATTCTTGAAGACTATATTGTATGTTTTATTTTAGTTGGCGCATGTTATTCTTATTGTTTTGATGTAATCTTTTTGTTTCAAATATGTTCCAAAGTTAAATAATAGTTCTGCTGTTCAATTTCCAAACAGTGCTTCATTTTGGACATATTTAGACAGTTTGTTCTTCAACTTAAAGGTTTTTAATTTTACTTTATCCTATTTATGAAAGGAAAGGACAGATTAAACGACATTGAAGAGGTGCAGGAAAAGAGTGTTGGAAATCCTCCTGGCATGCAGTCAGTTTTGCCATTAAGCATGAGTGCGTACTGTGGGCATGGACAATGTTCTGGTGGTGCATTAGTGTATTATTAATCAATTCTTTTATGTGCAATTTTGACTACAGCTTTCACAGTCTGTAGATTCAGAGTGAAATCTTAGTTGTCAATTTTCTTCTTGTGTGCCTGACTCTTTATTTTTTTTCTGTAAATGTATCAAAATAAAACATTTATGGATCACTTTCAGGTTATGCTGCAATATAAATATAGCCTCTTCCTCTTAAATCTTTCAAATTAAGTTTGGATGTTCATGAGCTTTTGAAAAATAACCATTTTTTGTAGGTTGATGTTGTACAGCACAAGACATAGTTGTGCAACTTAACATTTTTGTGACATTAAATGAAAAATTTAGGTTACTGGTAGCTTTCATGTTTTCGTTTTTTTTTTGTTTTTTTCCTTCAGGGTAGGACTTAAGTAACTACTAGAGCCTTAAGTAAATAGGTCACTTTTACAGTAGGTCTGCTTGTAATATAGACTAATAATTACTTATGATCTGTAGGATAAACAGCCAGCTGGGGTCACTGCAGTGACCTGTGAAAAGGAGTGGTAATCGGTCACTTACTGACAACACTGAGCCACATAAATAGTCGGAATACCGTCAGTGGCACTAAACCTGCGTGCTTTGACGCACCCCAAAGTGTGCACCACGTCCGGCTGATTTATGGATAGTACAGTCTGGGGCGCTGGGAGAGATACATTCGGGTACAGCACCTAAACTATTTTGGCCCAGCGATTTGGTTACGCATGCAGTAACCCGAGGGTTCGTGACTTTTAACCTGTCACCTGTTTTTGGTTCATTTTGCAGCCTTGTCCTGTCAGCGGTGAAAGACAGCAGGGCCTTGGACGTTTGGAGACCTGGAAGCAGGTCAGTACAGGACAGTAGTCAATTTTACATGAATATTTACTCAACTGTAAAATGTAGGGTATGTTAGGCTACAACTTTTAGCAGTTTGTTAGATATCTAAGGATACGTGTAGAGTAGCCAAATGTGTTATTTATCTCATTAAAGTGTAATAACCGGGCATAGTAGCCTATCTCTAGACAGCAAATTAATTTGAGCAGGTGGTCTAATTTTAACAAATCATTTATCATTTCCAATTTCCAGCCCTCTGTCATGGTAATCAAGACCATAACCAAGAGTTTAGGCTGTATTAAAAAAAAAAAAAATCGGTGTCCCCTACCCCATTCAGTCATGAATGATACACTAAACTAAAGACTGCACGAGAAATATTTTAGCTATAGAAACAGAAGTCCCAGTGGAGTTTTGGAATAATGATGTTTTACTCTCAAACTTTTGTCAAATTGACAGAATTTAAGTTTTCTTTTTTAAATCATAATCTTTTTGCAGAGAAAGTCATAGATTTTTGCATTTGAGGGTGGAGCTTCTTCCTGCACTGTTGAGATCACAGTCACTGTCCTGCCACTCAACGTCATCCGGCAAATTAAGTTTTTAATTACCCTAATACAATGATCACTGAAAACCAAGTGAGTACCGTATTTTGTTACCATAATTAATTGGTAAAGAATAGTAACATAATATTGTAATCACTTTATTTAAACAACAAATAATTTAAATAACAAAATGTACAACATTAAAGCAACACTTAAGCTTATTTCAAGTAAAAATTGAGGTCTTTTAAATAAATAAAAAAAAATTGCCTGACGTCTGTCTGTCCAACAACAAAAAAGACAGAGAAACCTCAATTTTATCCGGTAAATCAGTCACATCTTTTGAAATTTAAAACCAAGTATTCACATTCTTTTATATCATATTATATTGGAAAACAATATGTAAACAAAAACATTCTCAAGTCATTTGGGATCTGTCACCAAAAGACTGATGGTCATTTATGACATTCAAGTTAATCAAAAGTTTTTAAACAGTTGGCTCTTGCCATTTCAGTGCAGTTTAGGTCAAAGTAACAGTGGTAACAATTTAATATCCTTAATAAAGCATGAATAAAACTTAATTCATAATGAACAAGTTTATTAAAGTTTATTAATGATTTTAATTTTTCGGGCTTAGTAACTACATAATACCCTAATCCAAACACCTAACCCCTTAATTAAGTAACCAAGCCTGAAACATTTTTAATAAACTATTTGTTTATTATAAATTCATGAATTTAGTCTGTGTTCATGTTTTATTAAGAATAATTAAAATGTTGTTATTATAAAGTGGTACCGTAAGAGCAGCAAAGTTTGTTAGTTAAGTCCTCAGATCTGCAGGTCATCCATCCTGCTCTTGATGGTACTGGGTTTGCTGGACACACTGTTTCTTCTTTGTTGTTCCAGTAGCAATAACTCTAAACCTGCATTAGACGGTTTCCTCTCGTATCTCTCATATCTGTCATCTTCAGTTTTGCCTCTCTTCTCTACTGCCAGATTGTCTCTGTTTTGTTTGTACACTGCTTTGCTGTTGTATGGGCTGTAAGCAGCAGAAGGCTCTTGTAGGCTGTATTTGGGCTCTGGAGCGAAGGGTTCAGGCGCGCTGTGGCCTCCATAGTAGTTATAGCCATGCACATAAGGAATCACACTGTCACTCAGGGGCTTGGCTGCCTCGAGGCGGGCCTTGTTGCGTCTGTAGCGGAGACCCTGGTGACATTTAGTGAAGCCGAGGTGGTACATTTCCACCAGGTTGAGCAGCAGAGAGATACAAGCCACTGCCAGCATAAAAAGGATGAACACTGTCTTTTCAGTGGGTCGAGAAATGTAGCAGTTCACCACATTGGGACATGGCCAGCGGTCACAGGTGTACATGGGCTTTAACTGAAAGCCATACAAAAAGTATTGAGCTATAATAAATGCCACTTCAAACAAAGTTTTGAAAATAATATTGAAGACATAGGTCCGGAGTAGTGCACCCTGCAAACGCACATGACCTTGTTTGTCTTTGATTGAGGCCTTTTTGGCTTTTGTGCCCATTAACTGTTGCTGTTTCTCACTTTGCAATGCGAGCTCCTTCTCCTTTTGTTTTTCCTTGTCCTCCATGCGCACGAGATGCAGGATGTGGCCCAGGTAAATCAGTGTGGGAGTGGACACAAAGATGATTTGCATGACCCAGAAGCGGATGTGTGAGATGGGAAAGGTTTTGTCGTAGCAGACATTCTGGCAACCGGGCTGTTTGGTATCACATGTGAATCCAGACTGCTCATCTCCCCACACCTTCTCCGCCGCCGTGCCCAAAACCAAGATCCGGAAGATAAACAGCACTGTCAGCCACACTTTCCCCACCACAGTGGAGTGCTCCTGGGCACTCTCCAGCAGCTTCCCCAGGGAGTTCCAGTCTCCCATACTGCCTCAAATAACCACACGAGTTTATTGGGAAAACCAGAACAGGCGTCTGTAGAGATACAAACAATTAAAAGATGAACAATCATCTTTAAGAAGTAAGCATTCTCTTTTTGACTAATATTTCAAAAAACAAACACAGACTATTATTACACTTCAATCTGTGAAAGCTTTTCCAAAAAAAATCAGTTATGTTATCTATCAGACAAGCCTCATTATAGCTTCCACACTAACGAAAGCCCATCTCAATCAGTAAATAATCATGAATCCACTGTTTGTGCTCTGAAAGGTTGTGACCTATCCACTGTTGCTGATAAAAAGGCCCAGGACACAGATTGCTGTGTGAGAGAAAGCCCTGCAGCAGGCTGGGGAGCCTCTATGGATCTTGTGACACATTAGCAGCACTGTTGCAACACTGACCCTTGATTTAGGTTTCTAGTTTAAAATATTCAGCCATATTCATTACTGCATGCCAGATCGTACCTTTAAAAATAGTTGAGCTTTTTTTAAGAGGTGGAGGAGCACTTGCTTCATACAGAGCCCAAGATTTGAAAATCGGCAAAACTATGGTATAAACTATGGTATAAGTTAAAATTCTGGATGTTGTGATTTCATATGAAAACATACCTGCTAATGTTCATATCCCAGCAAAAGCCACTTCTCTGTGGCCCTCTGTATAGAGAGGGCAACTGTCCAAAGCAAAAAGGTAAAAGAGTTGGAAAAAAAAATTAATTTAAGATCCTACCTGTTGAGTTGTCTAAAGTACTAAAACTAAAAGTTCCTTTGAGACGAGTCCAGGACACAGCTGAGAAAGTTCCCTCCTGAAGAATATTATAAAGCCCAGTACTCGAGAGGTGTAACTTGTGGCTGAGTGACAGCTGGAGTGTCCAGTCAAAGAGCAGAGCAGTCTTCAAGTCAGCCAGCTTTAAATAGAGTTGATGTTGATAGGAGTGGTTTTGTTGTCTCTGTCGTGGTCTCTGAGCTTTAGTGACCTAACCCCAAAATACTCTGTGTGTCAAGATTTCCTACAACAGTTGCATAAAATGTATTCACAGTGTACTATTATTTTCTTAATTTTAATATTATTACTGTGACACACTAGGTGATTAAACTAATTGGTCTGAACACAGAATCAGAATCATAAAGGCATTTCAAAATAAAAGAAAATACATCATACTTACTCAAATTAAAATCCATTAGTTGAGGTGTTTTTAAGATTCCTGTAATAACTAATGGCTTCTACCTCACTCTATTATTTCTAAATTGCTTCAGTTCACTTGATGAGTGTGAGATCATAGAACATCTATATAAATAAATTATATATGAGTTTCTCTTATCCAACAGGAATGATTAGTATTAGTAGTTTTGATGTGTTCCATAAAAAGTGCCCTCATGCTGTGCCACAGCATGTTCAGCTGCCGGATGGGTCACTATTGTCACCTTACATTGACCCTAACATGGAGAGGCTATTGATAAACTATGCACTCTGGCCTGGAAAGGAGGACTTAGTAACTATGCCTGAGATGTTTGTGCACAGGTGGCTGATCAGGACCACCATGGACCACTGTGGACCCCAGCTAAAGATGGCCGTGCTGCCACTGTGTGATGTGACGTTTCATCACGTTTTCCGTCTGTGTTCAGGCCTCTGCCGACAGCTGAGAAGAATCATACACAGGCTCCGGCATGACTGTGGCTCAAATTGTTTTGAAGCAGAAATGCCGCTCCACAGATTTACTGTCAGCAGATTAACTGCTTGGGCAGGTGTCTTCAAAAGTTTGTAATGCTCATTAGAACTTCTGCCTTGATTGAAACTAAGTAGAAATAGTTTTCAAATTTGACATTTAAACATTTGAAAGCTACAAATTAGCATACGGCTTAAAATAAAAATGTGTAGTTTAATCATTGGTTTATTACACAAAATTAAACAAAGTCAATTCTCACTATTGGCACCAGCATAAAATACATGGTTTTACAACACAACCTTTAATGGACTGAATATTTCTGTCAATTAAATATTTATTATTTTTTATGATTTAACAACTTAACAAAACAAAAATAGCATAAACAAACACAGTGAGGACTCTAAAGTCATAAACTCAAAGGCAACGACTTAAACACAAAAACTCAAACAGTTGTAGACAAGTATAAACCAGAGCTATGCCACTGCTCGGCAACAGACCCCTTCTCACCACACAACCTTCCCAGAATCCCCTCACAAGTAACATTCTCCGCCATCAAATACATTGAATCTTGATATAACTCATTTCAACATTTTGTGCTCTACACTTTTAAGGATCACCAGCAATTAAAAAAATCCAGACACATTGCATATTCCTTAAGATCTGTACATGCAGATATTGCCACACAAAGTTACAGCATTTATTCCTAAAAAAATAAAATAAAAATACCTTTTTACCTGAAGCATTTTGTGACTTTTAGGATTGTTATGTGATGGAATAAGTATAAAATCTTTGTTCTAAAAGCCACATTATAAAAAGGCTTCACTGAATAGTTTTGTTATTTATTGATGCATGACCAGGGTTAAGGCACAATGAAGCTACAGTATATTCAAACAACCCTCTATTTGTATTAAAGATGCACTATGTAATTTTTCTGGGCCCGCCATCTTCTTGTCATGGTTATGCTAATATTTTGTCTTGATGGTCTAGTATGGTATTAAACATGACCATCTCCACAGAGACCAACAAGTGGCATCCCCAGGCAAGTTTACAGGTCATATCTGCTGAGAGTTGACCCCACTCAGTGTACAAATGCATGCTTTTCTTACATTTTTGTAGTGATAAAAAACTCTTGCATTTATTCAAGTTGAATGCTGTACTGTGGAACATTACGGACAAAGCAATTATCCACATGACCACAGAAATCTCCCAGGAAAGTTACACAGTGCACCTTTAAGTACATTTTCAACTTTTCACAGATTTTGTTCAGATTTTGTGGCGTAACCAATCTCCTATGCTTGTTTCTCCATTGTTACCTAAATGCTTACTGTAGGCTTTTGCCATCAGGAAAACTACCTCTGCGATGTTGAGCAGGATACACAGCCCTGATACAGCTAACATAAAGACAGTGAAGACAGTTTTCTCCGTGGGACGGGACACGAAGCAGTCCACCGTGTTGGGACAGGGGTACGAGTCACACTTCACCAGCCGTATCATCTTATATCCTGGGTAAATCATGTAAAACAAATACATAAAAGTTATTTCAAATATGATCCTAAACAACAGGCTGATGACGTAGGTCCACCATAGTGCTCCAGTGATCTTCATCTTTTGTGTTTTTATCTGTTCCAGGTCTTTGGGACTGGCCTTTCCTGACAGTTTGCAGATCCTTTTGTCAATATGGCGACGGTGAGCTACGTGCATTGCAACCAGCAGGGCAGGGGTGGAGACAAGGATGAGCTGAAGTGCCCACAAGCGGATATGAGAGATGGGGAAAAAGTGGTCATAGCAGACGCTATCACACCCGGGCTGTTGAGTGTTACAGGTAAACCCAGACTTCTCATCACCCCACACTGTCTCCGCGGCAACCACAAGCACCAAAATACGAAATATAAACAGGACAGAGAGCCAGATTCGCCCGATGCCAGTGGAGTGTCTGTTCACCCCGCTAATCACAGTGTAGAAGGAAGCCCAGTTCATCTTTGGTTCCAGCTCTGAAAGAAAAAAATAACATACACCTTTTAAAATAAAATAAAGATTAAGAATTTTTAAAGATAAAAAAGGTTCATTTTAGATTTCAGTTTATTTTAATAATATGTATCAACTCAAGACAGTATCTGCTATGGGTTGTAACCCATCAGAGATTTGTACAAATTTATGCCAGAAAGTTTATGTTGATTTTTAACACTGCAATCGTTATATTAGTATTGATCTAGTGAAGAGAAACCAGTGTTGTAATGACACATTTCTACACCTTTTAAACCTAAATTCTACTTTACTTACTAAAATAATTGCTCTAAAAATTATTTGTGTTTCAATTTAGTTTTAGCTGATACTGGCTTTAATGGGTAAACTAATAGTCAGTGGTTACCGGGCTTAGCAGGAGGGTTCAGAGTCATAGAAAGATGTGTAGATGATGATACTGAGGCAAAGCTTTGGCATCCAAGTGAATCCCAAAACGAACACAGTCCATGTGCCCCCTCTGCTGTTGGCACTCCATTTAAGACCAAAACGCCAAGGTCTGGTACCACACGTCATGTGACACGGTTTAACCAGTGCCACACAGATCAGACTACTGATTGCACGATTCTTTCTGGAATATCATGTAACTTAATACTGTACAGTTCTACATTTAATATGACAAATAATACAAATGATAAAGAATAAAAAACTTACTTGATTGTCAAAACAGAACATAATTTATCTGCTGAAATTAGTAAGCATTTCACAAGCCAAGTCAATTTCAGTTTTAATCTCTCGTTATAAATATTTTATCACAATGAACTTACCTTCTGCTGCGCTTATTGACTTTTAACAAAATAGTCCAAATTTGAGTCTCAGAGTGCCATGGCTTTGCATTGCTAATGATTTCCCTCACACTAGCCGCTGCCCAGCACTGGCGGGGTCATATGCTTCAGCATTTGCATACAACAGAGCCATTTAGTGCGGCCAAACAACCAGCAATAGAAATCCCATCAAATGTTTTCATCTGAGGAATCTGAGTGGGGGCATTGGCCTTGTTGTGCAGGGTCAGGGAGAGGAAGCAAAGGGCAGTTTGACGCATGATGTGGAACAGGAGACCACAAGAATGGCCTGAAACAAAGAATGATCAAAGTTCAATGAAAGTTTTTATCATCACATCAAATCACTGATGCTGCTCATACTGACGACGATATGAAACAGTTTGGGCTCAGTGGGTTAAGTCACATAAACCAGAGAATCAGCAGTTCAAACTATGACTGTAAGAAGCTTTAGGCCTACATGTAGTGAGGGTTTAGTGAGGTTTGTTTGTAGTCATCACAAATAGGCCTTTGTTGAACATGCTCAAATTTATATTTATCAATTTATTTATAACTGATAAACTGTCTAAAAATCCACCCAAGACTGCAATAATGACTTTAAAATATCCACTTAATTGGTTAAAATGTAAATGGCATATTAAGCCTTAGTAAAAATGTGGACTATGTGCAAAATTGCACGAGATAAAAAAAAAATTAAAAATCACTTGGAGGGATGGATACAAAGCTTGTTTTTTTCAGGCATGAATAATGCATGTAGTGATTTAGAGGGGAAGCTTTTAATAAAGCAAAGTGGAAATTTGGCACAGAGAGAGCTGAGGATAAATATTCCAAAATAAAAGGTCTGCTGTTAAAAATAGTGAAATGTTAAAAGTTGTGAAATGGTTATATAGATAAATATGATTTTCAGTACACTGGAATTATGTATAGCCTACTACATAAAATAACTGTTAGTCTTCTGTAATCTATAAAATGTCATTTTTTTGTCCAGTATATTAACATACTCCTACTGCATAGTGTTCTCTCTCTCAACACAGTCTAAAGGATGACATCTGGAGGACATTTGGAGCTATTACAATATGTGAGAGGTCATTATAAACTAGTTCATTGTGGATATTAACATAGAAATAGAAATCTTTGGGATAATTAAGTGACTGGAATATTCACAACAAACAACTGGCTATATGACACACTGGACTGAAATGTGTAAACAACAGAATGTTAGCACACGATTGTGGGATAGGCTAACCTATTGAGCAGAGTCACACATAAGCGGCCTGTAAGCCTTCTAGTTGAATGTGGTTGAACGAGAAAGTAAATGGACTTGAGTTATTGAGACACACCCAGTCACGTGCAGGTGTGCCATGAAATGTCAGCCCATTTCAATTCATTTGTAGGATTTTGCTTTACTGGGGCCCCATCTGTTAATATAGTCTTGCCAGATATTCTATCTATCACATAGCCTAATTGACTAAGACCAAATATATAGTCTGTGGCTGATATCATAGACTGCTGAGAAGGAGTGGCCCCTTTAAGAAACTCCTGGGTGGGAGTGACTGTGTGGCCAATTGGCATGGGTCCTTTAGCTTTGTTTTACTCTCTTTGTCAAACAGTGCAGCTTATTAAAGGAATAATATATTAGCAAAGACATTTTTATGGAAAACGTTTTTTTTATATAAGTATATAGGTTTTTGTTCACGTGGATTATGTGTGCGTTGTCGTGAAGACGCACAGGCAGAAGAAGCGGACACTGTGGTATTGACAGCTAACAACGCTTTGGAATGGGACCAGTCCCGCACTTTTGCCGCTCCTCTTCACACCGCAACTAGGAAAAAGTAGCGCTTACGAGAGGGATTTCTGCTTTTACGGTGGACACGTTATCAGGAAGTGGACGTAATCATAAACCTTGCGCTGCTGTTATCGGTATTTTGTAGCAGGCTCCCACGGCCACTATGGTCCGCGCTTCTTGTCGGTCCAGTGTGCAGCGCTTGAGCTGAAATGACCCGTGCGTAGTGCCGTAGAAGCCTGCGTGGCTCTGTCCGCTTCTACTCAAAGAACTCTTGTGCTGCTGTCTGCAAGATGGGCCACCCTCCTCTGGAGTTTAGTGCCTGCTATCTGGACAGTCCCGAGTTCAGGGAGACTCTCAAATGCTACGAGTCGGAGGTGGAGAAAACCAGCAAATTCCTGAAAGACTTGATCAAGGATGGCGTTAATGTCATCGCCACAATCAAGGGTATGGGTACACTTTTATGCACGATTGCAGGTTAATAATGTGTATTTCATATTGTGTAAAAGGCTAGTGTAGTTGATGTTTGAGCATCAATGGGGCCATTTAGGGGTCTACAATATTGATGTGGGTGGGATAGGCATGGGGAGGTGCTAGTGGTCCCCTGGGAGACGCAGCCCACAGAAAAAGGCCAGGCGGAAGAAGCAGATGTGCCAGAAGAATCACTGTTATTTAAACCATTTGCACTGATCCAGGTGCTGCAGTGCTTCCTCTTTATAACCTCACTTGTCACGTGTTCAAGTCTAGAAAAGTTCAGCTATAATAAAAAGCACCATAGGCACAGATAAAGTCGAGCACTTCTATTTGGGATGACATCTATAAGGGCACACTGTCAGTTTTGTTTGGATCACTCTGATGTGTTTCTGTCATCCAAATGTGAAAACAAATAGTCATTGTTGAGGCTGTATCAGTGCCAAATACTGTTTTTTCCATCCAGATGATTGGAAAAAAATGACAATCTCTCAAAAATCTTGTTAAGGTGTTGTCTAATTATTATTTAGTAACATACAATTTAGCCAGAAATCACCCTAAGACAGATATTTTTTAACTATAATGACTATATTTGCTCTTTACCAGATCTTTGGACTGAAAACTCTGTGCTCCTCTTGGCTCTGTTTTGTTTTTTTCCTAATGCAGACCAGGCGGTGCAGGGGTGATGTATTACATAGGCTTTCCACTCCAATACCACATACTGCCTGTTGGATGTCAGCACAGATTACATATATATACTAAAGACAAAAATGCTCCTAAAGGATTTTAAATTCCCCTACACAATACTATATATTTTACACTGCTTGCCCTGAACATGTGTCATCCACCTGTACATAACCATGGTCATATCCACTATTGTTTTGATGTTTTTTGTAGCCTAGGGTTATTCTGCTGGCAGTGTTGTGTTTCATTTTATGTCTTTTGTTAAGTATTGTAATTTAGTTATCTTGATTGTTATTGCCTGTTTCCTATTCTCTTGCTGTTTTTAAATTTTCCATTGCAACCATTTAATTTCCCCACTGTGTGACAAATAAAGTGTATCTTATCTTTATGTTGTAGCATATTCTGTTGCTGTTCAGAAGTTTTCCCAGACCCTCAACACATTTCAGTTTGACTTCATTGGTGACTGTTTGACCGATGACGAGATTAACATTGGTAAGATGAGATCCTTCGTACCCACTTTTTAATATTCATTCAAGATATTGACTTGATTGAAGCTAGACATTTACTTTGCAGTATATACCAGTCAAAAATGTGGACACATCTTCTGCTTTTTCCATTGTTAAAACATACTGAAGGCATCAAATATATGCAAGACCATATATGTAAGCAAGATCTATGGAATTATGTAGCCAGAAAAGTGAAATATCTCTAAATGTTTTATATTTTAAATTCACATTCCTGAAACTTGCCACCCTTTACTTTGTTGACAGCGTTGCAAACTCTTGGCCTTCTCTCAATGAACTTTATGATGAAGTCTCCTGAAATGGTTTTCACTTCACAGCTGTATCTTGTCAGGTTTCATTTGTAGAATGCCAAGAGTGCAAAGCAGTGATCAAAACAAATGGGGGCTATTTTCAAGAAAAATTTGTTTTGTTTTGTTTTGTTTATTTCACACTTCTGTGTTTACTACATTCCGTATATGTTCATTCATAGTTTTGATGACTACAGTATCAAGAAGATAAAGATAAAGGAAAAAACATTAAACAAAAACATTTTGACTGGCTGTGTATGTCTTTATCACATTCTTGTACTTCTCCTATTTTTTTTTTTTACTACAAACTAATCCCAACTTGACGATACATGTTTATGCCTTCATAACGGTATCTTAAAGCCCATGGTATTTCAAACTTTGACATGCATAGATAACTACACATGTTTTTCTATTTCAGCTCAGTCCTTTCAGGAGTTTGCTGGACTCTTGCAGGAAGTAGAGGATGACAGGATGATGCTGGTGAGTTATCAGCTTTCCCCAATGTTCCCTCATTATTAGATATTAGAAACCTCAAGTACTTCCTGTAGGCTGCATGTGGGATAAAGTTTCTGTTTGTTCTCGTTTAATCTGTCATTCAATATACACGTGTACTAATTGTGTTGGTTAATTGGAATCAAATATTATGTTGATATATTGCTCTCACTTCCTTTAATGTGTTTCCTGTTTTTCTTATTTGTTCTGGGTTGCAAATCCACTGTTTGGTTTCACATTATTTGTCTCTTGTTCTGTTTTTCACTGTAGAGAAGTAATTACCTCTGTCCATTTTAAGTTGAGTTCTGTGGGTTCAATTTTTACTTTCTAGGAATGAAGAACTTCTTGTTTGACTGGGTTTTCCAGATCCAACACCTCGTGTAAAGGGACTGTATGAATAAGGAATATAGTGATGATAATTATAGCATCCACTTAATGTGTTGTAATGTGGCTGTCTGTATGGAGATTGGACTTTATAAAGATATAGTGATATTCATTATTACCTTACATTTAATGTTTAATAATCACTTCTTCAAAACATACTAAAATGGGTTCAATTTGTTTTCAATACAGGTTCAAAATGCATCTGATTTGCTCATTAAACCTTTGGAGAAGTTCAGAAAGGAGCAAATAGGAGCAACTAAAGTAAGTGCCAGCTGCCCTATGCACTCTTAGCAGCTCAGACCTATTGTGTGTCTCAGAATGAAGGCTAGTTTAAAAACATTGCAGATGCATCATCTTCCTGAGTTGCACACAAAGACAGGACACAACAGGCCACTTCCTGAAACCTGTTTATGACATACTCACCTGTGTGACAACAGGGGGCTGCTTTCCTCTAACGTCTGTAAAGCACATGCATTAGAAGTATATCTTTCACATTGTCGCACTTGTTAACTTAATATTGGGAGACAAATTATGTTTCACTCACACTACATACATATATTACACATGCATTCTGTGTACTGTATAATTATTGCATAAACGTTATAGTTGGTTATATAATGAATGCTATATATAATAATACTAATACTAATACTTGACTTTCAGGAGAAGAAAAAGAAGTTTGAGAAGGAAAGTGAAAAATATTACTCACAATTAGAAAAACACTTAAGTCTTTCTTCAAAGAAGAAGGAAAATCAACTTCAGGAGGTCAGTAAATTGTGTATTAATGTATTTTCATTTAGACCAATCATGTTTGAATGGTTAAATAAAGGTCAATATTATAATTATGAGTAGATAAAATGTTCTTAATGTACTTTATTAATAAATAATTAATGTTTTTGACAGGCTGATGAACAGCTTGACAAGGAGCGTGTGAACTTCTATGAAGCTTCAGTGGAGTATGTTTACCAAATCCACCAGGTTCAGGACCGAAAGAAGTTTGATGTTGTTGAACCCGTGAGTCATTACCCACTGTTCTTCTACACCTCACAGCTAACCCACCTCGTAAATAATGTCCAATAACTTTTAAATGTCACATAATATAGCTTTACGCTGCTTTTGTTTTGTTGGGACAGGTTCTGGCATTTCTTCACAGCATTTTGACACTCAATAATCTGACGGTGGAAATGACTCAGGATTTCATGCCCTACAAACAGGAGCTGCAGCTGAGCCTACAAAATGTTGGTTCTGCATTTTAAAGGCTGTAGTACATTGTGATATTGTGCTATTACTTTTCTCTCTGTTACGGTTTGCAGACCAGAAACCACTATGAGAGTACTTGTGAGGAGCTGGAGGAGCTCATGAAGAGGATGACCAGCCCAACCAAAGTTATTCAGATGCACAGTTTACTGCCCATGGAGGGATACTTGTATTGTCAAGAAAAGTGTAAGTGTGCATTTTATTCATGCACCCCAATTGTGTTTGAGTGTGCCGGTTTATAGAGCCCAGCTATATTGACAAACCCACCTGCTATGTTATACCAGGGGTGTTTGAAGTGGGGCTCATGGGGCAAACTTGGCCCTCATTTGGCGGGTGTGGGTCTGCTGAACTTTCTAAGTTTCTAATTTGATTACATTTTGTGCTAAAATGAAAGCGAGCCCATACCAGACCCTAAGAAGCACAATAATTAAAGCCAATTTATTGACAAATGTACTATTTTATGTGAAAAATATGAAAAATGTTTGCCTCTTGGACTGCTGTTTTTGATTTGGCCTGCCAAGGAAAAACATTTGGCATTACTGTGTTATACATTATTAATAACACAAGTTCTTAATACTGCTCTGTATAATGCATTAGCGAGCAACAGTAAAACCTGAACTATTTTTCTTTTTTAGGGGCTTTGGGTGTCACATGGGTGAAATACTACTGCAAGTATCACAAGGAAAGGCGACAATTATTTATGATTCCCTGTGACCAAAAGACTACAGTCAAACAGGTTTATATTGTATTTGAACAAACTAGCATTCCTATACTCATTGTTCTTGTAGATTCACTCATATTGCTACTGTTCTTGTGCTTTTCTTACAGCCAAATACACAGCTCACATTGAAGGCTTGCTTTCGCCGAAAGTCAGAGTCCATAGACAAGCGTTTCTGCTTTGACGTAGAGGCATTGGAGAGGTGAGTGTGACTCTGAGAAAGGAGAATGTGGAGTCGCTTAGGCCTTGTAGGATAAGCAGGTTGTAATGGCGAGGTGAACAGGTGGCTTACAAGGACATGATGTGAGGGCTAAATGGACTGTAGCCCAAACAATCCCAGAGCATCGGCATAGAGCTAGAAACAGATGGCAAATTTCTAAATTCAGAACAATGAACACAATAACTTCATGATTTTATAAGTAGGCTGTTTGGTACAAAGTGATTTTTTCCCCCAAAAGACACTAAAGCCACAGGCGGCCATGTCATATTTAGGGGCAGTTTCTTGAAATCTTTGAAATTGCTTGAATGTTGATGGGGTCTTTTAAAGCTTTCAGAGGTGCCTGAATTATGCATTAAGTGCTTGAAAATGTCTCTGAATGAGCTCCTAATTTGCTGCTGGTGTGAACTGGGCAACATAATGAGGAACTGGTTGGATTATGAACCCAACTCAGCAATGTCAAATAAAACTATTTTTCAACTGTTTAACACTTGAATCACAATTGTCCTGCTTTGTAAAAACACTTAAAGTACATTTTAATTTTGCAACACCAAAATTAAAGGTTTATTTATTTTTTCCCCTCCTCACTGCGGATCTCTTCTATCCACAAATGCTGTAATAATCTTGGTATTATATTTTTCACATCTTTTATATTCATCCAAATACTGGACAATACCGGACATTTTTTAAAATCAATAGAATACAATAGATCTCCAGATGGCACGAACGTTTTAACAGATGCTGCTTTTACTAGTTGTTAAATGGCCTTCCTATGAAACATACAAATTGCCTCTTGACTTAATATCTCCTGTAAAATTTTATCGAATTTGAGATGTACTTTATACTTTGTTAATGTGGTTTGATAATAAAAGCCTTACCAACAAAAAAAAAAGAATAATTAAATGGCAAGTTGTCCATCTCTACCTGAATGCTAACCTGTGCATGTTGTTACTGCTTCCATAGAAATGCTCCTGTCACTTTCCAAGCTCCTTCAGAGGCAGAAAGAAAGCTGTGGATGGAGGCCATGGATGGAAAAGAACCTGTGAGTAAATTAATAAATAAGATGGTGTTGTTATCTCCTGCGTAACACCTGCATAATGTAATCAACCAAAGCAACGGACACTCAATTTCTACAAATGAAATCAACATGGGTATATTTTTAGAGTGAATGCTGTTAAATCATTAAGGGATTATTATTATTTTGAGATGATATACTTTGAATGCCCTAAAGGGAGAATATCTAAATTTTCCAGTGTTCTATTCTTTATTAACAACATATTCAGTTGTAACCCTGTGTAGTGCATATCCTTTTTTTTTGTTCTTTTTTAATCTTAGGCACAGCACAGCAAATGGTAGCTGCGGCTCTGTCAGTTGTGGAAAGAATAGATAAGGCTTGGCTTCGACCAGAGGATGTGAAAGACGCAGAGGCCACACTTTTAAAATAACCACTTCCTGCATTACTTCCTCATTCACTCTATGCTTCAGTATATCTGCAAACTCTCTTAGACTTTGTCAGGTTAAAATATGATTAGGATCACTTCAACAACACTTTATCATTAACAGCCAGTGCCTTAAAGCAGTGGTGGATGAAGTACTCAATTTTGTTACTTAAGTAAAAGTACAGATACAGAGGCAAAAAGATACCCAAGCAAAAGTATCACATGAAAAAATCTACCTCAATAAAAATATTAAAGTACCTGTTTAAAAATGTACTTTAAGATTAAAAAGTCAAAGTATTTCACACAAGTGTTAATTGATTAAAATGTAGTTTAAAAAGATATATATTTTAGTTAACTGTTGAATAAATTTCTTATTTTTTCTCATGAATTTAGTTTATTTATTTTGGTTTGCTGAAAGACCAATTTAAAAGCTTTTAGCCAGGGCATTACCACAAAAATGTAAACCCCCTTAAAATCATATGAAAAATTAAAAAAAAAACAGAAAGCACACCAAAAAAAAAAAGCTCTCAAATGTGGTGAAATAAAAGTAAAAAGTATCCACTTTAAAATTGACTTTAGTAAAGTACAGATACCTAAAAAGTCTAAATACAGTACTTTACTACGTGCACCTTCTACCACTGGCCTTAAGACGCTTATGTTCAGGTCATGCACATATGTTTCCAACACAAATATAAACCTTATGCTACAACCCTGCTGATACCTTTTATTATAGTTTAGTTTTTACTGTGGAGTTAGGGGCTTTAATACTGTAATAGTTTTGGTGCTTTTTTATTTTAGGATAATGCCAGGATTGTGTATTAACGGTTCCCATTTTAAAATCTAACTGTAATTCAATCAATCAATCAATCAAACTTTATTTGTATAGCACTTTTCATACATTTGAAATGTAGCACAAAGTGCTTCACATGCAACAGAAAAATTACAATACAATAATTAAAAACAAGAACAACCCCCCACCCCATCCCATTGTTTCATCCATATATACAACAATTTAAACATAAACATAAAAACAAAAACATTAACATAATTAAAAGTTAAGGGCGAAATCAAAAGAAGATGTGTATCTGGTCAATGACTTTTTCAGCCATTTCTTTAGACTGTGTCCTTGTGCCTTCTTGAAAGATTTCCTAAGTATTTCTTTCCATTTCAGAAACTATTCATTTCATGTCATTAATCACATAAGACCAACGAGGGCAGTGTTTTTACAGCTGTTTTCATTTTTTTATTATTATTATTTTTTTTTACGTTTTTCATTTCAGATCTACCATTCCCCAATTCAAAAACAAGCTGAAAGTAAGCGACTACTCTTGCACAAAAGTTATCTCTGCAAATACAATCTGAAGTCTTTTGTTCAACATCAAGGTGTGTGAACTAATTTGTAGTATATTTTCTTTTGCAGTGGAATTGAATGAAATTGGATTTAAGTTTGTGAGAAGATGTATCAATTACATAGAAACTAAAGGTTAGTGTTTGTATTTGATATGTGTAAGCATGCAAGTATTTCTTTAGGGGGCGTAGTTGAGTTGCAGGCTGCACTCACTGTTTTGAGCTGACATGCCCTTTGAAGAGGTTTGAACATACTTTAAAATTGTTGTAATTATGTCTTTAAAAACAACTCAACTATTCACATTCTGTACGGTACTCAACATTTTAACAAATTTTCATTCATTTTTTTCTTTTTTCCCAAATAACTACAATTTGGTTGAATAAAATTTAAAGTTCTACACTCACTGCATATTGGTCTGGCCTTGTCACTTTCTGATGTGTCGTAATCTTTAAACCACATCTGTATGTCCTCACTAGTCTATGAAGTAAACTGTGCAGTATATTTCCACTGTCTCCCTCCAGCCTCCCGCCCTTCATTTCAAAACCATCTCCTTCCCTTTGTCTCTCCACAGCAGTCACACAAGAAGGAGTTTATCGAACAGTTGGCAGTAACATCCAAGTGCAGAAGCTTTTAAATGCCTTCTTTGGTAAGGTACTAAGCCCGTAAAATGCGTGCTTCCTCTGTCCGTGCTCTTTTCTATGTAGTGATTGGCTGCTACCTGATTATCTAACATGATACAACAGGTTTGCCTAGTTTTGTTTAGTGAGAGTTGAGTCACAGTGGACACCACCTATTAAAACATATTTGCTTGTACCCATTTTAAGAGAATTTCCAAAAAATGTTGTTGTGTTTAGAAATTAGTAGCACCCGAATAAAATGACGGTACAGCAGTCCACTTGCCCCCACCAGGAAAAAAAAATAAAATGTAGAATTAGATTTAGACAAAAATCAGACAATAATTGATACAAAACTAGATATTCATTTGAGCATGTGTCAATACTAAAAAAGTTGCATTCGCAGGACAGAAGTGAACCTTTTCTGAATAGCTTTTGAATGACATATATCCAAAGAAGTATAAGAGCACACAGACTAGTATATGCCCTTTGACCACTCTGAAACCTACTTGGACCACTGAGGGATTACATAGATATAAGGCCATGTGGGAATAGAAAATAAAGTACTATTATTTAATGTTGATCACATCCAAATGACAGAGTGTTTTTATTATTTTTCAAGTTTGTTATTAAGTTATTAAATCAAGTTTGAAATTTTAGTATTGTAGCAACACAATCCACAATGGAAAAAATTACTTGGACACAGTAGCTCATACATTAAAATCTAATAAAAAAATAAAAAAAGTGGTAGTGTGTAAGTTGTGTTTCTTTTGTCTCTTCTTAGGTCCAATGAACCCTGGAGATGTGGACCTGCAGAACACAGACTGGGATGAGAAAACTATAACAAGTGCATTAAAGTTTTATCTAAGGTGATTATGTCCTATGTTACCTCCATAGAACACCATTGACTTTTTATTTAATACTGAATTTGAAGACACATTTTTAGGCCTTTTTATATATCAAATTTGGTTAGAGTTTGGTCTTTATCCTCACAGGATAGTTTGGTTACATGCATAAATGGTAACTGTAATTATACACTATGAGCCCATTTATCCTTTTAATAACAATATGACTCACAATAAAATCTCCCCAGTATTAAATGTATCTTTGTATTTGTATTGCCAGTCACAACATTTTCCAAATTAGATGATTACATGGATTTCCTAAAATTGCTTTTGTAGCATTTAACAGACTAACTACTGCCTTGTGTCTTGGCTTAAACTGGTAACTTGAACTCGCCTGGTGGTAACTCCAATTTACAAGTGTCTGTGTTTCTGTACAGGAGTCTGTCTGAACCCCTCATGACCTACAATCTTCACAGGGATCTCATGTCTGCTGCAAGTAAGTTTTCCCAAATCATCACGGCCTGTCAATAAGTATTCTTACTCAAACTGAATAAATTTACCAACTTATAAATCCGAATGACAGCATGGTAGAGAGGATAGTGCCGGTTCAGCAGTTCATCTAAAAGCAATAGGAAATGTGACTCCCTTTTTACTTTTATAGCCTGCATTACTGTAAAATACAATACTTTTAATAGCATCAACCTTATACTTTCAGGACGTCAGAGTGAAGTCTAAACAATCAGTGACTTAAGTTTCCTGGAAATGCTGTTATTTTGTGATTAAATAGTCCAGCTGTAGAAGATTGTGTTGTGTATTTTATAAGCTCACCAAGGCAGTGTGTTATTTTGCATATTCTAAAAACTGATCAAATTATATGTTTCTCTGTTTTTATATATTGCATGAAATCACACCAACTGTCACTTATGCAGTTACTAAGGAAACCATCAACTCATATAGACTTTATTTGCCATCAGTGAACCCGCCTTTTATTCAAATGCCTTTCTTACAGTATAAATGGATTTGGACTTGTTTATTCTATTATTACAGTTATCACACGACATTAAGGTTTCAATCATCTGTGAATTGTGGGTAGTCAAACACAACCTAATACAGTGGCATTATCGGAAACCTGGTTAGGGAAAGCAGTTATTGAATTTCAAATGATGACAACCTTATTAAAAGTAATATTTATTTTCAACAAATAGCTGCAGGGTTTTATCAAAAAGTTAGTTACTAGTAATAATAAAATGGTGGAGAATTTGTACCTATCAATCATCAAATCAAATTGTTTTTTTTGTTTGTTTATTTTTCTCAGCTTTTGTTTATTTAAATTTGTATTGAAATTACTTTTGTTACAATTATTTTTTATGAGTCTGTCCTGTACATTGCAGTTGGGAGTATACTGTTGCTTTTGTAATTTTTTCAAACTTTTTATATAATTTTGTCATGTGAAGCCACCACAATTAAGTTATAATAATGGTGATGACTCTTCTCATCTTTCCATTTCATCATCTTGCTTTGTAGTAATATGTCTCTGCAAAACAAGCTCAAATATCCTTTTTATAACAATTCAGACACCAGGTGTTGTTACTAATCAGAGGAAATGTTCGGTGGCCACCTGTTTTGCAATGGGGATTTCAGAGAAATTTTTATATCCACCTTAAGGCCAGACTGCAATTTTAATGTTGCCATTTTTGACTGTCCTTTTTACTTTCTTTGTTTTTACTTTTTCCTCTCAGAGTCTGACAATTTGGACTTTCGACTCAGTGAAATCCATACCCTTGTCTACAAACTACCAGAAAAAAATCGAGAGATGCTGGAGATGCTGATTAAACATTTGGTCAAGTAAGCACTGCCAATAACTTTTTTTATTGTCACATTTTTGGACCGGGCATTATTGGATTTTTCCCTTTCTTGTTTTTGTTAATATCTGACTGGAATTCTGTTTGGTCACATTTGACTCACCTGTTTTTGTTTGTTACCAGCGTATGTGGCCATAGCAATGAAAACCGGATGACCCCTTCCAACATGGCAGTCATATTTGGACCCACTCTCATGAGGGCACAGGAGGAGACTGTCGCTGCCATGTTGGACATCAAGTTTCAGAATATTGTTGTGGAGATCCTCATTGAAGAGTACAAAAAGGTATAATTACATACATTGTCATAAATCACTACACAGGGTTCAATAGCTATTTTTGACATTTTATGTGCCAGTGTGTTTAAGTTTGATCAAATCTAGTACCAAAAGTTCCAAGTTGAATTAAACATTTGAATAGAAATTTACACCACTGGATTATCACGATAACAATATTTAGACAATATTATGTCCAGTCCAATAGAAATGTGAATAAACATGTCTTTCAATGTATTAGTTGAGGTTTAAACAAATGTGAAATGATGTAAAATTATCCAAGAGCAGAACTATTGCGTAATATCTTTATTCAGAAATTTCCAGCATAAATCGATTTAATTTTCATTTCATTTTAATCAACTGTTTTTGCTAATGTATTTATTATAAATGATATGCTCATCATTCGAATTTTGCATATTTGAAAAGAATGTTCAAAACAGTATTAACATTTAGATAACCTGCCAACTTCTAACCACAACACTCCTGAATCCAACTGCACTGGGTTGTTGATTCTCTTCATTTAATGTCTTCAGATGTGAATTGAGTTGCCATGACCATGAGGCTGTATTTGGTCAAACACCACAGCTTAACCACTGTTGCTCCACTTTCAGATCTTCTGCAGTCTCCCGGAGGACAGCAGTGCCCGACCTATCCCTCCCCCTCGAATTACTCCCCGAACACGACAACCAATCACAATTTCCAAACGGCCGGCGCGTGTCTACACAGCTCTGAGTCCCGAGCACTTTCATTCAGAGAGTAATTATCCTCCTCTGTAGTCCCACTGCCACCAGCACCTTCTCGCCATCATCATTATCCTAAGTGATGGCTAACATTTCCCTTTAACTCTCATCATTTGCTAGTCTATGTCTCCATCATTCATGTCATTTGTACTTCATTATCTTTTATCTGTAATTTGAGTGGTTGTCTCTTATGATGCTTTTAAACCATCAAGTTAAAAAATAAACCTTTTTGTTCATTTGTTCTCATTTGAGCATTTTTGTTATGTCACTATTAGCAGCATGACCCCATTCCTTTGTTTGTCTTTTAATAGTCGAAAATAAATATTCCTAATAGCATGAAAAGTCTGATTTGACTTTGTGATAACTCTATGTAAAATTTGACTTTTTGTTAAAATGGTATGCCTAAGAAGCCCCACTGAGTAACATTTTAACCATCTAATCTTTTCAGTTTTTACTTGTCTAGCGAATGGGCTGTCCCTTTCACATTAATTGTGTTGTTGCTCTGTGGCAGATGGTCAGAAACATGGCTCTGTTTTAAGCCCCACTCCCCTACAGCGGACCAAACCTCTCCCTCCTAGAGAACCTCCTCCACGGGTACCTCTGATGCCCAAACCTGTCCCCCCAACCCGTCAGGACCGCTCCTCAGACTCCTTTGACTCCTCCTCCTTCTCAAATGGAGAGATCCCGGTCACCGTAAACCGGACCCCATCGTTCCAAAACAGACGACCTCCTAAAGGTATGGTTCCATTGCATCTCTTCACTGCTGTATGTCATTGCAAAGTTACATGTTATAGTATTTCAGTTATTTGTACAAGTTGTTTATTTATTTTATAACTGCTTGAGGTGCATCAACTGTTTTTGGATTAACATCATTACAGCAGTTGGGACACCAGAGCCTGCCCAAGTCTTTGACTTTGAGAATTTAAAACTTAAATTGTATCTTATCTTGGGAAAATTATTTAGTAATAATTATACATATTAAGAATAAGAAATACTATTTTAATGATACATTTTTTGTAATAATTTTGTGCAATTTCTTTAAAAAAAATTACACAAAAGGTATTATTCAATATACAGCCTCAGTCTCTCTGTGTGAGGTGAGCCAATCATATTTTCGGCATGCTTTGTGCCCACCTTGGGCAGAAATGAGGTATATCCCACTAGTATGTCCCATGTTCTTTGTACATGAGGCAGGAGGACATCACAAAGGGTACTTGGTTACCTAGGATTCAGTGCAGGAGGAACCTTCACAGAGTCTATAAAGAGGAAATCTAATAAAAATTCATCAATGTAAGGGAAAAAATATTGCCCAGCCCTACTTCATATTTATGGCTTTGTTTTGCAGAGGGGCTTCGATCGACAGAAAAGCCCGTCATCTGTAGACCACCAGTGCGCCCTCCCGAGCCCCCGAACCGACTCCCCGCTCCACAAAAGAGTCCAGTCCTCGTCCACTCTGAGCCCACTGCCACATCCTAGTAAGTCCTCCTCAGTCTCACAAAAGCCCCTTTGGCACATCCCTCAGTCAGATGCAAATGACACAGGTTTAAGAATTGAAAAACATTCCTCCATCTCCTGATTGTATAGATCAAGATATTTAAATGAGCTCCAACAAATTCCATCACAACTGTGTCATTTTAGTGTAATCTAGGTGTAATGAAGGTGGACACAACCAGACCACTGCAAACCATCATTTAGACAATGACAGCAGGCCAACAGTACTGTATTATCATAAAACAAGTTAATATGATACATTTTCACTGGTCTGCTGGTACTTTAGAAGTAATGTTATCTGAAGAGCAGCCATCTGTGGGCCAATTATGACACTTTTTACAGGTGATAATGGGTTAATTATCTTGTTATCCCCCAAAACGGCATGTTTTTTTCCCAAAAGATAATAGACTTCTTGTGATCTGGAGGAATAGTTACTGTGGTAGGTCTGTGGAGAATGGTAGACGTGTAACTAATGACATTAACCGTGATGATAGATGATCTGTTGTATGTCAGAGTGAGATGGGTCATGTTGGAGCTGTCAGTTGTGTGTGACTTGTAGCCACTGCTGATTTTACTATTTGAAATATTTAATGAAGAGTTGCTAGTTCTGACAAATGTAATGTGAGCTCTCTGTCTTGTTGCCTCTACAGTGTTGCCTCGAAAGCAAAGTTTTTTGAAAATGCCTCCAAACAAGGTGGAAGGTATGTCTTTTTATAATACCATTACATAATCTTCCAGTTTGTTATTCTTATTTGAATGCAAAATGAATTTTTTGTTTGTTTTTTAGTTAAGCAATTGCTTAAAAACCCTCAGCCATCAAAGAGGTGAGATTGGTAATGACATCTACATTTTATATTTGCACTTTTTGCTAACCATTGTTTGGGATGTTTTCATAGAACTCAACATGGCGGCCTCTGGTTGTATCATGAGTGCACAGGGCGCAGGACTTCTCCACTCAAAAGTGCCTCAGATAAAAGCTTGGATCTACGGGTTTAGAGAAGTTGAGTGAAATTATAGTGTATGTGTTTGAAAAGCACAGCCACAAAATCATTTAAATCATCTTTCTTATCGTCTCGCTCAGTATGTGGTCATTATCCTCACAGTATAAATTATTACAATGTATTCCCATGAGTTCCTATGAATATTTAAAAGTCCACATTTGTTGTGGCTGATATTGATTTCAGTACCGTTTCTATGCAATACAAATTACTATTTGATTTGAACATTTGAAATAGTAGATTATAGTTCTAAACCGTATGATACATTATAATTCTAAATTATAACACAATTTCAGAAGCCTTTACAAATCCATGTGAACAGTATTTTATACAGAGGCATTTGGTTTCTAGTGCATATGAGAAACACTAAATGATTTTGACTGGTGTTGCTTTGATTAGGAGTCACTGGATCATTCTGTGTTACATTTCTAATTCTAGTCACTTCACATTCCCTTGGGCCAGCACTAGTGAGACTGTCCCTGTATCAGACATTTTAAGACAATTTTACCTGAAACTCAAAGCCTTAAAAAGTAGGTCAAATATGCAACTGAAGGACTGTTTTAGGACTGTTTTAAAATGGCACTCCAACGTTTTACAGTGTTACTGTAGTGAACTACTGTATATGTATTTTACTTATTTGTGAATGTCCAAAATAAATACATGAATGTGACAGGCTCATATTGCTTGTATTCCTCGTGACAGCTAGTATTAACACTACCCATGTGTGTAAATTTATTTGTGATCAGACATTATGCAGACGGCTCACTTGTTATGTATGCAGGAGTGAATATTTTGGAGCCATCACTGCTTTAAACATTGTCTTTCTGTGATGTGTGATGGTTTTTGTGGCAACTAATAAAACATTTCATTAGTTGTCTTGGAAACATTGTTATCAACCTTTTTTTTCCAGACTGAATTAATACAGCTGGCTTCAGGAAATTGCCATGTGCACTGTCCTTAATGCTTTCAGTTAGGCCTTATATTAGTCCACGAGCTTCTTCCTGCTGAAAAAAGTAAACTGTCTATATTACTTAGTAGATCATCTTCATCTTTATTTGTGTCCATCCATTGTTGTCTTACTTGAGCTAGAATCACTATCAGTAACTTCAGTCTGTAGAATGCAACACAGCTACTATCCAGCATGGTAAAGATTTTGAAGTAATAAGCTTCATGTTTACATAACTGCACTTTTTGTTAAAGAAAAAAATGTTTTATTGAGTATGTAATATTAAACTATAACATACATAAGTCGTTATTTTACAGTTTAACCTTGTTTACAATGAACAATCTGAAATGAGTTTAAAAGAACTATAGACTTCCTGTTCAAAATTTCAGAAGTGAGATACTCCGCCTCTTCATAATGGCATTTCACTGTAGCAAACTGGATTGTTTGGATTTGTCTTTTTATTGGTGAAAAATTGGAGTCAGGGACTTTTCTTTAACAATCAAAAGTAAGTATGAGGCAGTGGACAGAGATAGGCGGTAAGCCAAATGAAAACATTTTCAGGGCACTCAAATGCAAGACAATAATATTATTATATTATTTTGTAATATTATAAATTATACTATATGAATGCAAGCTCATAAAAGTTGTTGACGTCTGTTCATCCAAAACATTTTCAGATTATCTAATAAAATCACAGACATGAAAAACATCTACATACACAAAGTTTTCCCCCCAAGCATTTTTTGTCCATATTTACATAAGCCTCTTAAGACTAATATCAGAGGTGTTCTAGAAATGGTGAAACCTAAATGCATAATTACACACTGCTTACTTTGACTTGTGTTGTTTTTACTTAATAACCAGTGTCATCCCAGTTACAATGATCCATATTAAACAGTGGAATTTTCCCACCAGATTTGGGGCCAATTCATATGACCTTGATCCTTGGTGAATTAACATGCAACAAGCACAAGACTAAAGGGAGCGTACGCAGGAACAATGGAATTTGTGTTCCCAGTGGCACATCCCAGCTGTCGAGTGATCTTTAAAAAAAAAAAGAAATAACCAAAATCTGAATGTTAGTAGTGTTTTCATAACGTGTCAATTGATGTAAATCATGGATGGCTTTTTACAACTGACAATTACAGGATCACAAGAAATTCCTTTATTATGACCACAGAGCTGATATTCACTCATAGAGTCCCTCAGTAAAACTCAGATTAAAGAAGTTCACCTTTATTGTGTTTAAAAGATGATGCAGCTTTTACACCTTAAAAAACATTGTAAAAGACACAAGTCACAAAGATAGAAATCATACAAGAAATGTCTTTGAAAGTCAAGTTTGGACATCAAAATAGACACTGATCAATATATACAGCTATACGGCAGCTGATATGCAGTTCACCAGGCACAAAAGGGCAGCTGGACATGTTGTCCAAATGGTGTCCCAGTGCAATGCATAAAAATACAACAGCATCAAAAAGCATTCATTTAAAAGTTGAACAGCCATTTCTAGTGCAATTAGGGAATGCAAAAAGGCAAAGGCATTCGAGATTTGTACAATGGATTTCACATTAAACATTGCATCTGTTGATTGATTTAACATTTTTTCGGTATGTTCATGGATAATGATTTCAGTCTGATTTTACAGTGATACAAGAAGCATCTGTTGGATCAGTGGTTCTCATACTTTTGTTTACATCTCACATTTTTTACTTTTTGTTACAACAAGTACAGGTCCAAAAAGCACTGAACGGTGAATGCACAAACCCCTATGAAAACATTACAATACTAAAACACTAAACATAACTTTGAGTTGATCTGAATACAGATGAATCTGGTATGAAAGGACAAATCTTAATAATAGTTAAGTATTGGCCAGAGCAGTTCACACTGTTGCTTAAGACCAGCTGTACATAGACCACAGTTTGAGAATCACTGACCATAACAGTCTCCCACAAAACATCTGCCTCAAACAAATGACAATACTCCTGTCCTGTATAAAGAGTAAAATGGTGTCCATGCAGTTATCAGTACACACAGAGTTAAAACAAGCACAATGCATGCAACTACTAACTACTAACACTAGCTTGGCTTTGTCACGAGGAGATAGACACATCCAAGTATGATACTAAACAAGCTGCAGATTTTTGTTGTTCTTATTTTTTGCTAATGTACAAAAGACAGTCCCGTGGTTGTCCAAGTTTGTATGCACATGCCTCAAGTTTTCCTGATTAAATAAAATATTACAATTTTAAATGAAACCCAAAAGATTTGTCCATTTTTGTTGGTATCTGTGAAGCATTCCTCAGATTTCTTCACTTTTGGCTGCTTCACTCAAAATGTTTTACACTGAAGTTGTTCCAGTCCTAGAGTTGGCAGGATGGGTCCCGTTGGCACAGAGGGGCTGCCCTAATCTAAGTCCCTTGGCAGCCAAAGCGCACTGCATCCCTTCTCAAAGCACCTCTCTCTATTTTTCCCTCCCAAAGCCATGACTCCATCAACACCGCTTGGCTATACTGTGCGATTAGCACAGTATAGCCATCATCAATTCATCTTTTGTCTAAACAGCTTTGAATTTCTCAGGTTGAATCACCAGAACGACAAATGCAAAAACACATGAAATATATAATTCAAGGCACCGGACCAAGAAAATGCTCACCCCTGGTCTAAAAGTGTTACATCTAAATCACCAGAAAGCACTATAAGAGAATGTACAAATACTAAATATGTTAATTTGAGTTGTCTTATATTTTGTTGCTTTAACTAACTGAGCACCTAAATTATACCTAGAGTGAGCTTAACTTTACGAAGCATAACATTATGGCCCCTAGCCTATTATTTGTGGTGGCTGCAGTAGAGTCTGTGTTGAATTAAGGCAAAAAACTGCAGGTGATGAGAGATAACAATATTAACGTCTTCTAAAGTTTGTTTACATAAATATAAGAGAAAAAAAATTATTATCATGGTATGTTATTATATAGAAACAATTAATTTTATTTGGAAAATAAATGCAATATGAATGAATAGATTTATTCAAATCAAATTTTAATTTCTTGCTTCATTTTGTTGACAAAAACTACAGAGGATGATTTAGGATTAGAGTAAAAAATGTTACAAATTAATGAAATTAGATGTCAACAAATCCTTCTGCATGATCTTTTAAAATTTTGGTAAGTACAAAACTGAATATATTGTTGTACACAAGTCCATCTTTGAAGGGTGTAAAATACATATTTAAATATCATTGCATCTGAAGTTACAATATCCCCTATAAATCTATTGATCCAAGTAGATAAAATTAAATAATGAGACATCTTTAGGTGAACATTGGACAATATCTTGCCATAAATACAATTAGAGAATAGATTCAACATAGAAGCCAGTGGTTATAATGTTACGCTCAATTTGTGTAAACTACAATAATTCTTCATGTATGCCAGTGCAATGTGTGTGTTGTTTGGATCAGTAAGCATGTGTCTCTGGCTCAGTCCAACAGGGAGAACTTTAAAGGCAAATCGTGTTGAAGACGAAGCACTTGATCTAGTCATATTTGAAATCCTGATTACAATCATACATGGCTTAGCATGAATACCAGACAATTACACTGAATATAACAGAATAAACCAAGTCAGAAGATACAATGTGAGGTTTTAGTTGTATGGCTGCTACAAGGCTCCACCCACTTCCTTTTGACACATGTTGCATCTTGAAAAACTTTATTGATAACGTTTAATAAACTGTAAATGCTGCCTCCTCTGTGGTTAATGTTTTGATTGTTCAAGTCCCAACATTTAATAGTGATTTCAAGATGAATAAGAGTAAATATGACAAGAAGCCTATGCACAGCTTATATCCTAAATAAAAGTAACCGGACATCAACTATATGTACAATACAAATGAATCTAAAAAGGTTTTATAAGATCCACCACTGATAATAAAGTTATTTACAGGTCAGAATGTATAATATATGAGAGTTAAATGAGAACTCAAACCCAGAGAGAAGCAGTTGTTTGCTTCTCCAGCCCAAGCGTGGATATAAGGAGGACTCATAACAATCACATATTGTTGTTAAATGTTTTTGCATTGTTGTTAAATGTCGCCTAAAAAGAGCACCAGAAGGCAGCAGTTATATCAAACATATACTGTAGATCTGTGTCTGAACTGTCCTGGCCTGTCCTTATTATTTAAAAGATGATGTGATTTGACAAATGTGTTTTAAATGGCAGCCATGTGTTTAACCTTGCTGACAGTGGGCAGGTTACTGTGTACAGTGAAGTGTGTCTCCAACTTCAGTGGGAGCAGGTGAGGCCTCGCAGCACTTCAGATAAAAGCTTAAACAAACCATCTCAATTATGGCCAAATGGAAAAGAGCACTGGAATAATTGCAAAACAACACTCAGAGCGATTAGATTGAAGATGTAGCAAACAGTACAAAGCCGTCATTAAAGTTTACGAAGGATGAGTCACTTCAGATGATAACAGAGTTCCTCTACTCATGAAATAAGATCGGCTTGGCCAAACCTGCCAAGATCTTTGGTACATGTACGGAGATGATCTCTCCGATCATCTCCGGGAAGCTGACCTTTGTGGGTAGCGACTGCGCCTGAACGAAAAGGTCAAAGGTGAACTGGTGCAGCTTCTTCACCGTCTGAAATACAACAGTGAATGTGAGCTTGAATGGAAAAGGTCTCCGATGTACCACATTACAGATGATATTATGACATGTAGAGGGTCTGAAATTTGCACACATTTTCCACAAAGGAAGCATTGCTCATCTGCTGTTACTTAACATGATTTGCTGTATTAAAATTGATTTGACAACTTTTTCCTTTTATATATGACATTATAATTATTACATATAGATGTACATTTTGGATAAATGTCTTAACCTTAATTAAATTATCATGAATTAAAGCAGGATTATCCTTTAAGGTCCTCACATCCACCTTAGGTCATCTCCTAATCCTCCAATAAAACATATCTCTGTATACTGAAGTGATATTTGTAATCTTGCTTTAAGCTTTTAACTTTGGGCTTAATGAACAAAAGCCTCATGCTGTATCTCTTACCATCTGCAGGGAGTCGAGGAGGCGTGTGAGCTGGTAGAAGCGCTGAGAACAGTTGTTGGACATTTGATAGTTAATGACTCGGTCAAGTTCGTTGATGTAGGTGAGACGCAGCTCATCAAAGTATTTCTGACTCTTCAAGCCCTCCACAGGAACTGGACACACAAGGGACACAGTGTCAGGATATGTTTACACATTTATAAGTTTGTAAAAGTTTGTACTGTACTAGTTTAATATCCACGGAGAGTAGATGGACTCACTGATGCTGAAGAGGAGCAGGGCCTTCATGCACAGAAATTCCTCCTGAGTGATCTGCAGCAGCACAAACTCCTGGGACATGTGCCTCATGCGGATACAATGCTCGTACATACTGGAGATGTGCATCCGGTGTCTGCAGAGACGCAAAAGGTCAAGACGAAAACTAAAGGGCGAGCACATTCAGATCACACAGCGGACACTCACTTAGTCTTTAACGCTGCCATCAAAGCAAAGAGCACAGGGCATATCCATATCATTACAGTGTACAGTGAACTGTGATTCTTTCTATGATAATGCACTCAGCCCAGGCTCAGGGTCATTCTTTCAAACTATAGTTTATAATAACAGTTTCCCTGTCTCAACACTATCACTAACTCTGTTTCAATAACCATCAGATCTAATCTATCTCACTGATCCCAAATCATTGTTCCTTCATTATGAATAAGGTATAAGACTGCAGTTTATTTAGCTTAATTGGAAATAAAAATGAAAAGAGATAGGGCCAATTAGACTTGAAACATGTGTTTAAGATAAAGAACTGTAGACAATCCATGATAGAGCATTGTTTATTCTAAAATCACCCTATCAGACCACAAGGAGACAGTAGCCTCTGCTTTCTGGTGCTTTGAATTTTAGCTATGCAAATATAAACCATATGTGTGAACCCATGCTTGAAGGATCTCTGATTATCTAAATCCAGGCTTAAATTTGGACAGTTCAAATGAGACAAGCCACAATAGTTCCCTGACATATGAAGTGCACTATGTAAATTCCCTAAAAGAGGGTTCCCCTCCTGCCTGCCTGATAGATTTCTAAATGTTACATACAGCATATAGCAATAAACTTCTCTGAGACAAGCTGTAAATATAAATCTGCTGCTTGGTACAGTTAAGTGGTGGCCTCAGTTAAACAATGATCTACCAATGTTACATGTATTATTATTATTATTATTTTATTTTTTGTTTGTTTTTATATGTTTGTTTGTTTCATTCATTGGCTATGGGGCTGAGCAATGTGCTCTAATATAATTCCTTTCAAAAACCCATACTGCCTCAAGCTGAGCCTAAATTAGGTCCAGTCAAGAAGTGTTACTTGTGAATGTGGACATTCAGAAGAAACTGTTTAGGACAACATAAAACGGGTCACGTACAGAGTACACAATCATAAAACATTTGAATCAGTCTGACATTTGAATGATAAGATCTTTAAGTAAGTACAAGGTGATCTAATATTAGCCCAATACCAAATCTTTGATGATAACTCTACTTAAATGCCTCATGTTTGTTGAATAAAGGATTTGAAATTGTTTTAGTTGCTCTTCATGATTGTGCTGTTTTACACCAGAACACACTGGTTCATTTCAATTATTATTGAAATGCAATGTTTTTAAAATTGTTTTTAGACTTTCTAGGAACAAAGATTGGACTTTGAATAAATGTGCTACTGTATGTCAATCTTTTGGATGTGCGAAAGTGTTTGCTCGTAGACACAATGCAATACAGTACAATATGAGTGGCCTTACAGAGAACCACAGATAAACACGAATGACAACCAATTATCCATTTAAGGTACTATTTTACTGACCCCAGAGCATATAAAGGGAGACTTCAGTATGCCTTTAAGTGTCACTGTTAAAAAAGCAACAGAGTAATCCCGAGTATCTTCTCATTTCATTAAGTTAATACGAGAGTGTGCGAGCTGAGGAGGCAGAGTTTGAGTTTTGTGGGGTTTTGGTGCAGGTTTTTGAGCCTCCAAGACTTGTGTCTGGATCATAATGGATTCTCTCAGGCTTCTGATGGATTTTCTGCCTTTTAATGAAATATCAGCTCTGGCTGCACAATTGGATCCATTACAACCAAATGTGCTATGCAGCATGAATAGATGAAGCCCTAGACATGGTGCCCACACTGGTTATAATCACGGGTCCATTTCTGTGACACAAACACATTATCTAGGACAAATTTCTACAAATTTATCAGCTATAAATTATTTAAAATTACCAATCACTTTACTAGAGTAATGCATAAGTTTTCCCCAAACCTTGAACTTTGTGTGTCAGTCTCAAATGGAAGCAAGTCTACAGTTCAAGGAGTCCAAGGGTCACTTTTACTCAAAGAATTTTATATTTTGAATTATGAATATTTACGTCTATTTATCTTTACACTTTTTTTGTATCATTAGGTGCAATATTATGAGTAAAAACAATCTGATATTTGGTAAGCCAACTAAGGATGTATATACATTTACTTAATTATGTCATAATTTTTGTATATATTTAGATTTTATGTCAAACTAAAAAAAAATTGCAACATAAAGCACCATAATCGATAAAAAAAAAATAAAAAATAAAAAATCCCTTGTGTCTCCACTTTTGCTATGTTATTGCTATGCTATTACTTTTATTGGAATTTCAACAGTTATATTGTAGCCCAATGCATGTTCTGTCTCTGAAAATCCACAAATGTGCCTCTATTCAGTGTCTATGAGCATTAATATTAATAATCCCACCAGTGCTGTTGTCTGTCATGAGTAATATGAGACCTGAATCATTTTCTCTCACCAGGACTATGCGCCTGTGAAAGCTCTGGCCCATTGTTCGTTATTTTAATCTCCCAGTAACAAAAGAACAAAAGGGAGGAAACTAGATGAGCATGCACCAGCTACTGCTACTTTATATTTACGAGATTACAGGCACTTCTTTGAGCCAGAGAGACTGATAGACAGAGAGGAAGACAGAAACTAGTGTTGTCTGTAGTGCAGCGGAGGAGGAGTGCTGGCGGGCCACCCCACTTATCATGACGCTAACTGAATAGTAATCATTTTGGTGATACATACTCATTGAAAATCAGATCTGGAGCGAAGTAAAGCATCCGGCCATTAGCGTTCTTGTAGGACCTCCAGCCCAAAGCAAATACCATGACCCCCATCCACGACTGTTGGATCACAGTCATCTGGTCATCTACGTGCAGGTTTCTGAAGCCTACACAAAGACATCATAGGGTGTACAGGGAGGCAACAGTCAATCTACAGAATCTACTGTACTTTTTATACCAAGTATCACCTAAGATAATGCTTGGCTTTTTGTGTACTACCACATCTAAACCTGTACAGTTTTAATGCTCCTATATTACACAAAATTGACTCTTATGTTGTTACCTCATCAAAAACATGCCTGGAGTTGTGTTTTCTTTCATTCACACATGTTTGAGTAATCTTTTATTAGTCTGTCTACATCCCCACAGCTCAAAATGCTCATCCACCTTGTGATGTCATGAAACGTTTTTAAGTTAACAGCTACCTTTAGTTCAGTAGAACTTGGCAATTCCAGAGCTGAAATTATCCAAAAGATTGTAGTGAAGATGGTATGAAGTAAAGTATGAAGTATAAAGTTTAAAAACACAGTGGAGCACTTCCTGTATTGCCACGACATCACAAGGTGGAATAAAGTGTTTTCAGTCTGAGAGAAGAACTCAGCCAGAGTTTGTATGTTAAACATGTGTGAATGAAACAAAACACAACTCCAGGTATGAGAGACAACATTATAACGTAGAAAAAATTTACAATTTCAATGAATTGTAGGAGTAGATAACTTTAGTTACCTCTTCAAGGCAATATAAAAATTTAAATTTTTCTCATGAATTGTTATACAATCGAATTTGTAATCTGGCACCAAGAATATTCTGATTCATAAAATTTTTTGGCTAACCACTAGACAAGCTCATGAGGAGGACTCTGTAGTGAGGAGGGACTGTAACAGTCATTATCTATAAACACTTTTTCAGCTGTAAGCTACTATTATCTCAAAAGTTCCAATGAAAAACAGCATCTAATACAGACTTCAATTAGGCAAGTGGCCTTTTGCTTGAAGTTTGTAGTTGTCATCTACAACATTTTTCTAAAACTTCTTCAATTAGCTTTCACCTCTCAATCCTTCATTTATGTACTGTATTCTGTCACATTGTGTCTCTGAGCCCGGCGACACTGCTCAAATGATTTATTAGAACTTCAAACAAAAGAAATGTCAGTGAATTCTTAAAAGGCCCCTGTTTGAAACAAAAGAAAATATCACCACACATCAAAAGTTACTAAGACTTTTCTGAACTCTGAAGTTTGAATATAGAAGAGTCACAGTGTCCCACCTGGCAGCCCTTTGGCCCACTTCACTACTTTGACCAGCTGCCTCTCTCCGAGCTCGTTCAGGCTAGTCAAGAGCGACGCTGCCGAGTCAGGCTGTCCACAATCATGCCCAGCGTTCACCACCTCCGGTTCGATGGACTCCAGGATGTTCACGAAGACCATCTGAGAACTGAAGCTCAGGTCAGACTTGGGCGAGATGTTGGGTAGGTTTTCAGCTGTGTCCTGGCCTGAACCCTCCTCCTCTGTGCTCTTCTGCTGCCCAATCTTCTTCAGTTTACGAGCTATGGAGAGATGGCATTTATTACTCAATCTGTGGCTTTCTGTGCCTTGGGTTTTTTACTTGTGGTTGCTACTAAAAATCATCTGACGCCAAGCCTGGTGTGATGTGCAAAATGGTGTCATGTGCTGAGTATATTGGCTTGGGGCCTACACAAATCATGCTTGTTTGTGACATCTACTGGATTGATTTTGCATGGTAAATAGAATGTCTACATAAGCAATTCAACTATAAATATGATTAATCCAATGCTGTTTCATGGTTGTAGTGGGACATACAATAGCCTAATACTTGTCTAGCAATTGTAATTTGAGGCCAGGCGTTTATCTTATGAAGCTTACGGAATGTTCAGTCTATGAACACAATAATGGTCTAAATAGGGATCCATAACATTCTAACAGTCTTAACCATTGCACCTAATTGTTTTCCATTACCATAATAAGAATCTCATATACTGGTTGTGTAGAGTTATTTGGTAGAAAGATTCATAACTGTAAAACCCTTTGTATGATATTTTATGGAGGGTCCATCACCTTTTTGTCTCTGTGAAAATGTTATTGTTTAGCCTGGAATGTTAATCGTATGTAACTAAACATATGCCTCTAGTATTTAGTCATTATAGTTTTTTTTTTTTTGCTCAAAAATACACAATTTCCTTCTGTGAATAGGGGGACTCTCCATAGATCTAAATTGTAAGTACTGTAGTGCTGTAGCCTACTGTGGAACTTCTAGAGACAAAGCAATAACATTTCCATGGAGACAAGCAGGTGGCAGACCCTTCACTAGAAATGTTACACAGAGCAACTTTAAAACTAGGAGGCCTGTTTGTTTTCTGTGCAGATATATTACGCATTTAAAGGAACTGAAGTGAATCACATAAATGCCATAATTATTTCAATAATAGATGAGAAAGGGTTTTTATTTTTATAACTAATATTCAACCGATCCAAGATAATAGACCACAAACTTAATAGTAATTCCTTTTGTAGATATGAGACAACAAGACAAACAAAGCCAGCGGTCCCCAGTGGTCGAGAATAACAAAGCTCTGAATTTCCTTTCACAAACGCTGAAAGCCCTGAGGCAGCTGCTCCACATGACAACCTGCACTTACAAACTCCACTGTAGTCTGCCTCAGCTCCACACGGGCTCTACAGCCAGACGCAATGCAACAAATGAGAGCAATTACTGTACACTACACTCATGAGGTATAAAGTTAGTGTGCAGTTTCCACAGTCACATTCCACAGTCATGACTAATGCAGATTTCAGAGTTTTTTAGATGATGCTGTAAGTTAAACCAGACCTGTGATTTTACACTGACAGCCATGATGGCAGCAAGTGACAGATGAAAAAAAAAAACTGAAACCACTTTCAATTTCAATCTATTTGACAAGGTAGCAACCTATAAAAGTTACCTTTTTATTGTTAGAAACCAAGTCCTTATATATTTTATTTATAATTTGTGCATATATTCCTATTTAATTATACTCATATCTGATTTTATAAGGTTTAGGTCAGGAAAAACAACAATTCCACAAGCAATCATATACATTGTAATATTGTATATTTTTATACTTTCTGAACAACTAAATGACATTTCATATCATTATTTAAAAGTGCATTGTCTAACCTTTTCCCATGGAGATGTTATTGATTTGTCTGGAATGTTTCACATTAAACCTTTCTACCTTCATGGAAACCCAACCATACCAAGTTACAGGTCAGATCTGTGGAGAGGTTACCCCGCTCACAGTCAAATGCCTGTTTTTCTAGGTATTTCTGAGATGTGAAACCACCTGTAATTTAATAAATGTAAAGTACAGCTGTTTGATGCCACACTGTGGAACATTCCAGGAAGAGCAATGACATATCCATAGAAACAAGCACATGACAGACTCCCAACCAAAACATTACATGATGCACCTTTAAGTTCAGTTATTAACATGTGCGTATACATTTTGTCTCTTAAAAATAATTAGAAAACTACTTCTTTCCAAACCATAAGAATCTGCTAATTGTTACATGAAGGTAATGTGTCTTTTGTGAGTGGGAGAACATCACATTAAAATTGCTGAAGATTCCATCCACTTTTCAAAATATCACTTCACCTGTTTCAGACCTGTCCTAAGGTTTCTCAGAGCAGTACAGTGGAAAATAGCTCATTATATAAGATGTATCATTATGGAGGCCCAACACTGGTGATCGCAGAGCAAACATTTCAGATACAAATGGTTAATTAAAGGTTCCCTCTCCTGGGATTGTTCATCTTTGACTCACAGCAGCAGGCTCTTGATCTTTGCAGAGTGAACAGGGTAAACACATGGGGTTGAGCTAACCTTAGGATCTGACATGAGCCTAATATAAACACTGCACACATTCAAACAATGAACCCAAGTCATCCTCATAGCTTTTCTCTTGATTAAGACAAGTGAATATGCCCCAAATGGATATCAGTGTGAAATCTCTGCTGGATCTGTATTAAATTATAGACATTTAAATATAAATCATATTAATCAGTAGCTTCATCGATGAATTGAGTAATGAAATGGAGCAGTTATTCATTTTACTATAATCAAACTTCAGTTCAGTTTTTGGCTACTCACATATTTGATGTTATTGACTACGCATGCAACAAAAATGTTACTAAGACCATCTCTTAATCATCATATTATAGAAATATTCACCATTTACTGGAATCGTCAGACAGGAAACACCTTATGAATGCAGAGTCAATGCTCTGTTCTCCTCTCTGCTGAAAAGTGTGCACTTTGAAAAGCCATTTTACTATCAGTGTCCAGGTTTCAGATGTCATTACACTATTGGCTTGCCAATTTAAAGTCAGTTTCACAAAATGACGTGTTTGACAGATCGACACAAAGGGAACAGGGCTAATTTGCCATTCATTCTAAACCCGACAATTACTTTAAAATGGTCATAAGATTAAACTGTCAAAACCAGGTACTTAACGATAATACTGACTGATGTAATATTTAGAGATTCAGACAGTGAATAATGGCAAGTGCGAGCTTGTGGTACATCTGCATTTGTGGACTGAGTAGATTTATAACCAGGGTTAGACATTCACTTTTTCGGTCATTGACCGCTGTGCCATTGAAAAACACACAGCTATTCACACTTCACTGCTCTTTAAAGGACACATGATACAAATAATAATTTAGTGTATAAATTAGACGAGGTCTATGTTTATGTAAAACAGCAGCATTGTAAAATCTATTAATGTAAGAAATCACATTCAATTGGCCCCAATGTGCAGTGAGAATAATCTGTTATATATATATACTGCGGGCTGTTTAGTCATGTGACAAGTCCTGTAAACAAGGATGAATTTGAACATGAAGGAAAGGTTAATACTGTAAAAAATGCAGAGTAAACATATTTAACACAGATTTTCATATGGCATTTTAATTTAGTTTACAATGTTTTGTTTGTTTTAACTCTTTAACATTAACGACTTCCAACTTTAATATTTGACATGACTGATGCACTCTTCAAAAGTGCCTAATATTTGTTTATGTTTTAGTAAATACTGCCCTTCTTCTTCAGAGGTAAGTGCTGGCCTCCCATTAGATTTATATAGAGTAACTGTGGTGTCCCATGGGTGCAGTCACACCTCGCCTGCTCCAGACTCGATGTACTAAGTATTTCCAGCATGTATTCGACTACGGTGCAGAAGCGCAGAAGAAATTCTTTTTGAGGTCCATCTGATCTGGTCTAAAGCACTGAGGACATATTACAGGCTCTATCTGCTATTGCAGGCCTGGAAATGGGGGAAATTTGAGCAGCAGAAATAATATACGGAGCCATGTTACACCAAATAGTGGTCATTTCCCTCATTCTGTTAAAAGTTGGACAAAGACGTGAGATGTCACAGAGGCACACATTACCTACGAGTAACTCCTCACCGGCTTCTGAGACAAGTTTAGCAGCCATGTCAATCATACAGGAAACTTAAAAAATATTTAACTTTCTGTATCTCTGTCGATTTGTGTCAAAGTGCAGAATTTGACTCAGAAGCACAGTTTGTTCTGGAGCCATGATGGAAAGTGCGATCCCAGGGTTAAAGTCTGAGTTTGTCAAGGATCTGCAGCCCCATTGCCACTCCAATCATAATGTTTGCATACTGCGCTTCAGTTGATCTGCCAATAGAAAGTACTAGAGGCGTACAGCAGGAGCCAGGTGGTCATTTAGACAAACAGACCATACTTAGGAAAGCAGAGTGAGCAATGAGTGACACACGTCAGAGGACTGCAGATCAAACTTCCTCTATGAAATGAGGACCAGCCTATATTTGAGAGTGCAATTAAAATTCCTCTTGTAAAATTGAAGACTGATAGGAAATGATAATGTACAATAATCTCAAACAGATGCTCCCAGTGAACGTCTATTTCAAATTTATTAAGAACGATTATTTGCACGTTTAATGCATTTCTAGTGGGAGTATTATTAATATCTCTGGTCTTGCAAGTATGAGGGAATACGGCATATTAAGACCCACTTTTTTCTTTTACATGCGCAAATTGGCATAAATTTGCTTGTAAAATGCCGCAGGTGAATTACATGTCTATGATGAGAACATAAGTGAAAAGGGCTCTTTTTGGCCACAACTGGAAAGGTGTGCCTTTTACTGACAATCACAGCATTAGATCACATCTTCCCGCCATGGGTTTGTCAGAGACTGGTGGCAAAATTACCAGCATGTCTCCTGCTTTAATTCACATGTCTCATGTCAGCTTTGTGCTTCCAGTACAATTTTCACCGTTAACAGAATGAGAAAATGGAAGAGAGTGAAAATTGAACACAAGACTAAAATTAGTCCACTACATGTCAATCTTTACAGCCTAATATGGAGCAGGTCTGGGTGACAGTAAGGAGAAGTGAATGGGAGAGGTCTAAATTGCATGGCAGCTCAGTCAGGGGCTTGATTATCAGTAACATCCCCCATTGTGATGATGCGCCAATTGAAGAGAGCCAGCCTAGATGTGCAGTGCAAAAAGAATAGGGTACTTGGTCTGGGGAAACCATTAATAGTTTTACTTTCAGGACTTTTCTGCTTGTTGAAAGTGTATGTGCTGTGTACTGGTTATATGTACAAGTGGGTATGCTTTAAATATATTTGGAGCCACTTACCAAAGCAAAGAGGGAGCTCCCACAGAGAAATGACATGTGTGATTAGGCTCACAATGAACAGTCATAATAAATATAACATTCTGTAGTTCTACCTCCCAGTGTCATCCCGGCCTCGAAACACTTCTTCAGGCGACATGAGGGACAGTTCTTCCTCCTGAGTTTGTCGATCGTACAGTCGTTTTTACTGGCACACAGGTACTTCTGTTTGCCTACAACATTCAAACAAAAGACTCTAAAACTTCACCCTGTACATTTACATATGTCTTATGTAACATGACACTGCAGCAGTTTAAATGATGCACGCTAAAGTCTATTTGTTTGCATTATCCTGTCTTACCTTTGTGTTCTTATTTGAATCTGAATTGTTACGAGTTGCTATAATTTGCAGCAAATCAGATGCAAATTCTATTTTATTGCAGCTGACTGACGCCTAACTCTACCATAGATTCGTTTCTGCACTCTGTGTATTTGCTTGACCCCTTTTTACCTCTTACCTGTTATAAACAAGACATGTTTAACAAACTGGTTGTTTTTTCAGTGTTTGGGTGAGCCAAATACACATAATACGCAATGAACCTAGCAGTACTCCAGATCTGAATATGGGTCCTTGAATGCTGGTACTTTCCCCAAATGCACTGAGGGAAAGGGTCAAATGCAGAGAATGACTTCACCCCACGAGAGGCTAATACAGAATAAGTTGGCTCTGTCAATATCCCTTAAGAGTCATTTTCCATATACTGTTCATACCCACAGTCACAACTTGTACATCATAGTTTATAGCATTATAGGTTTTAGTATTCTTATATTACTGTATTTATTCTACCTATTACTTTAAATATCCTGCTGATACTGTTTACTGACATTGTTTATACAACAATGAAAAGTCCCCATCTTGGTGACTCCATTTAAAAAATGCCCACACAAGGCCATCCAAAAATAATCATTAATTTTCATTGCTTTTTTCAATAAAATGTATGTATACTCAAACAATTGTCAAAATTAGACAACAGTTACAATCTGTGCCAAAGATGTACATATGTTTACCTTCTGCTGCCCTCTTGAAGAAAACCTTGCAGCTCCCGCAGGTGAGCGCCCCATAGTGGCAGCCAGACGCCTCATCGGAGCAGATCAGGCAGGTCCTCTGAGGGGGAAAGAAGAACTCCATGGGGAACATATGCTCTCTGCTCCCTTCAAACCTGCCAATGTCACAAACACAAAATCACAGTAATACACTTGCCCAATGTACTGCTCATAGTTATTGGTTCATCATTAGTTTCTTCTTTCTTTTATGGTTGTAACTAAATGTACATTATGAGGCAAAACATGCCCAAACCTGACATATTACACACCAATAGAAAGTCAGTAATTGCTTTTTAACATGTTCAGTAGTATCCAAATTGTAACCACTAAGCTGTATTTGAACACTCCCTGGAATAGTACAGCCTCCCTGTGAGGGATAGTGGGGAAAGGAGTGAGGATGTGGGATTTTGTGGGAAAGATTCGAGGAGGAGAAGGGAGTGTGGACATCTTCAGCCTTGGACTCAGACTGGACATGTTTCAGAGATGTTACGTCCACAGATGTCTGGCTCTGTCTGGAAAGTCATTAAAAACAAAATACTACTATATGTATTAAACTAGTATGCAGGTTACGGCTGATGGGTTTTAATAACTTACATAACAGATCAAAGAAAAGGTGACTGATTTAGCTTCTATTTAGATTACTGTTCGGATTTCCATTTTTAAAGATTTTAGGACACTAGCTTAAAGGTGCACAATGTAACTTTTCTGCTTGTCTTCATGCAGATGGCAAACAGGCATTCTTACTACATGCAGAGTCTCCTCATCACAGTTCATCCCCATGGAAACAAGGAGACAGACCTTCCACCAGAAAAGTTGCACAGTGTACCTTTAACTAGATCCCCACCTAATTCAATAACTCATAAAGACACCAAATCATTGCTATGAAGAAAAGTAGATTAGTATGTATTGCAGTATATAAACTGAATTGAAAATATATTGTGGCACAATTGAAAGAGTTTTAAATTAAAATATTCACAACCCTCAAATCTTTCAGCGTGGTCCTCCTGACTGGGACCCTGGCTCAGGCTCTGGGTTTTATAGAGTGTGTCTAGCAGCTTCTAATCCAAGTACAGATCCTGCCACAATTTACACCTCGTTAAAGAGTTTAGTATTTTAATCCACATTTAACTCATCTCCTAATGATTTGTGCCTTTGTGTGAAGCATTTTATTCTGTAGCTGTAGGCCTGCACTGTTAAAACCAGTGGGGCAGCAGTAATCCAATCAGTACTACAATAAGTCCTGTTTTGTTTCACTGTGTGTCCATATTTGAGCTGATTTTATTGGTGCAAAAGAGACAGACAGCCATGCCTTGGAAAAAACCCATGATGGCACACACATTTCTTATAAAAATCCCAGTAAAATTCCCTTTTTGGGGTTTATTTTTTGTGTAATTTATGGTTTGACTTTTGCTCCAAGTTCATTCTTCATGCTGTAAGTGTAGATATAAGATGATATATTTATAATGTAAGAAAGATGTGACTTGTTTTTTTGTTTTTGTTTTTTCTCTCTTTTTCTTCTGGTCTCAAAATTCTACTCTATCTTGGGCTGTCTTGACTAAGGTTGTATTGTACAAAAACAGAAATAATGATAAAATTAACCACAAAATTGCAGAGATATAGCTCTGTATATGGAAATATGGAAAAGTTTAGCTCTTTTAGCCAAAACAATAAAAACAATATACTCAATATTTTAATTTGATCAGTTTTGGTATACTCTTGAAGAGTCCATATGGGGAAGTCCCTATCAAATGTTCTTAGCCCTTTGAGAGTTTAGAAGGTCAGTTACAGGCCCTATTGCCATTTCAAAGCAATACATTTTGTCATGCATTATTCACGGCCCATCTCTTACAGAAGGAGCACTACAGGTGCAGGTAACATGCTGACAGAGGCTGCTGCTGTTTTTCTGAGAGTATCTTATCACAAACAAAACAACAGTTTGTCAAAAATATTTGTTTGCAGAAAATCTAGGAGGATCCACTCTTGTGTCCTGGAGTCCCTGAGTTTTATTTAGAGGGTGAAAAGATTGGGGCATGGGATGGGTTTGATTTACAACTTGGCCACTTTGACAGATGTTGAAAAATAACTATTTTGTAATCATTTCTACTTCACCGCCTGAGGTGGGAAAACAATTGCTGACAGAGAAACATACACAGACCTCTCACTTTCATTTACAACAGACTATTTAAATGAACCATGTCCAAAGTCAGATGTCAAGATCAATAAACTAGAAGAGAAAGACTGCAGTAAGTTGAAGGTCTTTTTCCACTAAAAACTTGGCAAAGCAATTTCTGCAACTAGTGTATCTTTGGTTGTCTTCTCTGACCTGCCGATGGTGTATATGTTGTAATGTTATTTTAATTGATAATAGTATGTGAGGCCATAGGCACAGAATGTCTGCCAGGTCTCCATCAGTCTGCCCCAGAGCAATGTTGTAGTGCAGAAAAAAATTCTAAACATATGTGAAGTTAATATATAGATGATGCACCTAATTATAAAAAGGCTTTGAGTCATGTTTTAATGTATAAATTATATTTAAAAATGTATAACTCTTTTAAAATATGGAATATGCTTAACATTAAAGCCATGTTTGTTCACAAGTATTCAGTATATTTTGAAAATATGCATTTTCGAATGAACCTGTTATTGCCATAAAGTTGGAAGCAGAAGATATATATGTAGACTTCTAATAAGGTTGTTGTTTGTTGGAGTGAGGTTCTTGGCTGTGGGAAATGCTACAGTTTACCTCCACTGTCAATAGTTTTGCATCCCCTTCTTTCTGGAAATTTGTTTCCCTCCACAAACATGAAGAAGAATTCACATTGCAGCCAAACAAAGTACTGTCTCCCGGTGCTCCATTCAGCAGCAGCACAACTTAAAAACAGCCCTCGACCCATATTAAAATACATTCAACTGTGTGTTTGCTCAGTCAGACGTTTGTAGGACCACCAAGATGGTTATAATGATTAAAAACTTACAAGCGGAACAATTCCAGGAGGTGACGCATCAAACTCATTTGTGTGCGGATCAAAGTGGCGTAAACAGTAAACAAGAACTTTGTTAAAACAAGCATTTTATAAGTAATTCAATTAAAGGAAAGTTGTAAAAATGTATTTGAAGGCCAAAAACAAAGGCAGATGTACAGTACTGTGTAGTCACGTTTTTATCCTACACAATGGTCACACATCAATGCACAGCATGAGCTCATCCAGACCATACAGTCCCATTTGCTCCTAATGCAACAGTGGTAAAACTAAAACCAGAGTTTCTTTTAGCTCAGGGGGAAAAGCTCTCCTCACGATGGTTGAGAATATATTAGAAATGGTTTTGGTGAAGGAAACTTTTCTTTTTTTTATGTAAAATAAAGCCCAGTGGATTTAGCACAGCCAGTAAACATCAGCTACAATTTGCCTCATGTTGCACCTGGATGTGTTCTGCTCTGTTTAAGAGTTTGTCTTGGACTGCAGCACGCAATTGCTACATTTTTTTAAACGATTTCTTTAACGCCTAAAAACCTTAATGGTGCAGTAAATACCTCAGTCATAGTCCATTTAGATCCAACAGTGACGTCACTGTCAGAATGACAGTACAAGAAAATATATATTCTAAATCTACAATATTGTATTAATACCTGAGCTGCTATAAATAAATAGCAGAGAAAAATACTGTAGTAGTTAGTTATATTAATTATAGTGACAGACCTAATTACTACAAATTGAAACGTCAACAATATCATTCAATACATTTATAAGGCATTGTTAATCTATAAATTGGTTTCATGGTTCTGTGAATGACTTCTCTACTTCATTGATAAATTTCTTGAAATGTGGAAATTGTGGTCACCTCCAAACCCCACTTTGACACAGAATATTTCTCTCTTGTAGCTTTAAAAATGCCGTGTTCAGTTGAGATGTGTTCAATTTGTATTTAAATTTGGACATCACAGGAGCTAAATTACAAATTCCATTGCATTTGGATCAGTCTATTGTCAGGACTCTGAATGGTGAGTGCAAATGGTAGGATAGGAGGAAAATGTATGAAAGAGGCCCATGGGCACAAAATTCAGCACAAACAGTGAAGAGCACAGAGGAGATGGAACTCAAAAAACGCTTAATGCCCCAAGGTCGCAATGTAAACAACACAGATGATGTATTTTCATTTCCATAATATCTTTGTTTATTTAAAGAGATCTTCATAACTGTATATGTTACTTACTTCCTATATCTCATATTAAATGTTTGACAGCATTTAACAGTTTTCATCTTTAAGGGGAATAATACAGTAATAGTAAAAGTTTGGTGATTTACAAAATGGGTGTTGTTCAGTGGCATCCGAAGAAACTAATTTGCTATGTACATAATGAAAGTCTTGGAACAAAGCAGTTGCACTTTATATTTTTCTTTACTACTTAATAGTGGAGGCATGGATAATAATAAATTAGAGCTATATTAAAAACAAATGTATGTTTTTTTAATCTCAATATTTCATAACAAATAGTTGCACAAAAGTTAAATGTATTCATCCAAATTTTGCTCCAATCCACATGCTTTTACTGACACAGGATTGGCCCAAGACACAAGCTTATCATTCACAATTACAAATGATTGGTCTCGATTTCATGCAGATTTAGTAACATTAAACAGAAAATATTAAATTATAAATAAAACATACAAAGTTAAACCATGAAATCAAGAGCCAGGTGGTGTAGGTGCCTTCGTTTTTTTTCAGTAATAAATGGTTGTTAAAGTGGACGCGACAGGGAATACCAGCATCAGGGAGCCAAGACGGGTTTTCTCCAGTGACCAGTGAATAATTTCTTAAACACCTTAAGACTGACTTTCTTGACTATTACAGATTTTGGATTAATTTTGCTTGCCAAAAACGGCATTAGGAATATATACATTTGCTGACTTTGTTTTGGGTACAGTGCATGTTTTGTTAGAGAAAGACAGATGGAAATAATTCATCTGTGGGTTTCATGAACAGACCTGCCGAGTATCCCCACTAAACAGACAAACTCAAAATATTTAGAAAACCTGGGAGGAGGGGGCTGGAGGAAACACCCAATTTTTCAATGTCTTTGTGGGTTCATGGGGTTCACGATTGGAAGCAAACTGCATCATGTGGCAACTGTAAACAGCTCACAGTGATGTGGTTAATGCAAGAAAATATTAAGCCAATGCAAAAATATATGCCGGCATGAAAAACAGGGCTTTACTTAAGACTTTAGTCGCTGCACGCTCATAGCTTCCATAATGTTTTGATGCAAAGCAGAATTAACATTGGAATAGATGGTGGACCATGACTTGAAAACTTTAGGAGGGTGGAGCCAGATGTGCAGGGGAGGAACTTAGAAGAATTTAATACAATGAAATCTAAATCAGTTTGCTTTTTTGCTGTCAATAATACAGTCTCAAAGCAGTTGTATTGTGTAAAACAACCTAGCCCAGTAGTTCAGGAATTTATGTTTCAGCTTATTTAGTAAAATGTGTGAATCTCACCAGATCTAGAAAAATAATATTTGAATGTAAAAATGCAACATAATTTTTTTTTTACCATTTTACAATACAATATATTTTCCACCCAAATTGCCCTGCCCTGGTTGAGGGGTGTGTCACTGGGGACAGGTTATGGCCAAACAACTTTGACTATTTCTGGTCTGAAGGTCACTGTGCAAAAAGCGCTGCCTCCAAAAAGGTGCTCATATTCATTAAAAATCACAGTTTTTAAAATACAAGACAAAAATGAGAAAGATTTGCTGAGACATATTTTATATTTTCTTCAACTTCTCAATAGCCTTTTAAAATGCACTCATGTGTGTCTGTTCTTGCCACAAAACAAGTGCAATAAAACTATTGACAATGACTCGAACAGAAATTGCATAAAAGTCATCAGAGAGGAAATAATGAGCTATTTTAATGATGCACTTTTCTTTGACTGTTCAAATGTTACAAGCAGGTGAAAACTCGAAAAGGGCAAAATAGATTAAAAAAAAGGAAAAAGATTTAACAAGGTACTTGAGATTTTATTGTTTGATTTATTTTCCTGGCTGTTGACATTTATGGCGCTCGCCTTAATAGAGGAAAATCACTGCAAAGTTTATGGAGTATATTTTTGAAGATATTTTTATCTTGATTTGTACAGACACCCCAGACACAGTTTAGTCCAATCTTGAAAAATAGAATAGATTTATATATAGCCTTTTTGTATTTAACCTATGTGTGTGGTTGACAGGGCTAATGAAGTATATTGTATTCTGCACTGTTTTACATTGACGGGTTGCTCTTTACAAATTGTTGAATTTGAACTTCATTTTGTTGTTTATTTTTGATAATTATTTGATAAAACCTTGACCTTTTTTTTATGTGTTTAACTTTGGAATGTTTTGACAATAAAGTTATGGTGCCATTTGTATAATGATAATGTTAGTCCAGGGTGCATGTCCTCTGCACATTGTGTAATAAAAATAATACAAAAGTGTAGTTATGAAGTTGTGATTTAAACTGAGCTGGAGCACTGGGACCTCTCACTGTCTGGTGTTTAGGGTCAGCTCTGATTTCAAATGCAAATCTGATTTATATTGGGATACTTTTCTGTGTGGGAAGCAGAAACTTGAAATCATAACTAACAATAAATTATTGATATTAGTTTACTATTAGCTACCTGGTCTCGTTGTATGCCACGTCCAGCCACTCTCCCACCTCGGGCTTCATGTAGCTGGAGCTGGGGTAGGTGGTCCTGAACACTCCGCCAGCAGAGTACCACTGCTCTGGGCTGCAAAGGAAAGCCGGGTTTGCAGCTGCAGAGTGCGGCGTGCTCACGGTGCGCTGCCGTGGTGTCCACAGAGTCTTGTCGCTGTAGCTGTAGGATCCGACCCACATGTCCTCAGACTTGACTCTGACATAGTCCTCCGCCTGGTACCCGCCCCGGCTGCTGGCATCGCCTGGGAACTTGTAACCTCTGCATGATCTTTCTATTGCTCTGTGCCCGAAGTTATCGGGCATGATGGGCGCATATGGACACGGGATGGCGAGCGTACTCTCCAGAGTGTCTTTAGAAGTTAAGTCATTGCCAGATTCACAGACGGAGAAGTTTGACTCGCTGCTCGGGATCCGTGAAGAATCGAGGTGGTGCATTTGAGCTGTGTTTTCAGAAGTTTTGTAGCTCACTGGCTTACCCTGACACCTGTAGTCAGCCACAGCATGCTGCCCGTTGAATAAATAGTCCGAGCTCCGCTGTTCGCTAGCTGTACACGGGAGCAGAGAAGGCTCTGCGTCGCTGGTATCTCCACTGGACTCCATGGTGAGACCCAGAGACACGGACACGGCGTTGCACAGCTCCCGGGCGGTTTCTGAGATAGTGGCGCAGGCAGAAAAGGAACACTCCGGCTTCAGGAGGTCGTCTTGGGGCGCAGCAGCTGCTTGGGACGGGTACCACTGCTTTTCCATGTCACAGGTTCGCACAGAGACATGCCTGGCTCCGTATCCATCCGTGTCGGTATTCTCCCTCTCTCTGAACCTGCTTCCCCTCGACTTTGAGCTCAGATACAGTCGACTTTCTTCAGTTTTCAGCGCCATGCTGGGAGCGCGCACTCCGCAGTCTGCCTTTATTTTTTCTCCTCTTGGCCACAATGCGCTACAAGATAACTGCCGGTTAGTTTGGCTCATTTCCCAGAATCTGTTTACTTTGTCAGAACAGGCGAACTTTAGCAGGACAACAAAGTCTCTGCACGGGTCCCAGCGATTGTCAGCGTGCGCACAGTCCTACTCTGGATATGAGAAAAGCGTTTGGAAAGAAAAAAGACGTAGGAAGAAGAGCAACAGGAGACTCTCTAAACTCCTCCTAAACTTGCATCCTCTCAGTCACGGCACTCGCTCTGATTCAGGCCTGTCTGTTAAAGCTCGCATGGATTAAACCAGGAGCAGAATGGCGCGTTTGACAACGCATCTTTTTATTGGATGAAGAACGGGCCTATTAGCTCGTAGTCAGAAATAGGTGTGCCAGCCGATTTTAAGTCTAATTTCGCATTCACATTGTTTGACAATCCCATGCTTCTATAACAGTGCGTTGGAGCGGAATCTAGCCTTCTGATTAGGCCTACCAAAATTAATCAGTTGGGTCAATTTCTAGGACTTGCAGAAAAGAAGAAAAAGAGCAACCAGAAATCATTAGTCAGTTTAGATTATTTTCATTTTGCACAATTTCAATAGCAAATATATAACCACAGTGTAAGTTTAAAGCTATTCACAATACAGGGAAGTACATGAGAAGTATCTTATTCTTGAATACTTGCCCCAAAATATGGCCTGTTTCCTCCAAGCGCAAACTGTCTGCATGATGCAATATTCCCATTATGAAAGTATCATGTCAATGGAGTCCTCAAGTAGCCTGTGACATCAAGAGTCATTGTGTTCTGGTATGAACAGTAATGCCCAAAGTAGGCCTAATGCACATCTTAGTAAGATTAAGATATAAGTTAGTGTGACTAAAAGTCCACATCATCACATTATTAAACAAAACATTTATGGGTGTCTTTTTTTGGCTTTGATTTCTGTGGATGTGTGAATTAAGGAGAAGTATCTGATGAAAATGTCAAAAGTACCTTTAGAAATAATTTACCTAGAAAAACAGGAAAGCATACAATTTCATTTTCAGCAACTTTATAAGCATTTGTGTGTATTATTTTGTGTGTTCAAATGAGTTGATTTGTAATTTTTGGCAAGTCTACCAAAGCTTAACATGGTCTCTACCCAACCACACATAACCACAGGTCAAAGGTCATGCTTGATTAAGTTTCATCCAGCTATTCAGATTTTTCCATCTACACATGTACAGATTTCAGATGCAGTGAGAACCAAACCACAGAACCTGATGGTCTAAAGTCAAATTATTTTGTGAAATCCAAAAAGAGGATGCCCATCACATGCAGATTTTCTGAAAGTATCATTTACTGTTTTAACGAGATGGTTTAACTGCCATATTTATGCGCTCCTAAACAACATAAGAAATTGAGATCCTTGAAGCACCTCTAATGTGCGTGGGTTATTAAACGTGTGTTTTTAGTGAGGTGCCGTGTGAGTGTTGTGTCTGCAAAACAGATGCTGCATTTTTTAAGAGCGATCTAAACCCCAGTTATGTGTTTCCAGATCCCCCGGGGAAAGTCTCTTTTTAGGAACGGATGAAATAAAAAAAAACAAAAACAAAACATTATATAACGTTAAAACTCTCGGTTCTTCTTCCAGCTCACAACACGCAACACCTTGAACCATGGGGTGGGCACTTTGGTGTTTCCTAATACTTATTATGTAATGGGTGTTTCATATTATACCCCTTGCTGCTGCATTGGACCGTCATGACTGATCTGCAGTTTTACCCTTTATTTTTTCCAAATTTCTACAACATAAACTTATGTAAGACTGTTTCAAGCTGAGAGGAGAAATTAAGATAGCTGTCTTGTTTATAGTAACGTGCAGTCAACTGTAGGTAAGAAATAGCCTTGTATTTATGTGTTAATTTCATGTGCCTTTAAAACAAACTTATCAGGCATCAAACTATGACCAAATTCTACCAGGGAACATTTTGCAACAAAATGGCTGTATAGCTGGCTCAGAGCTTCTCAAAATAGCAATCTTAACAAACAATAACCAGTTAACAATGGCCCAGACTGAAAGTGTCAAACACACTATTTGCCTTAGGCACAGCTCTATGTATATTGTGATATTACAATCTGCTAATTACAAACCTCAATACTGATCTAAAACAGCTTTGGAATAGAAATGGATCCAATTAAGTACTGTTCAAAACAATAGAACCAGTAAGTATTATAAGTATAGTGGCATATCACTGTAGTAAACAGCAAATTTTTATATATGTATTTTTACTGTTAGAAAATTTGATAATTTTTAACTCTACAGATATAATCCAGAGTCTGATAAAAAAAAACAACAACAATTACAAATACGTACAGAAAAGTAGGGATGGGGGTAGATGAAAACAGGAATATTCAAACATGCATCAATCAACTGAAATACAACTCTGAGCAAACCAGTGAGGAAGGGAAATCATTATAACTGGGTTAAAAGCTCATAAAATGTCATCTTTAAGGTTTATAAAATAAAATATATTTCACCAGCATCAATAGCTACTTATGAAACAGAAAACTGTAATAATATTCTCCTTGGTCTACTTTGTGCCTCATTACTGCCATATATAAATTATGTATTTCTCCTTTTGCTAAAGCTGGCTTGTTATTTCATAATAACCTTGACTAAGTGTATTTTATAGCCCCCTTATCAGAGCATTTTAGCGTGAGCTATGGGGAGAGGATGAGTCATAGGCTGTCTCTGTCCTCTTACACAGACACAGTGGTGCTTCGTGTTGGGATGTCCAGTGCACCACCGAAGCTCTGTCTGTGAGTGTGTCTATAACTTCACTGGCTCATATCACACAGCTTTGGTTTTTAATGCCAAGGTTTCATGTTTCAAATGGAAAACGTTCAATGGTGAAATCAGCAAACAAGAAATCATCCCCAGCCGGTTACAATGGTTTTGGACACAACATGAAACAATTGAAAACTTTAAGTTCTTTGTCAGTGTTTTTGTTTGAGACGAGATGTCGAGCCAATACTCCACAAAGCAAGAGGGTAACAGCTACAGAAAGCTTAACAGAATTCAAATTGGTGCATTATTTGAAAAGCGCTTATGCTTAAAGGTTGTTCAAAGCAAAAAGTCTGATCTAAAGAGTACCAAGCCTTAAAATATTCCACTATGGCGAAACCTCATAAGCTGCACAGTGACACATAAATTACATCTTCATTGCATAAATATTTGGCTAAGTTGCACAGAAGCAGCCGGCTGTCAGTGCGCATACGATGGCTTTTAGGTCCCCATAGAGTTTTACATGCGAGGTACAGTAAAGCTGGAAGAAGGCGTGGACTCAGACGGGAATGTGTGGGAGAGCAGCAAGGAAAAAGCAAGGTTTTCAGAGGCAAAGTGCCAAGGCTGAGATATTAGACCTTCTTCCTCTGAATAACTTGGAAATCTGCAAAAGTGAAAACTCAAGGTTAAAACTCTGCAGTGTCACAGATCTCCTAGTCTGACCTGAACCCACATTAACTGAGGACAAAGGACTACTGTAAGTGCAAACTAAATACAAATGTAGGATATGTTTCATCCCCAAGGTTTCAAATGAACTATAGGTTTATCTGAAAAATTACAGGTCCTTGCTCACTTCTTTCAAGGTAAAGGGGATCAAAAGCAGCTATCCTTGGCCTAAATGCCTGGAGCTGGGTGGGTGGCAGGCTAAAGGAAGCACTCAAAGATGTTTTTAAAATTTAAACTCTAGTACTTAATATTTAAAAGTTGTGACTGAGATTTCTTATACTGTACCAGAAAATACTGTATCTTAAATACATCTATACACTGTTTTGGTTTTACAGAGAAGTTTTACAGTGTATTCTGGACAAAGCTTTTATTATTATAATATATTTTATTTGTCGTGTCCCTGATTTTCCTGATTTCACTAGAAAATGCACTAATAAATCCCTGTAAGAAATTTAAATGTAAATAAACAAACAAACAAACAAAGGAACAATTATTTAATGGCAGTATATGGGGTTTCAGAAAGCTGAAAAATTTTATCTGTTGTCATAGCAAATAATAATTTAATGCAAAATATCCTTTGATTGATGAAAAGTCCTCAGTGTCACCCATAACAGGACGCTGAAACTCATGAATATATGTATTAGATTTGTTTGCATATTGGCACAAAAAACATTTCTCTTTGTCCATTAGGTAAAACTTCATTACTACATTGTTTTAAGAGTGGGCAAGTTCAACTTTGACTTGATCAAGGCTACAGCATCAGAACGCACTAATGCAGGTGCTAAATGTTTCTGTCAGCTTCTTATCACAGACATTTTTGGTCTGGTAGTATTGCACGGCCTTCACATTGCCGAGCTCTACTAAAACTCAACTCTTTTGGAACGGTCACATCAACTCTGCACTCCAGGCAAATCCTTGACAAATGACCAGGAATAGAAGAATAAGAGAATATTTTTGTATTGTATGGTGTGCCAAGACATTTTACAAGTACAGATTATTAGGAGTTAGGACACAGCTGTGAGCTCATCAGTTGTATTTAGTCATAATCATCTCAGAGGAAATTTCTAAATCAAAACAAATCAAATTACTTTAGGGCAGTGTTGTCTAGAGTTTTTTTAGTCAAGAGTCACATATCAAAACACAGACAAAGCAGAGGGCTGATGGAGGGTCATATAGACTGATGATGCTCAACACAGTTAATAACTGAAATATGTGCATTTTTTCCAAGCTTTATTTAAAGGGCCCATATTACACTGTTTTCAGATCTATGTTATACTGCTGTTTCCTCGTCAAAAACATACCTGGAGTTGTGTTTTCTCTCATTCACTTATGTTTAACCTACAAACCCTGTACATTTAGTCTGGGCTCTTCTCTCAAACAGAAAACTATAGCTTCTTGACATCACAAGCTTTTGACTTTAGGAGATGTTGACAGACTAATAATAAAGGATTTCTCAAACATGTGTGAATAAAACAAAACACAACCCCAGGTATGTTTTTGAGGATGCAATAATATTCTAACTCAAAAGAGTACACTAAATATTTGATATTGGCTTTGTCAGGGTAGCTGTTCCAAAAACATAAGACTAAAACTAAGATAATTTGGGCCAATTCACCTGGAAACCTCGGGGCCAAGAAAAATGTTTGCTGCTTTAGGGCATCGTAGTCAAATGTGTAAGACCACACAGTGCAATAAAATATATAATTAAATTAGATTGTAACAGTTTCAGTTAGGCAAAATGTTTTTATTTGCAGAGTTAACCTGAGATACGTGGCAGCCATCCTGGTCTCAGAGCTGTCTTTCCAGGCTCAAATCAAGGACGTTGGATTGAGTTTCCTTAAAGAGAGAGAGAGAGATAGAGAGAGAAATCCATCTTAAAATCAAGGTGGATCTCTGAAGTGAAGTGGGAGTTTTTTTGAGATAACTAGATGAGCAGATGCCAGTGAGGAGAATCTATCATGGAGACAGATCATTTAAGGATGAAGAATGCAGAGATGATTGTAAAAGGCATGCCAATAATGAAGGTTCAAGAGCCAGATACAAGTTCATGTAATCGGATGAGCGCTCAAGGAAATCTGCATCAATTTCCCTTTTCATGGATAAATTCATCTGAACCTCTCACATAATGCATATAGTGTAAGTCAATCAAAATAACATGAACATTAAATAACATGAACATACAACACAGAATGTTTAGAAGATTTATAAATACAACAGAACACCTGGTGGCTTTCAGATTCATGAATGTGATGATGTTATATTCCACAGATTTATCTAATGAATATATGGTATTCTCATACGAAATAACAAATGTTCACAAATGTTGAACCTGGTTATCCTTATTAGTGACTAGAACAATGAAAATTTGCACTTTGGCAATAATCTGCCATCTGTATTAGATATAAAACCTAGCAACAGAATACAAATAACTGAAGAGAGACTGACATTTAGTGCTTTATTCATTTTACAAAGTATTTTGGTATTTTAAAAGAGTTTCTAAGGATAACATTTTAAAAAGCATTATTGGGCTTTTATCAGAAGTAACACGTGTCTTTGATTCTTAATCTTTCCTTACGTCCTTCATGAAAATAATCACAGCAAGCATAATTCACTCTGGACCCTCAAAAGATATGAAAATGTTACTTTCTCTACCAGGGCTGGGTTGTAACAGCCATTTCACTGCAAACTAAATTGTACTGTTATGATGTTTTTGTATGGGCCCTTGAAATAATCAAACAAACATATATATAATGAAAGAAAATGTCATCAAAATGTTGCAGATCACAGGAAGCTGAAATTAATTAATATGTGATCAAATCCTCCATTACTGTAAAGGCCTTACTGTGGTCTCTTTACATAGGAATATTTCTTTGTCAAATGCCTTGAATAAAGACAGTTAGTTTAAGCAGGTCAGGTCATTTTGACTTGGAGAGGAATGCAGCCCAGTAGTAAACACAATTAGATATTGGTCAAACTGAATATTTGGCAGCACTGCACTTTTTCAAAATCATCTTTCATTTTCTTTGACAATAGCCAGCATTACTGCGATATCATGCAGTTTACTTTGGGTGACAGGTGCCAGCTGCTATATGTACAATATTTGTGTGATATTAAGGTGCACCTGGACAGCAGTCAAAACACAGACGATGTAAAGGTCTCTCATCTTTAAATGACATCTCCATAGAAAGAAGATGTGGTAACATGGCTCTGGACAGACTTGTTTTACAAATCCAGATACTTGACAAATCCTTTGGCGCACCCAGACTACACAAGGGCCAGCTGTCATCCCCATTATCAGTATTTATGTCACTCACTTTTGGCGTATTATGTCTTGACTGTTTCAGTTCTCCCATGAACATTTAAAAATAGCCAAAAGTTAACAAAAAAGTGGGTGGACGCAAATGAAAGGAAATGGGATTCAACAACATATTACTTCTGGGTCAAAGGTAGGACTGAGTAATGAAGCAAAAAATTAATTTAAAAAACTTTTGATTGATCACATTTTTTGATACAGTTTTATTTTCTTACTAACAGCATATCCATGAATAAATATACCTTAAGATTAAGTTTAAGGTCCATGAACATATAATATACAAAATGACTTTGTATACAGATTTTATTTCACAATAAGTATGCACCCACCTCTTCTATATTCCTCTGAAACCTAAACTCTATTCCACACCCCATGCTATCACTGCCACAGGTTAGGCTGATGTTGAGTGATGTTGATGTTGAGCCCTCAACTGATCATTACAATCATGATCAATGATCTGATCATGATTTTTGATAATGATCATGATTTACATTCAGGAACAAGATTTGTTTTGTGCATCAGTTCACAATTACTTTATCAGTACAGATCATCCAGTCCCAAACTCTACATTTTTGAAGTCCTGGGGGAATACTTCTCCACCTTTCTGAGATATGAGTCTCTGCATCAGATGTCTCCAACCTACAGTTCAGGAGCTACCAGTAGCTCTCCACCCCCTTCAGTAGCTCGCCAAAGGACTTTTGAATTATACATATTGTACTAAATAACTCAAATTTGATTAATTACCATTGTAAATGTGTTACTTTGAACTTTGTGCACTAATAAATGGATAATGGCTTAATGTTTATAAACATCTAACTGTACATCTAAATCAATTTCTTGCAGCTGCTAAAATGAGTAGCTTTCCGGCATTTTCAATTTGTAAAGATAGCTCACTGTATGCAAACGTTTGGAGACCCCTGCTCTACAAAGTTACATAGAACTTGTGGGTGTTATAAATGGATGATCTAGGATTTGTTGAGTGTATTTTTAAGATTCCTTGTGGATAACAGCTGTCATTTTTGTGTGGCCTAGATGCAGACAGAAGTGATTAGGACAATCTTGAGGTGATTATAATGCATTAGGCAAAACAGCTCAACAGTCTGCTCTGACCTTTACTCTTTTGTGTGTAAAAAGGAAATGCTCTCCTTTTATATCGCGTTTGTACCTCAAAGACCTAGTTCAAAGTGCTTTATTCTTTGCTTGTGGTTTGAAGTGTATCAAAACATCTGGTACTGTATACTGATACACTGATACTTCCTTGGTTGACTTGGGTTGGGAACTCCAGCCTATTTCTGAAACATAATTCACTGCAGACGGTTTCTGTTCACAAATGAGATGCAAAAGTAAATATTGATCAACAAAAAGCTAAATCATGTCAAATTGTGGCTTGCGTTTTGGCTCCCAGCCCTGAGCAATGTGGAAGTTATTTCGGAGAGGGTGCTCAAATAGATGAATAACATTCTTTTTACATACATTTTCTAGTTCATTGGTTTGACTGTTGACAAGATCAGTCTTATAGATGAATATTGAATAGGATTTGTATAAATTTGGAATTGTAATGAAATGTAACCAAATGGTGAAGATGTCAATATCAACATGTTAACTTCAACCACAAGAGGCCAGTAATGATTTTAGGTAGCCATCAACATTTGTCATTGCCAATAAGTTCAGAGTCAAAGTATCCACGTGCATATTGTTTTGTCAACCATGTCCATAATTGTAAATATTATAATAGTTTGATTGTATTTATATGTTTATTATAAAATGGTGAATACCTACATAAAAAAACCAAAAAAAAACAAAAAAAAAACGTGGTGTGCTGAAGGGATTGGTGCTAATTGCTCCTGCAGTGACAGAGCCCAGAGTTTGAGTTCGATTTGAATTTGTATTTCAGAGGTTAAACTTCTGTTAGTGATTTTGAACATGAACAGATCTGCACAGAGACAGAGGCTGTGACAAAGACGGGTCACAGATCAAATGTGCAAACTCAACCTGAGAAAATGAATGATACATTTATTATTTTAGATTTGACTGGTCAGTGAAGCAGCAGAAGACCATTTTTCATTTTCATAGCCTTGACAGTGTGTGGTTTCTTGAAGGTGCACTGTGTAACTTGTGTAACTTGTGTAACCAGGCCAAATTACAGGTCAGATCTATGGAGAGGCAATTCTGCTTATAGTAATGCATCTATTTCAAGCCATACAATATTATAACATAGTGCGTTTTTAATGTGTGTTTATGGTTAACTCAGTGTCAAAAATAGGTTGAACATTTGACCACTGTGAGCCTTTGTGATTAGATAATGAGCCTATTTCATATTCCCAAGAGAAAAGCTAGTTCAAAGCATCACAAAATTGAAGTGACGGTCATCAGTGCTCTGTAATGGGATTGTGTGTACACTATAATATCTGACTATTTCATAATAATTTATTTAATACTATAGCTACTACAAAATTTACTGTAAGCTTACCTTGATGCAGAGGACAACATCAATATTTGACTTAGAATTGATCTACCAAAACACCCATTCTTAATTAGATCTCATCAAAAGTAAGTGAACAGTGACAGAAAAGTAATTATGTGAGCTCGAGAGATGTTTTTATTTGAATGACTTTTTTAGTATCAGACCCGGGAACAAGTAATCCTCCTTCAAGCATGTTTCTAAGTCAATTAACAATCCCTTCCAAAAAAAGCAGCGTGGCTCCTCAAAGCAGGAGTCAGGGTGACATCTACACTGAGCGGGGTCACGCTGCTCCAGGACCAGCCTCTGCTTATATGGCATCATTATTCACATGCCAGGCCCCATAGGAAGCATAGCATTTCCTCTTTCTTGCTGTGTCTGCTGTAAAACCAGTTATAGCGCCTTAGCTGGATGTTCACAGCCACACAACAGACATAGCTAAAGAAAACTGACATCTGCTGTTTGCTTGGGCATAAACCACATTCGACAGGCTGCACTTGAGTTTTACTGATTGCTTTTTGGAGCTGTTTGTGCCATAAACATGCGTGAAAATGGATGACATTTCCATCCTCCTGGTAGCTCACTTAAAGAGAGCTCTGGCTTGTGTAAATGTTGAAAAGTGTTTCTTTCTTTCCTTCTTTCTTTCTAAAATCTATGCAATTTCATTTTCTGACAATGTATTTAACACAGGTGCCTTATGGATGTGGTATCACCTTGAAATATTAGTGAACTTTTGCGTGAACATTTTAGACCAATACTATTCTACAATAATATTTTCTTGAATGGATTCAGACATCTGTTACAAGTGCACCTACTGCTGGAAAAAACTTGCAGGATTATTTTACAAATTTATAATAACCTTTAGTCTCTTCTGTTTTATGAAAAAGTGACATCTGTTTGCAAAGTTTCCAAAAGAGCATTTTTCATGGTATAAATAGAGGAGTTCCACTATCATCTAGTGGTCCCACTGAATAATGACATTACAATATAAAGACAAAAATGGTAAAACATTAAACTAAGGTTGGTGGTTTGATTCCTGCCCTGATCTTTCTTTATTACTTTATTTGCACATTGTCTACTGTATCTGTACCACAGATGTTACATGCATGTGTAACATTGACAGATTAACTGCAGACAGATTAACCACTTCATTAACAAACAGAAATAGTTCATAAGTCTGAATAATAAAAAGTATTTGTTCATTATGAATTACGTCTTTTCCCATGTTTTATTAAGGCTAATTAAGGGGCGGATAAAGTGTTACCAAAATGTCTTCTCAAACATCAAATGTACAAAGACAGGAACAGGAAATGTGAGCTAATGTTACTACACTGTTAAATTTAAATGATAAAACCTCCAAATAGTATCACACATTAAACTGTTACAATTATACAAACTTTAACCACCTTTCCTTAAGCAATGACAAAAACACTGTTCAAAGCGTCTGGGGATCCAGCCTTAGCATCTCCACACTGGAAGATAAAGCAGATGTTTTAGTCATTGCCTAACCTTTACTCATCACCTACAAACAAATTACTGGAAAAATCTATAAACTATACAGTGAAACATACAGTTTAACAGCATGCAGCATAATCAATTACTCCATGCAATACTCCATTTATTTTTGTATAGCCCCAAATCACAATAGCAGTTGCCTTCCCAAAACTGTTAGAAATGAGAAAAGTTAGAAAATCAAACAGTTAACCGTCTTTGGTCAATAACAAGCAAAAAGATTAACCAACATTCACAGAGTCAATAATGTTGTAAATTACTGTTGCAGCATAATGTTACATGGGTCTACCAGAACTCATCAAATCTCCATTGCAACACTATTAATGCCCTATACTGGTCATTTAATTTGTTGATGAGTAACTCCTCACTTGGTGTATTTGACAAACTGACACTCAATGATGCACAGTGTCCAACTCAGCTTGCCAAATACACTAAGTGGGGGGCCTGGTACAGCAAAGGAATGGAGATTTACCTGCAAAATAAAGAATCAATGAGACATATTCAACTTTAAGGCAATCTTTGACAATAACACTTACAGCTGAACTTTATCTTGTTCAGAGCAGATTCTTCAAAGTTGTTCGGGCTTCTGAGTTGACAATGATGACAGTGTGTATGAGACAGTCCGTTTGACCACTGTGCCTCAGCCGTGCAAAGAGGAAGTCAAAACAAGGAAGATAAGTGCAAAGCTAGCTCTCAGGAAATATGTGGAAATAAAGTGTCATCAAGTCATGCTTGTGAAATGCTGCTGAAGCCTTTCACACCTCTCGGTTTGAGAGATAAGAGAGTCCCTTCTGTAGACCTGTTCAATGTTCATTCTTTGGTGTTGTCTAAGAATATGTAAAAAAAATGAATTAATATAGGCCCAATGTTAAGCAGAGAAAATACAGTATTGCATTTTAAAAAGTCAGTATTTTGATATGTACCAATGCAATCTACCAGTAATTCACTTGATTTAAATAGCACATTTCATAAACAGACAGTTTCCAAAGAGCTGCACAAATACACAGTAACAATAATAACCATAATACCATAATAATAAAATAAACACTCCATTAATCATACTTGTCAGCAATAAAACACATTTACTGGCTACTAACCCACGTTATACGTTGGAAAAAATTGGCAACATGAAAAGACTATTTCTTGCCAGTGCCAGTGTACCATGTTAGGTTACTTCCTCTAGTGTTTTTTTCTGGGGTTTTTTTGTTTTGTTTTTTTGAGTGTGAATCTGCCTGCGGACTTCCCTCTGCCCAAACAATGCAACTGAGCTTCCCTCATTAAACGACACTTTGTTTTCTGATCAAAGTTAGTCTGTGCTATTCTGCTTCTATATCATTTTGCTGCCAATAAAACTGTCTCCCTGTATAAGCAAATGTAGGTCTCAGGTAATAATTAAACACATACATTTGATAAAGTTAATTGTTATTTCAAAAGTATATGTTTTTAGTATTTATGTAAAAAACCTTAAAAAGGACAGACTGTGGTTGCGAATGAAATAGCCTAATGATGAGCATATATTGAAATGTTTCAAAATAATAGATTTTTTAAAACTCTTTTTGCAGTTTTACAGAGCTGAACCTTGAGCAGAGAGAGAATATTTGAGCTAAAACTATAAAATTATATGGCAGTGGCAATTTTATTTGTTCCAACATATTTCAAATAATGCACACAATTACACCATAAGATTCCTGAAAATGAGCTAGTTATTTGGTTGACTTTTTGAGCAAACAAAGCTCAGAAATTTTACTATTGTAGGCCATAGGTTCATCGTACTTTTCCCCTTGTCCCTCTCCATCTGCCCCCTTCACCCCAAGATGAAGATCCAGTGTTCCCCTCATCAGTTAGGACCTGAGGAGCCCTGCATACTAGTTAACCCATCATCATTTTGATTTGTAATCCTCCACATAAAATTAAATCTGTCTCTCAAACCATTGGAGTACAAACAAATGTGTGATTTTATTTTATTGGCATGTTGGGTGTTCAAAATAATATTGATGCTTTCCAGATTGATTTGACAGGAAATATGAGCTTTCCAATGATGTTTCACACACCCAAGAGTTTGATAGGTCGTTTTTGTCTGTTTGGTGTAAAACTGTCAGTAGTTAAACTTTTATTGAGAAGTTGTGCTCTCTTTTTGTGATGCAAGACACACCCTGATTGTGTTGTCACATTGTGACAGTTAAAAAAGCTGGTGAATAATTTCAACAGTTTAAGGTCACAGCATTAAGCAGAAGTAGGCAATGACACAAATGGACCTCCAACTGTCCTAAAGGTGCAACTTTCCAGTGGTGGGTCTGCCACCTGCTGTCTGTATGGAGATGTTATTGCTTTGATTGGAATGTTCCACGGCATACTATTAAACTTCTATCTATCTTGCATTTGGCTTTTCAAATAGCTCAACAATACCATGAAAAACTATTGTGACAACGGTCGCCTGTCAACAGATCTGACTTGCAACTTCCCTAGGTAGTGTCACAGGCTCGTCTCTATGGAGATAGATATGATTAATGCCATACTGTAAAACATACATAACATTTCCTTGGAGACAAGCAGGTAGCAGACTCTCCACTAGTACTTAAATTCACCTTTAAGTAAAACATTCTCAAATGTCATCAGGGCTACAGTTTAGCAAATGTTTAGAGAATTTCCATTTGCAAACAGAGAATTTCTAATTATAACATTTTTTTCAGTCATTGCTTTAAAGTTTTCATTAACCTGTTTGTCTGCAATGGTTTGGCCATATCAGAGTCAAAACTGCAGTATTATATGAAACTGCAATGTTCAGTGCGAGCCTGGAGCCCTAAATGAAAATAGAGCAGAAAACAGTGTTGGACTGCCACCTTGTGGTTAAGTACTGAGCTGCAATTTATGATTTTTTTGCGAACGTTTGTAAATGTCACCTGACGAGTACTGTACTGTGTCAATCAGCTACAACAATAGACAAGACAGGTTCACAACAAATAAGCAAATATTTATTTTATTCAATGAGAGAAAGCAGAAGGAATGGTAAAAAACAAAATCATTGAGGCATTGTATATTACAGTCTAGTGTACAATGCTACAGTATCCATTTGAAATTTATTTTGGCTATTCTTATAGGCACGATTTTTTCTCATCAAATCTACAACACATCTATAAATGTTAACAGCAGGGCATGATATTCATTGTCATTCTACCAAAATGTTTCTTTTGAGATAGAAAAATATAGCACATTATTTCTCAAAATATTTCTCACCATATGCCTTTGTTTGAAACTTGAAGTTATTTTCACATATACAAAATATCACTGAATGTGCAAGACCTGGTTCTTCTGCACACTCCAAAGGAGCACTGAACTGACGCTAATACTGAAACCAAACTATTCATGATCCAGGTTAATAAAACCAGTTCAAATGCAAGTGGGTTTTATTTTCACTCATACAAAACACACAGTTATTTTTTTTATAACTGACATTTCAAATGTAGAAATACTGTTTTCTCTAAGACCATAATAAATCCGGCCTTTTCTATTTTTGAATTTATATACATTAACAGGCTTTTCCAATGCATCTCCAAAGCCTGCATCTGTATCTTTGTCAACGTACAGAAAAACACAATACTAAACATAAACTTTGACCTCATTTCTGATTTAAACATGGCCACCAGTTTGCTCTAAATGTCTCTGATTATCTGTCATGGCTAAAATGATTATGTGATCCTTAATTATAAAATTAACACATTAAAAATGGGATTAAAGACAATGGGTATGCCAGATTATTTGGTTAATTTCTCGACATTTGAAGGTTTAACACTGAAGTGCACAAAAAAATGTGGCTAATGATAAAACAATGAAATATACAGAAACAGAGCTAACTGAAGCTTTAATGTCACTTTGTGACAGGGATTTAAATACTGTATGGTTTGTGACAGACTGTGGCTACAATCAGAAAAATAAAATAAAATAAATGAGATCTAATATATTGCCTAGGTCTCCACATATGTCTTATGTGAAATACAGTGCAATGAGGTTTGATTCTGGGACACGTGCCAAAATGGTTTATCCAGAGAGTTAATTCAAATTCAATATTTACAGCAGAAGATTGGCAACACATTTTTGAGAAAATTTGGTTTTAATTTTAAAAATGTGATTTAATTGTTTAATGTTTTTAAATAATGGTGTAGGTCAAGCACTAAAATGCTACACAAACCCCGAAGGAGGAATGACACACAGTACGTCCCTTTTCAAACAGTGACTCGCCTAACTTCAGACAGTGGAATGATAACAGAATATCTCAGATCCATATTTGTACATTGCTGTGGAGATGTGTGGCCACATGTTGTTGTTGATCTGATATGTGGAGAGGAGGCAGGACTGCAGTCCAGGCAAAGCAGGTGCATATCACATGCACTCAAACTCATCGATGCGCTGCTTGGTATTCCCAGAGCGGATCTGTCTGAGGGTCTTGTACTTGTCCCGTCCCGCCTTCACATTCTCGGCGTGGATCATGTCATTCACCGTCTTCTTACTTTCGTCTCGAGCATTAGCCAACTCTGAACTCAAAGCCTGAGGACACACACAAGGCATAGTGCTAGTGTAAGACTTTGATTTGAGTCACCCAACAATTAGAACTACAACCATACTAACCAAGGCTATTTAATATCAACTCTATCAATTAAACGTGATAAAAAATCTGATTAGTACAGGTAAAACTTTACTATTTGAAAACAGTACAAATAAAAGTGCATTGTTTGGCTTAGAAATATATTGCACTGTATAAAACTTATACTGCTATTGTGTAATTGCCATTTATGTTTATTCTAATAACTGAAGTGATGATGAAATGTGTGCATTTTATGTGATGTGTAGTTAAATGAAACCCTCACCAGGAGATGCTTCTGCAGCCTCTCGTTCTTCTCAGCCTCGGTCATGCGCTCCTCCTCACTGCGGTCTTTGTAAGTGACCGCAGAGGAGAACTCTGCACTGGCCTCCGCGCTGCTCTCATCATTCTCATCATGGTCGTTCTCTGGCTCCTGGACATGAGCAGTCAGTACTTTGTTCTTCAGCTCTTCTTTGGTCTTCTCCAGGTCCTCCTGCACCAGTGTGGCCTGAGTCAAATAACAGACAAGCACATGTCAGAAACCAGGAAACACATTGTAATTTTTAAATGTCTTTTCCACCACACAACAGATTCTGCTTAAGTTAAGTAAAGGCTTGTTTGTTATTTTCGGTCTTGGAAGGTATATAGGAGTTTGCATGTCTAAGAATGTCTCAGAACAGAATTGACAGCAATAATTAATAATAATTATCTTATAAGTATAACAAGAAGAAAACCCCAAAGCATGTGATGATTTTCTCTACCATGAGTGTTGCTATCTCACTGTGTGGTGGAGAAAGCGCTATGTAAGACTAACTAACTAATAAGTAACATTCTGGCAGTGGCATGTCACATTCAGGATTCCATGAAAATATAAAGTTAAAACTATACTTCTGAACTTTCTCTACTCTAGATTATGCCCTACTGGGGAAAAATATAGCCAATGGAACAAGTCTAATGAAAACAGGGAGGAGGAGGCCCTCCTTAAGGCCAAATAAGAGGCCGGTTTGTGGAGATGTAAGCCTACTCACAGTAAGGATGAATGTTTTTAGTGGAATAAAAGTGAAACATGCTTTACTTATGTCTTATGTCAAAGTTGCACACTTTGGCTTTAACTTTTCAAACTTGTTAGAAGTTTGTCTGATATATGGTTCATACTGTACAAAATTAGCCATTGAGTAACAGTGGAATGTGATCAGGATGCCAGAAAAATGCACCACATGGAAATCACAGTTTATAACTCTGAGCTTTCCACAATCCAGCATCATAATGAGGGAGAACAGGATTTCCTCTGCACAAAGACAAATGCATGAGTCACAGTGGGCTGGCACATATGGCTTTGACCAAAATAAGATCAACCCTCCCCCTAAAACACAGGGCACATCCAGCTACCAGGAATTAGCCCTGTAGTCAACAGCAAATACCAAAACTAAAACTGACTTTCCCTGGCTGCTCAATATATCATGACTGGATTATTATTATTATAGTGTAACAATATCATGTAAGGGCACTCCACAAAAATGTAGACAGACTAATTTTCCAATTGGACCAGAGAAGGGGTATGATTAACAAAATATAAGGTTTTAGTGACCTGGTGTAAGCCAGTCTTGATATCACATTCTAATAAGGTTTGCTCTGTAATATTGATCTGGAATAGCACTCTCTGAAATTGTTCAAGAAGAGGGAGAACTTTCAACAGAGTTTTAACTGATCATAACTGCAATCAATCAATATACGTAAACCAATGAATGGGTTGCAAAACACCAACTGTTTTTTACCCAAGCAATTATTAATAAAAAGGTGTCACTTTATGCACCAAGTCAGTGATTAATTTGGGGTTTTGAAAACTCAAACCTTGGGACAGGTAAAGTGTTTTTTCAGTAACAAATTGGTAATTCAGTATAGTTAATGCATGTTGATAGTTTTTCTTATATTCCTTGGATTCACTGACCTTCTGTTGCCACTCATTAGCCTCTTCTTCCTTCTTTTTCTTTGCATCTTCCAGGAGAGAAATCTTTGACGTCAGATCTGCTAACTCTGTGGCCTAAAAAAACAAACAGTAAAACTACATCAATACAAAAGTTCATTACTCGTCATAAGAACATAGAGTGGATTTGCGGCGGACCAGGTGTTCTTGGTTCTTCATCTGGTTTTGGGACTGTTGCAGGAGTGCGAGTTTGGCCTCCTCTGCCCTTCTCAGGTCTGCCTCCAGTCGCTCAGCCTCCTCGTGAGCCCTCTTCCTCTCTTGCTCCAGCTCCAGGGCCTTGTGTGTCTGTTCCTCCAGCTCTGCACACACACAGAAACAGACACAGACACACACACACACAAACAGGTCCATTACTGTTGTGTTTCTGTGCATTTTGTTAGACTGACTTGCATTAATTTCCTGGAGACTGAACCTAACCACATAACACACCTTAACCCAGGGGTCTCCAACCTGTATCTCGGGAGCGACCAGTAGCTCTCCACCCCGTTCCAAGTAGCTTGCCATGGAATTTGTAAATTACTAACTCAATAACTCAAATTTGATGGATTAAATGTCTATTATTATTGTAAATCTATCATTCATAAATAAAAAATGGTTTATGTTTTAGATAACTGTACTCCATTTAAGTCTTATCATGGATCTTATGTACACTTTATTTCCTGTGACCGATAAAATGAGTAGCTCTCTGGAATTTTCATTTTTGTAAAGGTAGCTCAACCGAGGAAAAAAGTTTGAGACTCGTGCCTTAACCTAAACCTCTAACCTATTTTAACTATTTTAACTTTTTTACACAATATTTTAACAATGCATCAGAAATTGTGCCTGTAAAAGTCTTGGTTGAAGTTCAAGTATTGCACAAAATATGAATGGGCCATAAACTGACCAGAAAGTGCAGAAATTAATTTGTTTTGAAGAATACAGCTTTTTGTTGACAATTTAAATAGTTCTAATTAGAAACGATGTACTTACAATTCTAATTTTGCATATCTCCAAAATAAAAAGATTATTTTCCTATAATATATTTTTTTCCAATGTATCTCCTATTTTAATCAATATCTTAACTTTAAATATTGTTGTTGACCTACTAATAAAGAAATGATATCATGGGGACCTGATTTTTGTCCTCTTACGGGAGGCAGATCCCCATAAACTAATTTTAGTCCCCACAATGTAATAAAAACCCGTGCACTTAAATAACGCACCCTAAACATAAGCAGCATTGTGTGAGTAAACAGGCAGAGCCATTGTACAGGACTCCCACCTTGCTGGGCCTTCCTGGTCTGCTCCTCGATCTGTCTCAGCCTCTCCATGAGCTCCTCCTTCTCCTTCTCGATTTTTTCTTTTTCCTTTTCTGCAACTTCTCTTTTTCGTTTTTCATTCTCGAGCAGAGCCCTGGGACAAAAATAATGAATTATTGCAAACTTTTTTCAGGTAAATGAAAACAAACAACAAACCCCTCGGTAACGTGTCAGTTAATAATTTTTTTTTTTTTTTTAGTAACTGTTGTAATAGTAAGAAAAGCACAATGAGTTGTCCTTTTATAATTTTACAGGTGTGAACAATCACAAAGAAATGAGATTACAAACTGATAAATCTGATTAACTCCAGAAATTTGATAATGAACAAATTATTAGCAATTTATTCATGGGTTTCAGTTTCAGCTTATATGCAACATTAGGAAGAGTTTGTCCCCATTCACAAGATAGAATTTGTTGCTTTAAATTGTTAATTACTATAGTAACAATCTATTTTTTTAAAAATCATTCTTAAAGCCATATGTTAGTCTTACCGCTCCATTTTCTTGAGGTTCTTCTCCTCTCTGGCCTGTGCCTTCATCTGCTGGACTTCGATGGTGTCAGGTTTGCGGCGGCGCATGTACAGCTCGTGGTTGCCCATGCACAGAGCCAGGATACGCTTGTTAATACGCAGTCTTGGAGCGTAAAACACAAAGTCCTGAACACAAGCAGAAAATACGAGTCACTTTAATGGTAATTAATGAATAACTGTGGAATATCTCACGTAAAAAAAGCATACTTACAGGTGCTTTCTTGTCAATTGGTTTAATTACAAACTTCTTGTCATTGAAGGAGATGTTCCTTATTTCACTCCATGGAAATCCAATTTTTGGTGTCATTCTTTTGGAGACAAAACACAGAGATTTGAATATTAGTTAATGGCGCTTTCTTACTTAAAATTACATTCATTGGTTGTGTTCACATGACATAATATGGTAATTTCTATAGTTTAAAATTGAGCTGGAGAACAAGTGAGAAATCTGCTGTTTAACTCTTGATCTATCTGATCCGTTGACCTGGTTTAAGATTAATATCTCTGTAACAACAGGGCCTATCCACTCCAAACAAAAACGGCAACAAAATTCAATGTCTTCTCAGTTAACCTAAGTAAACAACATTATAATAATTTTTTCACAATAGCTTCAGAAAGAGGCGCCATTTTCTAAACTCTAAAGATATGGTTGTAGTCACTTGAAAGGAGCCATAACATTAATAGCAAATAATGATAAGGTTCAGCATTTGTAGATCATAGGCTCCTTGTAATTCCCCACCCTGCATCTGAAATGATGATGTAGTTCTAGATCAAATTTTAGATTTTTACTAACTTGTCGTTCTGTTCATAAATGTTGAGTCCCAGAGCGTCCACACCCAGCCACAGCTCTGTTCCTTTCTTGTTTTTGATGCTGAAATAGTTGACTCCGTACATCTCAAGATCCTGAGCAATCTTTAGATACTCCATCATGGACTCCTCTCTGTGGATCAGACAAAAATTATTATTTTCTACATGAGAAAACAAACTCCATCTCAACGGTTGTAACTGGGAAAACAAAAAGTACAATAAATAAGCTCAAATGAAAGAAGAAAAGAATACAAAATGTGCATCATTGTTACCTTAGCATGCTCTTGTGTTCCTCATGCCAGACTTGAATCCTTTCTTCCCACTGTTCCTTGTTAAGTTTGTGCTGGTCCAGTACTCTAGAAAAGGAAAAAAGTGAATACATTGTTTTACTTTTCATCATTCATCAAATCATTGCATTCTATTTGTGGCTTTCCGATTCTAGGTTGTGATAATGTCCTGCTCCCTGATGAAGGGCAAGGGTTTTCTCTTTTGATTATACTGTATTTTCACCAGAATTAGCCTAAAAGAAAATCCCTGTATGTTGATCATTTCAATTGGTGAAAAGATATATTTTTAATCGCTCTGTGTCTTGAGTGATGTTATCTGAACTGTAGCCACTGGCCTTTAATGTATAAATGTCAACGTGTCTAATGTTTATCTCAAAATGTTGTGAAGGGGCTACATATATATATTTAATACATATACTGAATTTCTCATGAGAATTATAGCGTAATCAATACCAAAATACTTGCCTTGTCTGACAGAAAGATCCAATTTACAATCAAAATACAAGAATAGTACATACAGGGCTTGGTGATATGATGATAAAAATCAGTTGTGATTTCTGCTACTTTCTTGAAATCTTATATTATGGTTCAAAATTTCTCTCTAATGCAGCCATCTTTTCAAACTCAGGCACTTTTTCCTACCCACGTTTTATTGGTTAGACTTTTTAAGGCTCTAAGCAAGTGACAGCTGGATTTTCCAAATTACAGTGAAGAAGCAGATGACTTTATTAACCGCTTAAAGGGCTCATATTATGCTATTTTCTGATCTTCGCTCTAATGTTCCTCATCAAGAACATATATAGAGAGTTGTCTTTTGTTTCATTTACACATTTAACACCCAAACCCTGCATATTTAGACTTAGACTTGTGTGAACTAAAACAAAGCACAACTTCAGGTATGTTTTTGAGGAGGTAACAAGAGTCAGTGTCACATAATAAAGGACCTTTAAAGGCAACAGCAAAGTGTATGAATTGTAATTCTGGCTCCAAGCATATTAGGATATTTAACTAAAACCACTTACATCCCTATAACAAAGACTCAAAGACCGTGTAGGTTACCTCTGGGGGAGCAGATTCTCACTGGAGAGGTATCCCGGTGTGTGGACCTCCTTGTTGTAGTCGGCGTACTTGGCCTGCACTGCGTACGAGGCCAGGAGCACGGCGGTCTCTGGGGGGCAGTAGATATCATCATTGAGGATTCCCTCCTTCACCTGCAGGAAGAACAGTCTCTGTGTGGCATCCTGGATCAGCTCCTCAGACACATCCTCAGGGAAGAACTTAGCCCGAAACTTAAACAGCAGGGGGCTCTCCTTCCTCACGTCCTGCGCTGTCACCTGAACAAAAAACACACAAGTTATCAAAAACACCTGATCTTTATAAAGTGTTAGTTAGTCTAGTTTTTATTTGAAAGGACAATGTACAGAGATATTAAGCTAATTTAATATATTCAGCTATATAGCTAGTTTCCATATGCAGTGATTTGCAGCACAAGTGTTATTTAAAGTGAATGTTACCTTTTTGTTTAGCTTTAGCCATGTTGAGAAACCCTTTGTGTCCTGATACTGGAGGCCAAAATACCAAACTTCTCGTAGTCCAATGGTTTTAACCACCTTGAAAATAAAGCAATGATAATTGCACATTGCACTGAATGCACACATATAAATGAATAATAATACTGACATACTTGGTCAAAGAGTTGCTTTCCTGTTGTATTTGGCTGAATGGCAAACTCCAGTTCAGCATCCATTGTGGTGACTCTTACACTGATCTGTAAAGACAAGAAGATATCCACATGAAATATTTCTAAAATGTATTTTAATATTTTTATTTGCCAGTAATACAGTTCAAAACACCGGCTATTTATGTTTCTTGGCATTTTACTATATTTTGTATGTCTGAAGTTTTCAGTACTTCTCTAAAACAAACCTATTTTACAATATACAAGGAAATTTAAAAGAAAAAAAAAAAAAAAAAAAGTATTTCTTCAGTGGTGACAATTACAAAATGATAAGAAGAAATTATGAGAAAGTTAATTTGGGATAATATAATCCTGTCAACAAAAACAAAAATAAGATACAAAAATTGTATCTTAAGGGAAATGTCACAATTAAATCAAATAATCAGTTGCTGAAATAACTGTGTGAAATATTGCAGTTTAAAACATATCAGAGTATCGGTGAACACCCACTTAGCCCACTTTAAAGAGGATTTGACTGTTAATTACTTTTTAAAACACTGATAAAGCCTTTAGCCCTAAACGTTTGTACAGCAGACGTGCCAATCTGGCTTAGACTGTGCAGTGAATTTATCTACAGGAAGTAACCACATCCTCTGGTGGCTGGGCCCTATGAGCCTCCTCTTCGACTGCTAAACTCTAAGCTCTGGGGAGGGTCCTTACATCCTGCTATGTATCAAACAACATGTCAGCTTTTCTACCCACTTATCTCACTCAATGTAAGCAGACAGATGAAGTCATTATGTTTTTTTCCTCTATGGTCATCACCACAATAACAAAGTCTAACTTAAAGTGCACATGACAGCTTTTCATGTTTTTTTAATTATTAGTTGGTTTGGTGGGTTATTATCATAGTTTTACATCATTTAAGTGGCAGTTTGTGGAGAAGAGTTGAGGAAAAAAGTACAAAAAAGTGATTCTAATATAAAACATTGGATACCTCTTCCAATGTCATCAACAACTTACAAAATGCAGATACAATTATATGCAAGGAAGGCAATTTTTCTGGCAGTTCAAACATTAATTTAACAAAATACTGGAACTTATTTTTATTAGGCTAAACACTTTACTATTGTGCAATTTAGACAAGTTATAACCCTTGTTAACACTAAGGTTGCTAGGGAACGGATGCCTGTGTCCAAACAGAAAGTGAATTTAGAAACTTCACCAAAAACTATTAAAAAAATCTTAAATATGACTATATATGTGTGTACTCTAACCTGTCATATGCACTTTAACATAAAAAGGCCACAGAACTCATTCTTTTTAGTGTTTTCTGTGTTTTTGAGATAACAGAGCGGGCAGCATACATGTCTATTGGGACTTAGCTGTGCACACTGGAGCCCACGCCTGACCTCCACAACAATGGTGTGCATTATGTCCTGGTTGCGGGGCTGATTAGAGTTGCGTTCTTTCCCGTTCATGTCAGCAGGACCCCATTTCACGGCACAGGACACTTGCACCTCTGTCACATCCTGTCATCAGCAGCAGTCAGTGTTAAAAGTGAAACTACAGCGTGGTTTTGACCCCCACCACAACTCAGGAAATTAAAAACGTATTTCTCATAGTCACATTTCTTTTTGTAAAACTCAGTACTTCACAAATGCTTCTTAGAATCCTTAGAATTATAAGGTTTGGGTGACTTTTTTGCTAACTTTTGCTAATGATGTTTTAATGCTGTCTTTGACTTGTGTTTATATTTTGTGGTTTGTGTTCTTAATATGTTTTAGTTTGTCTGTTAGAAATGCTGTATAAATGTGGTGCACTCTGGGCTTCTCACAGTCTTTTTCCAGTGTCTTTTTTTATACTCCAAATGGCAAATAATCTGAACTGATCTAATGGAGTCGTTCATATGTTTTGTTAATGAATCCCTTTCTGTACACTTTTATCAAGATTTTTGGTATTTTTTGAGGTTTATAAGAGCAAAAACAGATTTCCAGATTCCACTGTGCTGCGTGATTAGTCAGAACTTCAAACCTCTATATCTCAGAACTACCCAGAACACAGACTTAATTCAAAGGGAACGAACTGTTGCTTTAACCAGCAGAAAGGTAACAATCAATGAAACTAGATATATTAAAAGACAGCAGATTGACCTACATTCACATAGAAAGAATAGGATTTAAGATTTGATTGCCAAAGTAGCTAATGCTGCATGAAAAAGGAACTACGGCCATAAATGTGAGCCTTGTTAGGGTGTGTCCGCTACAGGCAGGATTCAGAAAAGACTATTATTAGCTCCACAGCTCTACAACACCCTTCTCAGACCGCTGTGTCATAGCCTATTATTCACAAGGTTCTGGATCTGAGTTAACCAATCAAAAAAAACTGTTTAACTTAACACCAAAAAGGAGAATATTAACCATTTATATTATACAGTGCACAATTTAAATGTATAGTCTCTGGTCTAAACAACTCAAGGTACAGTATTGCCAGGTTTTGCCACGTGAACTTCAGTGCCTATACTATGACTAAACAAATTCCTGTGCATCAATTAGTGGTTTAAAAGTGGGCATGGTGTAGAAGCAATGTCGCACAAAAAGAACAAAAATACAGAGAAGACTAAAAGTACTAGAAAATCTCAAATGTTTAAGTAAAAAGACAGATTCAAGAGTCCATTCACTCCAAACACTCCAGGTAACTCAAACCAAATAAATCCTTACAATCCTTATGAAATACTAATTATTCAACTAATAAAATATTTAGTCCTCACTATAAACTGATAAATGGACTTAACTCAAGGACTACAGCCATCAAGGACCATAAATATCACACAGTGTTGCATTGTGCTTTGATTGTGTTACGCTTTTTACAGTTTTTTATTAGTTGCAGCAGGGTAGTTAGGTAGTAAAGCAGAAACAGAGAGTAACTGGACAAGTATAGTATTGCTGGTACCGTTGTCCAACCTGTATTTAAGGTCACTGAAATTCCAAACCTTCTAATTAAAATAACAAAAGAGAAGTGGACTGTGAGAAATCAACCTCCAACATTACCAGAAAAGAGAAGTGAAATTCTTACCACCTCTATCACAGGGACAGTCTCACTCCTATATTGTAAAAAGTATCCTTGTGGAAGCCCCCTTCAATTTCATCATTTCAAAAAACTCCTCTTAATTGCTTTAAATATTTCAAAGTAACTATACAATACTCACTGCAGCTACATAGCCAGAAAACTACTGCAAACTACTGCAAACTGATTGGAATAACACTATTTTTGAAAAAAAGTAATGCACATATAAGAACACAAAGTATAAGCCTTTGTTTGTATCGACATCAGCAGAAGCCAATAAGTATGTTTATATCTTTTCGAGACATCTTTATTAAACATCACAGGGCTGGAGAATGCGATGTTTATTTATGACAAACTACTGTTCAGTACTTTTTATCAGTACAAGAACCATATTATCCACTGAAGGCATCTTACAGAGAACATCATGTGCAAACGAGACTTGTGGGCAGATCAACAATCATATCTACTCAAGTGGATAAATATTATTGGTGGAAGATTAGATAATCTGGACAAACAATTTGACATAAAAGACTGACTAAATCCTGTTTTGATCACACATTTTTGTGTTTACCAGCCCCCGATTGTCCTACACTCTATGGCTGTGTGCTTAACGCCTTTTAATAGATTCCTTAACTGCTGCTTCCTGGAGTTTTGTCTATATTGTGTGGTTGTCAGGACAACGGGAAACTACTTCAGTGTCTCCTTCAGGGTAGGCCACAAACCTCAATGACATCCTATAGTTTTGTGACCCATGATTATTCTGCACTCATGAGAACATAAAAAGAAGAGTTGATTAATCATAAACTAGTTAGTTAGGTGAGGTACAATGGACATATCCCCCAATACTGCTCCTAAAGACAGATCATTTTGAAGGACTCAGTGGTGCTTGGAGATATAAAATGCAACAAACCTTTGAACTATTATTTACTCAGTTCAAATTAAAGTCTTTTATGTTTGTAACTGGTTGAACTACTGTTTTCACACACACATTGCCGGATACAATTTTGACAGGAAAATGGGTGATAGTTGATACTGATTAAGATATCGGTGTGATGATTAAAAACAACATTTTTAGACAATTTATACAATGTAATTTCCTTAAAAAAATAATTATATTTTTTGTTTTATCACATGGTCTTATACAAGTTCTAATGTCAGTCAAGACCAACCAACATTATTCAAGACATCTGGGTATTCTGACAATGCTCATCTAATTTTATTTATGACAAATGTTGCAATGATAAGATTTGCATATTTTAAATAAACACTGGGTGCTCATTTTCATAGTCAATGTAAATTCAGTTTTACAGTAAAAACTGAAATAATAATTGCTGTACTCTACTAATTCCAAGGATTTCAAGAAAGTATTTTGTTAACTGCAGAGGACATTCCACTGTCTGTGTATTTTATATGCAGCTTTGATTTGTGTTTAATTCATCAGCCTGGGTGCACATAACCAGATTAAATAATAACAGAGGCTTGGTTAAACTCTTAATTTACTAAAGGGGTGAGACGTTTAGACAAGAAACAGGCACAGTGCTGTTTATTTGGTGCAAGGCAATAACTGGTACTAACCGAAAAAGCATTTAAAAACAGGCTTATCTGACAGAACTACTGACAAAGAAATCAAATCTCTACCCGAACAAATATCGAAGTCAAAAATCAAATTATCATCAGTTAAGCACATGTAATTGATGGATTAAACTGTAAATAAATTATTTATTTATCAATACCTAAATTACCTATAACCTAATTTAAAGTAAATTAATTAATATATGTTGACAGATTAACTATAGCCTACGTCTGCACTTTTTTGTCCACCAAATCAAAGGGCATTGCCATAGCATTACTATTAAGGTCACACGTTTTCAACTTTACAATACTCATCAAACTAGAAAATCAAACCTTTTTAAACGCATTTTCTAAAAGATAAATGGGAAATTATTTTATTACTTACAGTTCTTTTTGCTGGAAATGTCTATAGCTCCGGTGCTGTTTTGGAGTTTGTAAAGCGCCTCCTGCTTACAAATTGTTAATCTGCTCTGCTATGTGAACTACAGTCCACTTAAATCCCCCTCTTACATACCTCCATCGCTTTCCATTTCTTTCTGCATTACCACTTTTATTAATTTGCACAACAAAGAAAACACACACAAGACTGGACTGTATATCACTTGTATAACATAGTACTATATGTGGACTAAGTAAATGATGAATATAAGCCTACTGGATAATAAAATTTAGGTCAAATAAAATCACATTAGCCAATTTTCCACTTCAACTTTATCTACTTATGTTCAATAAATGTTGATGAGTTTTAATAGGCTGTCAAAGGTATCAATACTCAGATACTAAAACTAGTATTAAATCATTTGAAGTATCAGTACTGAAAGAAATCACATACACTAGTTAGATTTAGACGGTTAAAATTTGAGTATCGTGACAGTTCAAAATACATTAGTAACACCCACACACACACACAAAAGAAAATACAATATAATGTTTTATGCTTCCACTATAAAAACTAAGTAGGTTCATTTGTGTGTGCAGTGAGTGGAGGGGTGTGTTGGACTCTGGTAGTTGGTTTCAAAGTGAAGCATGGCATATCTGAGCGGCCCGCTGAGGGGAGACTGGGAGGAGAGAGGGCCGAAGCGTGATGTGAAAGTCCATATAAGGCTGCAGACGAGGAAATTACCAGAAAGGAACTGATGTAAGCACAGAAACCTTGACTCACAGCTCTACTTCCTTGGGAAACAGAGCCAGGATAAGTCCAAGCAGTGACAGTGTGTAATCCAGAAAATTGTCTTATTTAGTATAAATAATAATTATGTAACTGTAAAATTATACTTAAAACTTTCCATGACATTGTATTGTAGCAGAGTCAATTTTCACCAGAGATGTCCTTGCACTTGTCTACATAAGTTGATTCCAAAATAAGGGATCATAAGATTGAATGATCATAATATAAGATTGTTCTGAAAATAGTGTCTTGCCTCATTGTGAGATGCACTGAAGCCATTTCCTGACTTCACTTTGTGTTTATTTAAGGAAAACCTCTCACCTTCCTCTGACCAGCTATTATGTTCCCAAGAGGTTCCCCTTTAATGTAAGAACTAAAACCACAGCCCATTGCACTGGTTTAGTGACAGTCAACTGACCAAATTAACCATAATAACATCAAACCTACCAGCCATACCACTATACTATCGGCCTACCGCACACTGAACAGATAACCTAAACCAAATTAGAGACAAGACAATGGACAAGAACAATAGCCAAATGATAGGAAGACCAAAATGAACAAATGAATGTCTCTTCTAACGCCTATATGACCATTTTATCCATGGGATTCGAATTCCTGTTATATGCACCATTTTGAAGACTTTCCCATTCAAAAAATTTAGCCAAATATTTCAGTTTGCATTGTTAATCACTATGGCAATGGCATAATTCCTCATTCTGAAACCCATGGATAGGTTAAATGACAGCCCTGCTTTGATTGAAACACCCAAGGAGACCTAAATGTTGACTAAATGTTGTCATTTTATATAATCTATAAAAAGATGAGTAGAATGAAGAGTGGTCTTTGTCTGTGGCCACTCATTTTGTTGTAGCATACGTGAGACATCTTTTCAACAGTGCGTAAAGAGACAATGTAGCCTTCTCAAATCGGTGCTAACAGTGTAATATGCACTTCCTCTCTCCCTCCCGGTCCTAACTTTGCCTCCATTTAGAGCAGTTTGGAGCAGCTGGGCTATGACACTTGAAATGCCTCGTTGTTTGACGCTGGTCAGACCTGAGTGAATAGAACAGAGGCCTGTGGAGCAGCTAACCAACTCCCACTGCAACTTCTGCCACTAACTCCATCCTAAATGTGATTAACAACCCTCTCACTAACAATAAGATCATTGAATATAATGATTTGATGGAGCAAAACGTCCGCGAGCTGATGCAACGCTGTCTTGGCGGCAGACACAGAGGCGGGACCGCGCACACACACGCACATAGCGGAAAGTATACTAAACCAGTGTATACTCTGACTTTGGGATGTGGCTCATATGGGCTAGTCACTCATCCCAGAGCAGCGCAGCTAACTCTGGGATGGGGAAAAAGAGCAGGCCCGGGACAGGCACAAAAGATGAGCGTAGAGCGGTCTGCCCCGAGGGAAAAATCACAGACGCAGCGTTACGCACAAAGCAAACAGACAAAAGACACGATAATGATGCGAAATAGTTAAACGTGCATCTTACCGTCTTCGGCATCTTTGCGTCTTTGAGTCCAAATTAAGTTTTAAAAAGTTAGTAAAAGTGAGGACCAGTTATGATACTGGAAGAAAACTTTTTCCCATCAGAACAACGGCGCCAGTCTGACACCTCCCACGTCGCTGAGGGCTTTCGAGCGTTTTGTATCTCTTCAAAAAGCTGCTTTCACTGCTTTGCGCTGCCGGGTGGGTGTTTTCTTTGTTCGACCTGGTAAAAATGGACTGGAGCTTATTTCCTGCTAACGGTACCCCCGACTGCAAAACCACACCCAGAGCGATGACAGGACAGGAGGCTGAGGCTCCGCCCGCGCGCATCACCGCCATCATGGCTGCAGCCGCAAATAGAGACCACAGGCTGGCGCTGGGTCTAGGCCTATTGTGAGAAGGTACAGGAGTGGGCTACTCATAGTCAGAAAATTGTGCCTAGGTATAGTTGGTCCTGACTAGCGTTAAAATGATGAGCGGTCAAACTGAATACTTATTACTGTGGGGCATAATGATCCAGTCTCAGATAGCCTATTAAGTTGGTCTGTCGTGGATGTCCCTTAATAGAACAAAGCATGTTGGCATTCTACACAAAGTAGCCTATTTAAAGGTATGGGTGTAGACCTGACAGTGAGGTATTACAATTCTCTCTAATGCGCAGCTTCCTGTAGGAAACAATGACTGTTGTATTGAGAACACACAAATACAATTTCCTTAGAACTGTCAAAGTCTTAAAATTAACGAAGGTTGCAGATGTAAGGTCCAGTAAAATAAGAAAAGTGCCTATTTCTTTTTATAGCAAAAACATGAGCATATTAGGCATATATTGGGGAAAAAATATGTCCATACAGTTTGACCATAACATAGCTTTATTAATGGAGAGAAACAATTTTGTCATTAAGACTTACATTTTGTTTGAGTCTTCAGACTCAAAATTCTCTGTTTTAGCACGTTTGTATATTTTGGTCTATAAAAGATCATTTCCAGTGAGAGATTTACAATACAGCAATTAATAAATACACTTTTAGATTATGGTCTACTAAACATGTTAACCAACTTTATTTAAACTTTTAACAGTTGTTGAGTTAACCTGAGTAGGTAAGATCATGTTCAAAATGCACCTCCAGATTTTATAATTTTGACACTACACATCAACATTACCACAGACTCAAGAGGTGGACAATGACCAGACCACAACTGTTTAAAACTCCAATTACGTGAACAGGTTTGTGAAATCTGTACAAAGATTACTCCAAACTGTTACTCAAAGCAAATATTTTCAATTAATAGTTTAAAATTATATGTTTAATTTATTAATTTACACATTAAATAAAACCAGGATTTAATCAGTTTTGTTTCAAGCCAAATCTATGGTTCATTTCTGCTGCATAACCTACAGTGAGTAAAATTACAATTGAATAGGACATGATCACACAGTGCAGTCATTACACATGTGAAACATTTCAGTGACAACTTCCTACAGAAGAGAGCAGACCAGAAAGATTTCACTGCAGTGTGCCTCAAGAGCAGCACAGTGACCCCATCTGGCAGGAAATGTATAGTTCAGGATTCTGATAACAATCCATGTTTTCCTCTAGCTTACTTATTTGATACGTCATCCAAGAATAACTTTGGCATATTTTTATGCAAAATATTTCAAAACTATTGAAACTCCCATTAAAATAGAATAAAGCAGACATCGCAGTTTACCAAAGGTGCACAGATAACAACACAGTATCGAACAACATACTAAGTTAGTTTACAGGATAGTTTTATGTACACTCTGGTGGTCCTATGTACAAAGAGGACATGCTTACCGCTGTACTCAGGGAGGAGTGCTCTCGCAGCACATAAAGTCCCTGTAAAGAACTACTGTACCCAGTAAGAATAAATACATACCAGTGGGCTACTCCCAGTGACACACAGTGTCACAAACATTATGGCATTGTTTTTTCCCCTTTAGTTAAATAAAACTATATTCATATTTTACATTTATAGTTTGTTACATTCAAGGTATAGATACAATTTGTATCAACAAGCAATAGTCAATTCTTGACATTTGTGGCTTAGTTGTTTGCGGCACTTACCATGAAATCTGAGGACAACAAACCACTTTAGTGGCTGTATAGATAAGATAAGTCAAATAATAGTCACTGCAAGGCTTCAGTTTGATTACGAGGCTGGAAGTAGTCCACTGCCCAGGCAAAACAGTGCCATAGTGGCATAACATTGCCTTATAACAGTATCATGATGTCAAGAATGTCCTTGGCAAAGAAATGCTGTCTAACACTATTCATTACAATTTACTGAGTAATGATGTCCATTACTTTATTGAGGCATTCGACAGGTCATATTTTTTATACAGTAAATGCACTCTGCTTTCCCCAGGGTATCAGACTACTCCAATTTTAAGAATCAAAGCACTAATGTGCCTAAATGTTTTTAGTTTGCAGTTTTTTGCAACAATTTCAGGGTAGAGCTGAATAGAACAGCACGCAAACCTTAAGCCAAATGCCAGAAACAACCTTGACAGCAGCCTTGCAATCTGATTGTTTCACATGTCGAAACATTTAGGCAGTTTGTTTCACCTTCTCATGAACAGACAGTTGGCCAATTCCAGCCGTGTCTTTTTTCATGAAAAAAACAAAGTCAGCAAAGCCCAAAATACCTTTGGGCAGAACACATTCAAACATTATATAGTCTGTATATTATATATGCTCATACACTAAGGTTGAACCTAAATACAATTGAGAATCACTAATGAGACAATGCTGAGATAGAATTAAAAATGAAATACAACACACAAACTTTTCCCATAAAAATATCAACAAGAGCCTATTTAGTACTAAACAAGCTTTGTGTTTTACAGTGTAAATTATCATAAAAAGTAGAATGTGGAAAAAGTTTCACTTTTTCAATTTCAAGTTAACTTCACATGACATTCTGCTATATTTTGTATCCAATGTGTAATTTTGTACAGCTGGTTGTGAAGGGAACGGCACAGGGGTGGGCAATATTGATATCCTGTAAAATTATTATCCCAATGATCACAGATTCAGATTCAGTCATCAGAAATGTGCTAACATCTTTAGGTCACCTCATAATTTGTATGAAATATTTTCTATCATACACAATATACTCAATATTGTGATGATGTAAATTTTTTTAAAATATCTCCCACCTTTAGAAAAGAGCATTAAATCTGCTCAAACCTCAAATCATTTGTTGGTAGGCCACATGCAGCCCCCAATGTTCAGCCTATGATGTAAAGCACTGATCATATTTGGCTGGAATGCCAAGACTGATATGAATAATGTACAGAGCAAACACTTACCTTGTATTTCTAAATCTCAACTGTACATACTATGGTATTTTAATTACTATATGTTTAATGATTTTTTTTCTTGTGGGTTTGGCAAGTAAATTATGTAAATTACAAAACAAATCATCCTGAGAGCAATTCGCTGCAAGGCACAGCCCAAACCCCTAAAAATCTACAAACACTGCATTTTCTTCTATTTGAGCAAACAAGCCCCTGGAAAAGGCCATAACCGTAATCTGAAAACATGCTTTTGTCACATACTGAATATCACCGACGTAAAAGTCAGAATTCATTCACCCACTGAAGTCACCCATAAACACTCCACAGCCTGCTAAATAAAGCCTTCAGTCCAATGCAGGATTGTTGTGCAAAGTGTTGATTTCTATCATCATCCCAACAGACACATTTTTACCAATACTTCCTCACACATGGACATCTAGGATTACAAATCAAGGTCCTGTGCTGAAAATTAAGCCTGTGGTGTTGCATGTAGACATGTCATATTTCAATGGACTGTAAAGTAAATTAGAGCAGCCATAATCAACTTAAATCTCTTGCTCTTGCCTAACCAGAAATGCCTACATCTAATCATGCAATCATCCATCTATTTAATAGAACAAGTCTGTTAATTATAGCACAATACTGGTGCCAGACTACACAAAAGCAGTCCCATAACTTAACCATATTCTAAAAATGTTCAGCCAACAACATCAGTGAGTCCAACAGTACTAGTAAAATTGCTTTGAATATTTTACAATTAAATAGTTAGCACAACAAATAAATACTCCTTAGTAAAAATTTAAAATACAATAACTGTACTATATGTACTCATTTTAACACCTTAATTATCAATATAATCATTTCAGTGAACTAAAATGTTGCCATGTGAAATACTGATAAAAATTATTTTTTGGCATTATTTAGCAGCTTTAAAATGACACTGAAACAATGGCTTTTGTGTGATTATATGTACATAAATATGTGCACACGTACACTTCACAAGTCAAATCTCTGTTTTTGGCTTGTTTTGTGCACCCTTTACTAAAATAGTTTTGTTAAACGATGTTGAGAAAATATATCTTTAGATAATGATATAGTGCTTTACATTTGAAAGTGTGGAGCTTCAGCTACACAGATTTTCACTGAAACCGATGACACAACTGTGTGAGGTCATTCAGATATAAGGCCATTAATGTCGTGGTTCATGCTGTGAGGTACACACTCACCTCCTTCATCTTATTTACAGCAGAGGCAGATCTAAACCAATTATTAAGTTAAAAAAAATCTTCAAATGCTGTTTATAACAGTCACAGGAGCTGAACTAGAGTTTTACAGAAGTGATTCAGAAAAGACAGTGGAAAAACAGTAAGGCAAATACTTCAAAGCAAGTTGTGCTCAAGTGGACCTAATATTGTTAATGTTGTTAAAGTCAGGTAAGGGATTGGGCACAATGCAATACTAACACTTCCAATGAATACTTTGAACCAACTTTTTTGATTTTTAGAACTAGATTAACTTCTGTAAGGCTCTGGTTCAGTTCTTGTGATGGTGGTTTTATACAGTTTACTCAAATGTGTTACTTTACAACAAGTGCATTATCCTTCATATAAAATGTAGATATCTACAGTGAGTATAACACTGTAATGTCACTACTCAGTGATGTAAATCTAACTCCTTTTAAGATTTATGTTGATGAACCTTAACTCCTGAGGGCAATTGTTGCACATGCAGCAACAACAAATAAGTGCCTATGTTTGAACAATTATTTTAAAAGGAAATGATCATTACATATATAATTTAGTGACATTAGTTGCACGACCTCAACTTTGTAACAATGACTGCAGCGAGTTGTTGTGGGTCTGTAAGATGTGGGTTCTTCTCCATGACAGAGTGAACAATATAAGCAGGAAAGATGTTACAAAGGTTTCGATATGTTTGGTATTGGTGGTCCGGGATGACGTACCGCTCCTGGTGCTCTGCCACAGAGGCCGTTTCCCAGGGAGAGTTCCAAATTTGCTCCATTTTGTCAGGCATACTGCGGACCATCACTCTCTCGCAACATGGCATCAAGCTATTACTCAGTGGGTATGAGTGATACCCGAAGGACTCATTCCCACAAGGCAGAGGGTCCCAGCTCGCGTGCTGCTCACGACACAGTGGGGGCCGCCTTTGTCTCAGAGGATTGCTGTCGTACAACCTGGAATCTGAAATGCTGTCCATGCGGGTCATGCCAAGGGAGCGTGTGGGCTGTGAGGAGAGAGGGGGGAGTGACGTCTGAGTTAGAGGGTAGTCTCCAGGACAGCTGGACCTAGCTCCCACTGCAGCATGTTGGATATGGGGGGCCAGATGAGCCGCTTGTGGCTTACATGGACCTTGCTTCGGATCCTCTGGTCCATAGCTCTGAACCCTGGTCAGAGCCTCGTGACGAAAGCCGTGCGCAAACGCCTGCATTCTGCTCTGTGCTGATGACTGTGGCATTCCCTTCAGACTGTCATCCAGACTGCTGTCTACTGAGCTCTGGTACATGTCTCCATAGGACGAGAAAGAATCGCTGTTGGAGTGGCTGAGGCAGGATTCAGGGCAGTGGCTGAGATTTCTCTGATAGACGCCATGATCATGCTCCATGCTACAGAAACTGTCGACATTATGCATGCTGCTCATGCTCATGTTTGAGAAGTCACTGTGCAGTGAATAATAACCGTGGTCACTGACCACCGAGTCGAACTTTGGGAACTGGTCTGAGTAGGTCATAGACGCTCCGTGACTGTTGGTGACCAGTATAGGTGGATACTGTACGCTGGATGTGTGCTCCAAAGAGCTGCGCCCAAACTGCAAAGAGCCAGGCACTGGACTGCTGGCAGAGCGGGTGTTCAAGGCCCCAGCTGCATGGCTCTTGGCTGGTTGCATTGTGGGCACACTGAGAGCAGTCACAAGAGAAGGCACCGAATTAGTCTCTGACTTCCTGGCCACAGACAGCGCCTCTGGAGGCTCACAGGCCACAGAGCGAATGCTGGGGTCTGACTGGCGTTTGGGTGCCACACGTTTGGCTTCAGAGCTGCCCTCGCCCTTCTGAGCCGCTGCACCACACTTGACCAAAGCCCCTTCACTCATTGTCTTCACTGCTGACAGTTTAGCAAAAGCTCGAAGTTCATCAGCCACCGAGCGGACAGGTTGGTTCACACGCTCGGGATGATAGTACTTGCACTTGTGTCCGTATGTGCACTTTTTACCTTTTAAAAGAAAGGCATAGTTATATTTTCATTACAAGTACAGCTGTATTACATTGAGAAAGAAACTCACCATAAGGACAGGGCTGTTTTTTGTGCTCTGGAACAACTGGCCGTTTCCGAAGAAAATTTTCTAAGCTTGGACCATGTCTTCCCAAAGGATCATCAGGTGGCATAAATCTAAAAGCCATTAACACAATTTCAGCAAAATACATTTCTGTAAATAAAGTAACCATTACAATATTTGGAAAGGTGAGGTATAAAGGTATTATAAAATGAAATGGTCTTTATATAATGCATATTTACTAACTTGTCATTGACAAATGAGTACATAAGGAGACGCTCCTCTATAAACTTCTTCCATTCAGGTTTTTCATTTTGCAAGTCCCGGTAGTTGTCATTTGACACAATAATTCCATCAGAATCATAAGCCAGCTTCACTATGAAGCGATCATCATAGCACACCACTCTCCTGCCTTGAACTCTACGGGATGGGGTAAAAACCAATATCTTTTCTTTCTCCAGCCGTCGTAATATTTCTTGATCTAGAATAAGCAAGCAAGTCAAATTTGTCATATTATCATTTGTATTGACAGAAACTGCACATTTGACATAAATCACATAATCTTACCTGTAATGAGAGCATCTGGCCTTGACTGTTCCTTTCTCCAGGCTGGGACAAAAACAGTGATGTCTTTGTGGCCTTTTTCTCTAAACCATTCCACAGCAAGTTGAATCCCACGGCAGGAGAATACTTCCTTGTTTCCATGGCTAAACACAAAAATATTTTAAACAATTACATACTTAACCAATGCACAACAGTAATCTGTAGTTTTGTTTTGTTTTTTACCTCATTGCAACATTTGAGCCATCAATCACAATGGGCCTAAGGTTGTCGTAGGTGTCTACTGATTCTTCTTCCAAGGACACCTCTGGACTGGCATTCTCTTTGACACATGGAGAGCGTGATACCAAAGTTGATAGATTAGTGCAAGTCTGAACTTCAGGATCCACCTTGTTCCCAAGCCTTACTAATTCTGCTAAAATATCATTAATCAGAGCAGCAGCACCGAGTTTGTTAAGCACAGCCTCCACTTGTTCACCTGAATAACCTAGTTTTAAAGCAAACTCCTTCTTGGCTTGATACTCCTTTTCACCAACAGATTTAAATGCTGGTACAGAGTTGCTAGTGTCATCCTCACGGGCATCCTGTATCGTACTACTCTGGGAAAAACTGGGTCGGTCGAGGCATGGTGAGCGGCAGAGTTGGCGATGGGGCTTGGTGATTGCGAGTGGGTCTCTCTTTCTGAAGCTGCTGTTGTTCACCTGAACCCGGGGGCACTGCTGGCCCTCAGATTCACTCTCTGAGCTGCTCCCATCCTCTGACTCGTCAGTGGCAGGCTGGGTCTCAGTTGAGTCAATGTTGTCCTCCCTGCATGGGTGTTTTTCCATTTTGAGCTTCACCACCATGGACCATGCCGTCATCACGTTCGTCTCGACACCTCACACTTCCACCCCATGTTTCCGAACCGCCACCAAAACCAGGGAACCATACTCAGCGCTAGATTTTACAGGCTCTGAACCGGGGGCCTCTGCCGCAGGCTTAAGATCAAGCTACAAAAACCTGAAAAACACAATAGATTATTATTTATTATCTCATTTTTTAAACCTTACCTTAAATAGATAGATAAATAGATAAATACGTTATCGATACTAAAGGAAATTCAATTCTTGGCAGCAGCAGCAACAATGAAATAAACATAATTATATAGCAGTGCAGTCTGCTACCTTAATCGATACCATCTGTATCACTAATACATCATATTAACACAGAGCCATACGTACTTGAGTGATCGACAAATAAAAACCTGAGGCATGTGGGTCGTGCACTGCACCCAGTACCTACAGGCCTTTCAAAGATTGAATATTCTATGGGAAACAGTTGAGAGGCCACTTGAAAACACTTCAAATTCATTTTTTTTTTTAAATGTACAAAACAAATCATACAAAAATGCAGAGGAGACGATGGCATATGCCTCCAGTCTTACAGAGGGTAAATGCATCCAGCACTGCGCTTCAAGAGGTGCAGCCCATGATGTTGGTTGCTAAGCAACACAGCCTTGTCATCGGCTAACTCCTTTTTACCAGTCACGACTAACACAAACATGCTCATAGCCTCTTCAGGCAGCCACCAAAGCTAAACATTGCAAATCTACAACTCTACAACACAACTCTAGGAACACACCTGATTGACTGAATTCATACAGTGCCTTTGAAATTATAAATATATTTTTATTAGACATAATTACTCGTTAAAATATGAAAATAATGTTTTTTGCCAAGAGACTGCAAAACTGCGGTGTTTTGAAGGTCAAGCAATGCTCAACACACATATTCTTTGCAACATGTTAATTCAAAATCAACACAATAAGCACTGCTGATACAGTTAGTAGGTCCACACAACCCCTTGGCATTTAATACAGCATTACATGTTTAAGGAGGCAGAATGCAGTTCTTCCTCTCCCACCTCCAGATCACAGGCACTGACAAAGCGAGGCCTCCAGACTGTGAGCACATGCACAGGCCCATGTGGCACTGTCTCATAGCAACAAGTGGACCTGGTTCCTGCTCCAGTCATGTTTTACTGACCCTAATGCCAGTACCAAGTCAAACTATGGACAGTTATGGACAAAGAAATGATTGACTAATGTGGGAAAACAAAAGCAAGGCAGTTTTCCAATCTAATAGTGGCAACTGCCCAGTAACACTACAACTATGTATGCCCTTAAAAGAAAGGTACTGCTTTGTTTGTTGCTGTAAAGATGACTTTACACAGAGGACTGCTGATTTACCCAATTTCAGTTTCTCATTTTCAAACCATAGACTGAATATAATGCATGTTCATAGGCAACAACATTTAACTACTAAAACATTTAACTTGTATTAAATTTCAGTGATATTCTTTTATAGGACATGCCTTGAATTGTTAGGTGAAGGATCACTGCCAGCTTAACAGTCAGACTTCCACTTTATGATATTGTAGCTTGAAACATCGACCACGTCAAAACAAACACCAAACCACCATCAGTACCATCTTACTGACTGAGTGACACAATCAAAGGTGAAATTATAAGACAGCCCCTAATATACAAAAGTAGTTGCTCTGGTTTGAGGCTTACACAATGCCATATTACTAACATTTGAGCACATTAACAACACTGGGCCTCGAGTAACGGGTGGCCAACTCCAAGCTAGCTATCAGTTTCATTTTGCAGCAGATGATAGACTATCAACCAACAGATTAAGTCAGTCACTTGTAAATAACATTACCCATATGAAGGGGTATCTCCGTACAGTCTTGTCATCAAATCCTTGTCTTAGTAAATTGGCTGATTTACAATAATATTAGCAGTTTCAACCTAATTTGCGTCGTTACCCGATTGGAATCAAAAGTAGTTTGCGCCTGCGCACCTGAGTCTGCCATGTTGGATACGGCAACGCTACACAGACAAACAACGTTATCGCTATAGTTTATTAGACTTCGCATTAATATAATATTATTTTACAATAACATACTTTTTCGGTAAAATTGTTTCAGCAGTTAGAATTAATGTATTAAAACAATGAATGCCAAATTATACACAACTCGAGGCCAAACGATCGGCAATTTTGTGTAGTTATTGGACAAATAAAAACACTCTAGGGTTCAATAAGTTAAAATGTACCGAATGAGATGGTCACATATATTTTTAGTGATGCTGATCGCCCTGTGGAGCGCAGCGTGCCTGACACAAATCGGGCAGTGAAGCGCGAGGTTGCTATGTTAGCGGCTACGCGTGGCTAATATTCTCCCGGAACATGATAGTAACTTGCCATAAAAGTTGATGGCGACATTATCGATAAAAACATGCCAAAGTAACACAATGAAGAATGCTAGCAACGTCAGATGCAAAAAAATCTTGCATCACGAACTTGAAACGATGCTGAGCTCACCTTGTTGTCATCCTCTCCTCTTGATACATTTATGTTTTGCTTCCATTGGCGCTGTCGCAGTTTGCTCAGGGTTGCCAGATACCAACAGAAAACAAGTGTGCGCTGTCGTGTAAAAATACCAGGGTCAGGAAAATATTAGTTCTATACATGTTTAGCATTAACACGACATTGTTCTGGTACATCCAAGTTTGACTTTACATCTTTCTATGTTTTCTACTATTATGTGTAATTTAAATATTTTTGCTAACCCCCAATTTACAATTTAAATTAAACGGCATTTATTCGCCTTGCTGGGACCCAAGCCAAAAAGGCGCACTTTGACATATGGTCGATCCTGGGACCTCTTAGTAAAGATAACAACCTCTCTAAACTCCACCATTGTAGCCTACATTTCTAGCTCTAAAATTAAGGCTATAGATATAATATGGTCGTGTATAAAAATCAAAGATGGTACTTCTATACAATCTGCTACAAAGACAAAAGTGCCAGAAATTGTTAAGAGTTTACAGAAAATAATCCGTTCTGCTGTGTTTATAAAGTTTATTATGTGTAAGGCAGTGTTTTACAATGGCAAAATAGTAACAGATTTCAAGGAAATCAACAATTTCATTAGTCAAAAGTTTGCATTCACTCTGATTACAATACAATGTGCAAATAGAAGTGACTTACACGATATAAAAAATACATTTGTTGCTAAAACTCTGAACCAAAATAAAAAATGCAAAATTTTATGCTTTGTCAAAACTCCAAACATCGTTATAAACCCAAGATAAAGGATGAAAACACCAAATAAGGCAAAGCTAATTTACATAAAATAGCTAAGCAATGTACTGTATTCATTTGCAACTAAATTGCTAAAAAAAAGCTATTTGTAGTGTCCAAAGCAACTTCAGAGAACAGTAAACAATGACTGAGACAAGTGGCATACAATTCCAAACGTGCAACAAAAAAACAAAAAAAACCCAGCCCTAAGGATGGTTGTTCAGCCAGTATTTTCTTTTGTTTGGAAATCAAGCATGAAAATGCCATTCAAGGCAATGAGGTGATAAAAAACAATGGAGATCAGTTTCCTGAAACTAATATTTTTGTAAAACGTCTGAAAAACAAATCACAAATACTATGCTTATGTTATGTAGTAATACAGAGAAAACAAATCCCTCTCTATCTTAGAGCATTACCAATAATAATAATAATAATAATAATAATAATAATGTACTTAAATTATGTGATTCTACCACAACTTTTATCACAGTATTTAACATTTCAGTTTTTTGTGTTAAAAACACATACAAGCACATACACACTTAGCAACAATTACTCCTTCCATTGTAACACACTCATATAGGCACTCCGCAAAATACCTGGCAAATTAGAGTAGAATTTAGTTGTACTTAGTTTGATCAACAGAGAGAGCTGAATTGATAGAATGTTGAGAAATAGCCTCTCTAGATGGATTATAAGACAACGTGCTAACAGCAGCTTTATCAAAAAGATGTTCTTCTTGATCATTTAACAGTGAACCATCTTCCATCATTTCAGTGTAATAAAGAGAGGTGTGAGGTAAACAAGAATCTGTCTGCAAAGGGAGATGACACTTTCTGTTATAAAGTTCTGGACTTGAAAATAATTCAGAAGAAGCACTGTCGGACGTACTGGAGTAAAGACGCAGTGATTTACTGCTATCAGTGTTCAGTGTAACAGAGGTTTTGGTATCAAGTTGGGTTTGATTCATACTTTTACAGGTTTTTACAGGTATGGGCATGGTCGAACAAAGACTCAAAGCCATGTCTGACTTAGTTTGCCATGGTGATGTAATGCTGCCATCTTTCAGGGGTACATGCAGACTTTTGTGAGATGAGGATCCTCTCTCCCTTTCCATCAAAAAACATGAGGGCAAAGCACCTCTGTGGTTTTTGCATTTTTCAGGCATGTTTAAGTCCAAGTCTTCAGTGTCCAAAGATCTACTTCTTCTGTCCTGAGACAGCGGGGCAGGTAAAAATTGGCTCACTTTACTAAGGCCCAGATGTCGAGGAAGACTTGCTATTGCCCATGTATTACTTAGAAGGTTCTGTTCATAAAGATCCAACGTCTGATAGTCGCATTCAGCAAATGCATCCTTTTGCAGGTAACTTTCTTCAAACTCTTGATATGGAGAGGAAAGCTCCTCTTCCATGTCCATCTGTATCTGTTCATCATATTCCCCCTCATTGTGCATATTCACCACATCAAACGTGACTATGGCGGGTAAGGCCTCCATGTTAGGAATGAAGGCTGGACTCGTTTCCAGACTATCCATATTGTTGTGCAAGTTACTCATCATCTGAGTGCGTTTAGTGAAATCTTCAAGTGCTTGTGAGAAACATACAGTTTGTTCATTGTCCACATCCTCGATAACCTCTGTACACTGAGTTTTAATGTTTCTGTATGGTAAAGCCACTGGCTTGTTTTCTTCAAGAAGCTGTTCTTTAGGCTCACAGAAGGTTTCAAAATCTGGGTCAGATGTGCTACCAAAGGATATAGCACTGTGTCGTTTCACATACTCAGCATCTGGAGATTTTCTAGCAGAAGCACTTGTTTTCATATTCTTGTTAACAAAGGCCTGTGATTCATGCAGACCAATTGGGTTTTGTGTAAGTTCTGGGGGTTTACTGCATGGCATTTCTAGAAAACTGTGAGCTTCGTACAGCGAATCATCTAGTTTTAAATCATTTATGTCAGGGAGAAAGGCAGGGTCTGTGAATTCCACTGGCTTATTTAAATACTCACTCTCATCTGAACCAGAGAGCAGTGACTTCTTTTCATAATGCGGACTGATAAGACTTTCATCTGGTGCAAAAAGTTCATAGAGGGCATCACCACTGTAGCTGTCCCGGGGTAATCTATCTGGCTGCAGCCTCTCTGCCTTTTCTTGACCCTCCTCTGGCCCTGGAGTAGTTGAGTCATAGTAGCCTTCGTCGCTGTTTGGGACAGACTCTTGATGTTCACTCTGAGGAGTCAACACATCTGCAGTGGAGTTGTCAGCTCCCTGTTGTGCACTATTGCTGTTCATCAAGTCCATATTGTGAGATCCTGTCAGTTCAGTGCTCAAATCTGTGAGATCCTGGTTACAAGCACAACATATTTCCTCTGATGCATCGTTAACCCACATATTGTCTGGATACTCTTCGCCCAAATCTTCCGGACAGGCCATATCTTCGCCACCTCCCTGATAAGTTAGATAGCAGGAAGCCCTCTTGCCCCCATTTCGACTCCGCTCCCCAGAAACAGTGCTCTCTGTGATGCTATCATCTTCTTGATCTGCAATTATGTCTCCACAGCCTGTGAGTGAGTCAAAACTCTTTAATGAGGCTACATCTTCAAACATTACATTCAGTTGCTCACATGAACCAGCAGTGGCTTCTGACTTCAGCATAGGTTCAGGCACCATTTCCAATTTTAAACATGGGTCACTCTGCACTCTGGACAACTCCTCATAATCGCTAGAAACTAGTGCTACTAGGTTAACCTCATCTATTTGATTATCATTTAGCTCATGAACAAACTTAGATTTTGGACTATTTTTCATTAATACGTGCCCCTCCAAATCTTCTGTGCATTGAGGACCAACAGTGTTATCAAAGTCAGGCACATCTGGTTCAGATCCCAGGCACTCTGTAAGATGCTGTTCAGTGTAGCTCTGGACAATAGGCACCTGGGTTTCACTCCGTGTTGCAAATATTTCTCCTTTATCTATCCCATTTCTGTTGTTTCTGTGCTGTTTTATGCTTTGAAAGAGACTCCTTAACCCTCTTTTCTGTCGGGGGAGACTCAGAGATTTCTGATCAACTGAGGAGGGACTTAATTTATTGTGACAACAGCTGTGGAGATCCGCTGCAACATCCCTGTGGCTGTCATACACAAAGGCTCCAGCAGAGGCATAGCCACCTCTGTGATTGTCATCATGGCAAACTTTACTGAGCCCATCATGTGTTTTGCTTTTGAAGATGGCTTTTTTAGAAGACCACTTACTCAGATTTTTACTTCTCCCCACGAAAAAGCTGGGCAAGATGCAGATTGTTTTACGAACACCAAAAAAGGTCAAGGCAGTTCTCCTAAACTTTCCAGACTTTTGAGCTTTCACAGCTGTGTTTGATTCACTAGCCTGGAGCTCCTCTGTGATCTCATCAGGTGGACAGCATGACAGGTGATCAGAGGGAGACTCCTTGGAATCATCTGTGATTGAGGAAGCCATAGCCATCACTCGTAACACGCCTCAAAGACTGGGCATGTTATCAGAAGATCAGCATTAATTTACAACTCCCCCTGTAAAACAGTTTTTACATTATCAGTTATTTTACAAGCTAATAATTTGCGATTTGTGAAGACTAAGATAAAAGTGAAAGTACACATTTTTCTTACAAATCTAAATGGGTTCTCTTCACAATAGAATTTAAAACTTCTACTACTGCTACCTACTAAAATTGTACAACTTGTTAACTACTACTCAAGGAACCCCAAGTACAAACACAGTTCTACAAGCTCAATCAACAGTGAAACATAATACTGTCATTTTATCGTTAGTCAAAGGAACTCACATTTCAATTTCTGTAGTGTTTGTAATTGTCAGAATGAGAAATTGTTGAGAAAACCTCCTTCTCTCTTTAAGATACCAATGCAATAAGCATTACATGGTTCATTGAAACACATGACCCTGACACACTTAAATAAAAGTATTGTTTGTAGATTCAAGAACTTTAAGGCCATTACCTCTGGAATTTTTTTTGAATGATCAGTGTGGATTAGACTCTCCTTGCTCCATGTATCCATTAGGTTCAATAAAACTTGATATTCAGTTTATTTGCCCTTTCCTAAAAACAGAAAAACACAGAGGCACATAAGAATAAGAAGTAAATTCATGTGTACATTTGAGTCGAGTTTTGAAGTGGTGGTGGACATTTTGGTAAAATGGTGGAATCATTGAAATATACTTTGATTCACCTCCAAAGGAAAATTCTTTAAAACCATGAATGAAAACGTTTATATTCACTTACAGCCTATATGCCACATACTTACTAATAAGCGTCACACCACTGTTTTTTGCATACATTAAATATTCATAGAATTGAATTCGTGCAAATAGTATATGCACATAACATCGATCTGACTAATCAATCCAGAAAGTAAACAAACTTACCAACATCGGCCACAGGAAGTCTTTCGCTAGCTGGTAGTGATGAGAACAGGCTTCTCTAGACTAACCAATAACTGAAAATGGCCACAAACTAACTATCTAGGGGCTTAACTTTATTTGGTTTATCCTAAAATCCGTACTCTGTCCACCGACGTCGTGCAAATAAGGTTTCATTTGTTTGCAGCCACAGCTAGCCGCGGCTCCGCTAACAACGCACAGCAGTTTGTAACGGGATACAGCTGCTAACGATGCAGGTAACTTGGATTTTTACGGCAAAGACTGTGGAAAAGTCCTCCAACACATAATACAAAAAGTATCACGCACTGAATTGTATTCACGCATTAATAAACATCGAACAAGCAAAGGCAGTGTTTAAATAGGTGGCGAAGTTGCTTCTCAGGTAAATTTGTCCAAATCCTTTCGTGGTTCTGCTGTCGGCGCACGTTAGTGACGCAACATGTGTACGCGTTACACCCCCCCCGTCCCTCTTTCTAAAAAATGTATCAATGTACTAATGCATTAATGGGTCACCAACAGACAGCTAAATAGTTGTACTGACGTACTCAATATATAAATCAATATAATTAATCTTTTATTCAAGCATATTTCACAGAAATGTATAGGCAATAATTTCACATAGGCTATGATTAGTCGTTTGTTACACATCTAAGCTCTCACAGTGTTTCAAAGAATGTCTGCTTGTATCACCATTGTTTTTATATAACAATGGCTTTTTCTTTATGTCCTCATGTTTTGGATTGCCTGGTATCTGTCCACTCCATTTTGGTGTTTTGCAGTGCCTGGGTCTTCTTCTCATCCACTTGCACATAGTCTACGCGGTGTTCATCTGACAAAAATGGTTTCTGTAAAGCACAAGACAGACATGCATTCTTTGTCACTATTTATACAGGTACATTATTTATTGTTAGACATAGTAAAATTCATTCTTATTGGGCTTAATAAATCTAGTTCTACAGCACCATTGACTGTGTGCAATGCTGTAGACAGAACACACCTTTTGTACTGGAGATGGTGACGCAGAGTTAAAATCTAGTGATAAATAGTCAAGGTTGGATTTTCTCGCTGGTGGCAGTACTGCACTGTCAATGCTGTATAAGAAAGAGTGTCTTGACTCCTGTAAAAAAAAGTATATGTTAGATTATCATAGTCTCATTTTATAAATGGCTCTTACTTGTGAGGTTGAATTTAATCACAGGATTTGTACACAAAGTATTTTGTATGTATATTCTAGCTCAAAAGTTTATTTTGAGATATAAATATAAATACATAAATGAATTTTTTACAGTATTTACAGTTATATATGATAAAATTTAATTGTGAAATTACATTAGTGCATCCAGTGTCTTCAGCATGTGTGATGTCACCATTTGTCATAAAGCTGTAATTTGGGGAAAAAAAATAATAATAATAGTGAATATTTAAACTTTTAAAGTGCAATTTCAAAACTGTCAGTCAGGATTACTCAAAGCATCTCTATATAAAATATATTTACCATGTGTCAGTCATTGTTCTGTTCAAAGCAAGATGTGTAGGACATTCTGTGATAGTGGAGAGGCCTCTCAAGTCAAGTGGAGGAGGTCGAGCTGGAAACAGTCAGTGTGTCAATAACTGCATATCATAATTACTTTATGTCCACATATCCTTACTCCATTTCATTATACTTCACAGTAGAGTGATATTATCTCTCACCTCTCCTTAACCTTGGCTTGAGATGACGGTTAATGGGTGGGGGGGCGATCTCTCCAAGCTGAGACATGAGGGAGCTGAGATTTGGAGGGGATTCTGTGTCTCCACAGGCCCTGGGACTCATGGGGATGTACCCATCCCCATCAGTGTTGCTAACGGCGACCGTGGGAGGGGACATGGGGACATAGGACTCTTCTTCGTATGTCTGAACTCTGGTGGTATTTAAAGGCTAAATAGAAAGAGAGCATCATTAGATTTATTTATTAGTTTGTTTATTTCATTCATTTAGTATAAAAAGACATCAACAGTGTCCTAATATTAAACATACAAGTAATGAATGAAAAGGAGCAGAAAAAAGAGTAATCATATATTATCTGCCCCCCTAGATCTGACAAAGAATAAACAGCACCATTTAGAGAGTGGGAGAGAGAGGGAGAAAGAGAGAGAGATTCATATATAGATGAAACATTTGTTCATCACTGTTATTCTGTATTATATACCGTATTTTAATCAGCTTTCAGTACTCATAAAATCACCACATGGGGTCAGTAGAGAACACACAAATAAAAAAGTACATTTAAGGTTTTCTTACCAAATTTAAACTTTGTCTCCTGTCTCTTAACATTCTGCTTTCAATATCCCCTAAAACACAGTTCACATTTGTGTAAGACCAGACATTCTGTGAATACTAAAAATGTTGTTTATATTTTCCCATATGTATGAAAAATGGGTATAGGTATGGTATAGTTGAGTACAGTATATTGCTATTACCTGAGTGTACACTACAGATATGGTATTTATTCATTAGGATAATATATGTCTGTAGGATATTAGCTCTACAGTTATTTAGCTGGAGAAAATGGGTAGCGAGTGACACAAATATCTTTCTTTTGAGACAAAGCTTTTTATGATATGGAAATTCATGCAAGAAGCTTTGGGCCGATGTCTACCTAGTTATATTTGTATATAGTTGTACTGTTGCTTTTGGAGTGTACCTGGTCTGAAGTGGTCTAAGCTGGACACAGAAGTTCTTCTAGCGAACAGGGTACAGTGGCTGGAGATGTGGCGAGCACTCAAGGCTCGTGGTGGATGGGGGCCTGTCTCACTGGGCTGCTCCGGAACATTGCAGGGTTTTGGGGGCAGTGGAGGGGGTGTTAGTCTTTCAGAGGCTGCATCAAAAGCTGTGTCAAACTGGAAGACGCTTGCTGCACAGTGGCGCCGAAGAGGGGATGAGGAGGAGCAGGGTAGGACCATAGAGGGACAGGGAGCGCTGAAAGGTGGATGGGACAATCTACAGTGACTGAAGACACAGGGGCTGACACTGGGGTAGGACAGGGACGAAGAGGAGTCTGTGTAAAGAGGGGAAGGCACAATGTCTCTGTGTGTGTCCTCGGATGACCTCTGCTCCAGGGAGTAGTCTGAGTTGAAGCTCTCCTGTCTGAATACAGTACAACAGATAGACAGATAAATTATTAAGCCTTTTTAGGAAGTAAGTTTGTTGCAGCACCTCATTATACAATCACAACAAAACCTACATACATTAATTCCTCCACACATTCTAAAAGTGCAAAAATGTGCACAGATATTATATAATACACATATGTACAGTTTAAAGGTCCTATATTATATAAAATTGACTCCTGTGAGCTTTCAGCCATATTACAATGCTGTCACCTCCTCGCTAACATACTTGAGTTGTGTTTTGTCTCATTCATACATGTCTGAGTAACCATTATTGCATTATTAATCTCTAAAACTCAAAACGCTCTTTTCTACCTTGTGATGTCATAAAGCTGTAGTTTTTAACTTCAACAGCTCCTTTTACCTTTAGTTCAGTGGAGAATGGGGACTTTAGGGCTGAAATTATCCAAATTATTCTAGTGAAGGTGTGTGAAGTTTAAAAACACAGTGGACGACTTCCTGTATAACTCCATGACCTCACAAAGTGGAACAGACTGTTTTTCATTTGAGAGAAGAACTCAATCTAAATATGCAAGACTTGACAAAACACAGCTCCAGGTGTGTTTGTGAAGAGGAAACAACATTATAACATAGATCAGAAAATAGCAAGACACCACTGTACAGACCTGCTGATGCTGACACTCCCTGTCTCGCACTGAGAGAGGAAGAGGTAGTCTGGGGGGTAAGTACTGTCCACTTGACTGACCACTGAGGCAGTGTCAGAGCCATCAGGAGAGGGCTGCAGAGAGATGGGCGTGTGGGGGAACCCGTCCTCAGAGCTCTCTGTGGAAGACAATGCACGTGATATAAGAGACTTGAACAGGTGAGCATTAGTCAGACACAAGATAAGACAGGACTTTTGTAAGTTTAACTGACTTAACTGACAAAAAGAGCATTGAACCATTGCATAAACAATACAATAATGCAGAAATTTATGAGTCAATAAGAGAAGAAGGTACTAAATGTATCACAGGGTGAATTTTACTGTAAGTATACGATGTAAAATTATAGCCTATACCTTTATGTAATGATGCTGTAGAGCGAGGTCAGTAACTTTCTTTAAACAAGATGACTTTATTGCACGAATAACATTAAGTTAGACACATTTAATTTCTGTCGCTCTTTCCATTGTTTACATATTTTTTAGATTCTTCAGTCAGGTTGGCCTGTGCTCACAAATGTCTTTCATTCCAATTATCTCAAGGCCACAGTCAAGGCTAGTCCTACACAGCTACACAGGAGGGTTTGCTACGAGGGAAAAAATCATCTGCTCATAAAACATCTGCGATTGTTCACTGTGACTGCAAAAAAAACCTGTCAGAATTTTACAGTTTTTACAATATCAGCTGCACATAACAGCTAGCATCCACTGTAGCACTGTGCTACGAGATGCAAGAAAGCCACTGGTGCCACATCAAATCAACCAATCTGAATCATCTGACTATTAATTTCCTTCTGTGTTAAAACGAAACACAAATCATTTGTCAAATAACAGAGACTAACTAAATTCAATACCTATCCAACAAAGCCAATGCAAACGAAGTTCAAAACATCTCCCCTTTAACAGTAGGACTTTGTTACACTTCTGGTAGGCTGTGGATCTTTATTAAAATATAGACTTAATAATTGTTTCATTACTAAATTGTAAAGCAGGCAGGATCTACAAGTAGTACATCATATTCAAAGCCAATATTTGATTAGACTTAACTACACAAAACAGTGAAAGTGAATATACTAAAAGTAAATATTACTTATTACTTTCAACAGACACACCTACTTACACTAGACCACAACCATGTCGTTTCCTGTAAAACAAGTGAAAATAGACCACAAAAGTGTTTTCAACTAACTAACCAGCATCTTCCAGGGTCCCAAAGTGGCAGATTTGATTGATGTTGTCGATCCAGCCATTCATCTCTTCCTCGGTTTTAGCCACCAGGTAAAAGATTCGGGAGGAGGTCTTCACCACAAACAGGTGCTTCCCGTGAAAGTCCCTCTTGATCCGGAGCTGTCCGTCCAACATCTCCACCTCGCACTCCTTCAGGTCAATGGTGCGGATGGGCTTTTTGGAGTTCTTACTCTGATAGTATTCCAGCACATCAGGGTTGCCGCTCATGCGGCCTCGACGCAGCACAAACCAGCGTTTCCTCCAGGCCTGAGACAAGAAAAATAACATTATATTATTTTTAAGTGCATTTAAGATGAAAGTATACTTCATTCATTCATTCTCTGCATTTGATCCAGACCTTAAGCTCGGCTTAGTCAAGACCACCAACCTGGATTTCTCAACATTGTGATATTTTAATTGACAAAATTATGTCCATGCCACTTTCTCAAAGCTGCATAAGATGAGAAACATCCATAATTACTTAGCCTTAAAAATTCTTGCCTATTCACAGATCAGTACTGATAGTTGGCACACTTAAAATCCTTCAACTGTATGAAATAGTAACTTTTGCACAAGAGCATTTTATGCAGATATATTTGAGAAAACTATAAAATGGTGTTTTATTTCTGAAATAATTAAAATGTCATGTCCTTAAGGAAAACAGTGTTTGTAATCCATATACATACTGTACATGCATGGGCCAACACAAGTCTCTTTTTAAAACGCCGCTGGCATACATCTGATGTGTGGAGAACATTTAGGGTATTTGATGAGCTACATCACAGCTCCTGTTGTTTAGAATAATGTAATTATACAAATTATGCATTTTTTCTTTTTTCTCTGTGAAATAAAAACAAATCAATCAATAAAATAATAAAAAGCCACATGTATGTGCTTAGTTTATAATGTAGTGCACTACATCCTCATATTGACTGAAAACAAACATATAATAATGACACTGTTCAGAAATAGGTGCGCTCCTTCTCAAACTTCTTTTTTCTTCTCAAATGTTCAGTGGGCGGAACTTGAGCACAAATTTCCCAGAAGCACAGAGAAGAGGAACCTGCCTGTATTAAAGTAAAATGACTAATACGTTGAGAGAAGTGTTGTTGACTTATATCTCCAAGCAACTGAATTTGATTTTTACTGGACTTAATATAATTATATAATTATATTATTATTTTGTGGCAAATTTCAACAGTTGAATATTGAAAGTAGCATAATTCACACTTTGACACCATTTCACTCTTAGGTTGTGGTTAGCTGAATGCATGTTTGGAGCAGCACGTCAGTTTCGGCTACCGCTATTTTTGAGGTATAACGTGAAAGAGCTTGGGATTTTTTGTGTGTGTATGTGGTCAAATCTTCCACAAGATGTTATAAATGTCCGTTTTTCTTGTATTTCTCATAACAGAGACACAGCATAGCTTTGAAGTTGCAGGGCTAAAATGTCAAACCACAATACAATACTTTGTAAAATAACTAGTTATACAGTAATATACCCCGAGAGACAGATGTGATTATTGCTCATTGACAAAGTAGGCCACTTGTGGTGCAGAGGATTGTTTCACTGTTGTGACATAGTATAGCAGAGTATAGTAGTATGGTAAGAAATAATACTTGAAATGGCTTGGTCATGAACTATTTAATATTGATAGAATTTTTATGTTATAAGGTTATAATTTATTGCATACTAATTTTACCATGTATACTAATGATCTCTAAAGCCATTTCATATATGGTACTATAAAATTCTCTATGACACAAAAAAGGATGCAAGTTCAGCCTTATGTGTACTGAAAAGTGAATCTGAAATACATGACAACACACACATGAACCTTGAACTGGAAGGAGGTGGAAAATAAAACAATGGACTTTCCAGAGAGTTTTGCTTAGATCTGCTTACACAGAAATTGTGTTTTTGATACTCTATCAGCAATTCAGTTTCAGTTCATCATTATGACATAGTACTGTTTAGTTTACAAAAACATAACTTAACAAATCAGATGATGTTTGCATGTTTATAAATCATGTGTGGTTACATATTCTTAGGGTTGCAACAATTAATCAGAATAATTGTTTTGACCATATTTAGATAATCGCAATCTTTAACATTGGCATTACTAAATCAAAAAGCCAAAAAATAAACATTTCCTATAACTATAGTTCCTATAACTACAAGCCTAATATTTCAACTTTTATCTGGTTAGTCAACTACTAAAATAATTCTTATATGTAGTAGTATAGTATTTTGGTTTCCCATCTAACTGCTCCACACAAGCACAAACTGGTGTGTATCTGGCTGGTCATTTGAATAAATGAGCAGACAGGGTTTTACATATTGGATTGCCTGATCTCAATTTGCATGGTTGTCCAAAACATTGCCTCTACACCCAACAAAACAGAAGTTAAGTTTTTCCGAGTAGCCTTGTTGACAAGTTTAGCTCTTCTGGAATCAACTTTGAGGGGAACTGCAAACTGGACTATTTCTGTTTGTCGTTTAAGTGTTTTTGATTGCTGCTGACATGACTTCCCATGTTTCACAATAGACATCGCACACACACACGCACACACACACACACTTTTAGCTCATGTAAGTGGCTAGCCCAACATTATCACATGACCCCAACAACCACACAACAGTGAGGTCTATATGTTGTTTATCACCATTTTACATTGGGCTCCAAGTCAACAGAATACAGTTGAGATAGTGTGAGGTTGCTGGTACTAATGAGATAAAACCATGCAAACCGTTATTCATGGAAATAGGGGAATAGGAATTTTAACTGCTTTTGGTTCGGTTCAAACTGACAAAAAGCACACTATGGCCACCACATAGTGTCTCATTATGAAAGCTCGAAGCAGGCATTCAAGAGCAGGGGCAAAATGGACAATGACAGGACGTAAACAAGTGGTGTCTGTGTGTGCATGGCTACTTACAAATCTCTTGAGTTTCTTCTCAGGGGGAGATTTGATGAGCCAGCCGGTGCAGACCACGTCGCCAGCACTCATGTTGACTGCAGAGGGAGAGAGAGAGTGTGGTGTCCTCCTCACTGTTGGACGCAGGCGGCTGATGCTACGGCTACCACCTCCACAACTGCTGCTGCTAATACTGCTGCTGTAGCTGGGAGGGCTGTCTGGGACTGCATATCCTGTGCTCTGCTATTCAGAATAGGCAGCCAGTCCAAAAGGAGGAAGTCAAGAAAATGATCACACTGACAGAGAGAGAGAGAGGGAGAGGGAGAGAGAGAGAGAGAGAGAGAGAGAGAGAGGGAGGGAGGGAGGGAGAGTGGAGGAGGGAGGGGGTGTATTTTCTCAAGGGCACCACCAAAGTGATGGAGCTGTGTTGTCCTGTGGAGGAGTGAGAGCAGAGGAATATTTTAGATGATGACGCCAGCATGAGTGGGCTAGTGAAGGCAGCATGTTAAAGTGATATGTAATCATTTTAATCACCTCTTTTAGCTTTTCATTTCTGGAACTGTCACAGAAAATCAGTGATACTGTGTACCCACTGTAGATCCTATAGCCTAGATTATGGAGTGTGCCCCACTCGGGCTAGATTACATCAACCACCACTACTACCACACTTCTATTAATACGTTGTTACTAGTTTTACTACTGCATCTCAATTTACATAGGCCCAATGTAAAAAAAAAATATATATATATGTATGTTTACATTTTATTGCAATGGCTTATGGCTACTCTACAACACTTAATTGTTTGTTTAATTCTAATTTTGCCTTATCAAACCTTTAAATTTAAATTGGATTTTCTATTAAGTCACATACATGGTGGCTTGGTGGTTTTGTTTGTTTTCAGCTCAATTTCTCTAAAACCAGAAGTGGCTTTAGTCACAGAACTGATAGCATCTGATTTGCCTTACATGATCCTGCTGCTTACCAGTAAACAGCCTGTTTTATGAAAAACAATGTACTATATTAAGCCTAGTAAAAGACAGTCATGTAATGACCTTTTAGTACAGAAGTATTTTATTAGGCCTATCTTCATTCAGGCCCAATCTCCTGGCATAGGTATAAATTATATATTTGTAGAAAGAAACATATGTCATCTTAATGTTGTCTTTCTTGATTAATTTCCATCTTCCACGATATTCAAGAATAATGCAGAACATATAGATATTTCTTGAGTGGATAAAACTAATTTTAGATTAGCTCACGAAAAGCATCATGTCTGCCGTAATTTACTAAAACCTGCTTCCACTGGGGGCCGCTATGGCTGACCTAGTTTTGTTAATAAAATTACTTATTCTGAATCATAAATTACGATGACAGACGCATTTTAGTGTGCTTTGAATTTATATTAGAGAGGCGCCTTTAAGCCTTGTGCTCGCTTTGGAAGAAGAAAAAAATCCGGCAAATTTTTTTTTCTCCTCCAGTCTCTTCCAGAGACCTCCAGTCTCTCTCTCTAAAACCTTCAAATTAGGCAAGAAATCTAGGGGTAATAATGGACTCAGACTTAAACTCTAACAGCCACATCAAATCAATAACATCTGCAGCCTTTTACCATTTAAAAAACATAGCAAAAATCAAAGGTTTACTGTCTAAAGCAGACTTGGAGAAACTTATCCATGCGTTTGTCTCCAGTAGGTTAGACTACTGTAATGGTCTGCTCACTGGTCTCTCCAAACGAGCTGTGAGACGCTGCAGAACATCCAGAACGCTGCAGCTCCGGTCCTTACTCGAACTAGGAAGTACAAACACAAGTCCTGTGCTCAAGTCTCTGCACTGGCTCCTGTGGCTCAGAGAATAGACTTTAAAGCAGCTCTGCTTGTGTACAAGTCTCTCCATGGCCGAGCACCAAAGTACATCTGTGGCATGTTAGTGTCATATGAACCATCTCGCACTCTGAGGAGCTCAGGGACCGGCCTCCTGCTGGTGCCCAGAGTCAGGACTAAACAAGGGGAGTCAGCGTTTCAGGTTCATCCAGCTAAAACCTGGAACAGTCTTCCTGAACATGTGAGACAGACTCTTCTGTGACGCTGTTTAAATCCAGGCTCAAAACATTTCTGTTTAACTGTGCATATAAGTGAAAGGTTTTCATTCAGCACTCTTCTCTCCAATTTATGTCTCTCTTTTTTAATTTGAATCTTCATGATTATTTATGTTTTGATTTGTTTTTATAATTATTTTAATGTATTTCTTATTCTGTAAAGCACTTTTAATTACTTTGTGTACGAATTGTGCTATACAAATAAACTTGCCTTGCCTTGCCTTGCCTTATCTTATTATCTTGGCTAATTGTTCTAGGCTACGTAGGCGACATTAAAATCTAAAGTCATAGAAATACTTGTGGCAGTAGTATTAACAATAAGTGTGCGTCTGTGTCACAATTTATTAATTAGGAAAAAAGTTGAGCATCTTTTCACGTCACTCGTGTAGCCAGTGGGGGGCAGCATTGCAGCATGAGTACATCGATACTACAGGTATTTTAAAGAAAGAAGTACAGATTTGTCACCAGAGATCTTTTTAAGAGCGAGAAACTCACCTCAGCGCCACTTATTCAACAAATAAATACATGTGCATATCTAGAAATTGCGTTAATAGATTGTATGAAAATAAAACCTTAACAAAAACTTGTGTTGATAACAAACGAATTCATCTTATGCCGCAAGTCGTTGTTTCAGTTTGATAATATTAACAAATCTCTTCCTGGAAATAGTCTTTGCCATTACCCATGTCTCCTCTGCAATGTATGACCTGCTCTGGCCTTGCCGTGCAGAGTGTGGCTAGTGCTCGTTGTGCACTCTGGGGATCATTTTGAAGGGGACCAAGTCTGCTTTTCCGTTCGACAAATTCACTATTTAACCGAGTCTGTTACAGCTCCAGTCCAGGCACAATGTTGAAATGTAGAGCTCTCTGGAGGAAGCTAGCACCTCTCACTCGATCTGCATCTACAGTGTGCCGGCATAATGTGAAAAGCACAGGTAAAGTGTCAAACTAAACTAAGTCTGTTCGCTGGCACTCGTCCCATCAGTTATTTATTGCCTAAGCTATGTCAGTGTGCAATGTTACATGGCACGAAATGGTCCCAATATGGTCCCAATATGTTCCCCAAAAATGCTGTGACCTCTACATTGGTTCCTTTAAGCTAACAGAGTACTTGTTAAAGGAAACGTGGTGTTTGTAAGGAAGTACTGAGTAGTTACTTTGTATAGGTAAATCAGTAAATGCAAGTTTTTTTTAAATAATGAAGATTGTGAAGTGGAAAACCGTTTTGTAAATATGCATGGCATTTGGAAGTTTTTAGCCGACCCACTTATGTTAAAGGTCGTCACAAAAAAGCAACATGCGTTTAAATAACTTTACTGTAATATATTGCTAAAGACAGTTGCGTTATTGTGCATCAACAACATTGATTTCATACTGTTGTTACATTGCAGACATTTTAAGAACAGCGAGCCTTGAGCTTGTAAAACAAAAGTAGGTGGCAAAGTATTCTTTGGCAGATTTTGAAGAGAACATTAATGTGGGAACATTTAAAGATACACTTTAGAGGTACAGTATGTGACTTTCTGGATGATTCTATACCATCCACCAGGCCAAATAAGAGTTTGACTCTTATTTGTGGAGATGTAAGTTGTTCACCGTAAAGATGCATGTTTTCAGTTTTGGCTAAAGAAGTTACCCACTTTTTTTTTTCTTCATTTTTTTAAATCCAACAAGAATAAATCCAGGCACAGGGGAGCACAAGCTGCTGTTGCCTTTGTAGGATTCCCATCAGCGCAAATAGGCTATTGCTATTCTTTAGGGCAGCAGCTAGTTGTTTAGTTGATCGATCGGTCAATGGAGTCTTAGTCAACCAAAATGTGTATTAATCAAGAAACCATTTTATTTTTTTGTGCATAAATTGTTGTTTCAGCATGAACTCCCATGCAGTGTGAGTGGAGTTTGGGTGAGATACATAGAGATAATAGTTTTGCCACGCCACCTTTTTAGTTAACTAATTGATCAACAGGGCATGTCTTTAGTAGACCAAGAATTTTTTTTTTGTTGACTACAGCCCAACTATTCATCCTGGGGTCTATTAATATAAACAATAAATTTCCTCTAGCCCCAATGTGTAGAAAACCTAATTTTTAAGGGTATATAAAACATATTTGGGACAGGTTAGATGGGAGACCACCGGGAATACCACGTGCTACAGAAATCCCATGATTATGATATAATGATATTAATGCTGTGCCTTTTTTGCAGCATTAAAGAATGGCAGAACACAGGTTCTTGTACCTGCGGCACACATGTCGACAGGGCCGGCAGGAGGTGGAGGCAATGAAAACGCTATCTATGTGATGCTGGTTGGAGCAGCCTGTTTAGGAGGTGGTGCCTATGTGAGTAATCTCTTCATTCCAAGTTTTAAGAGGTGTCATGAGATACAGAGGATAGGGTGGGTTATAGAATTTGATGGTGTCATACTTTCAGATAAAGGGCAGCGGGCTTTCTAACACTTGGGTTTTTGAAAGAAATATTCAACGTTATGATCCACAAATATTGAACCCTATTATTTCTAAGGGATTGGCTCCACAAACATTCAATATTGTCCTTTTTAACTGACAACAGTCATTTTGTGGTTGAATAACAGCACCAATTTTTGAAGCAATTGTGATCAAATATTTTGCCTTTTTTATTTTATGCTGGTCAAGAAGATGTTTAATATTGTTCCCAGTTTTGTTTCACATAGAGCCCATGTATTCAGAGATATTATTAACCATAAACTAGGTCAAAACATTAGCAATCTCACAGATGACAAATTCCACTGTAATACTAGAATGTTATGTCACATGAACATAGCTTATTGAGTGGTGCTAATAAATGTTGTATTCTGCCCCCAGGCCTACATGACAGTAAAAGGAGACAGTAAAAGGTACGAAGAGCGTATTTTAGAAATTTCATCCAGATCATCAAAACAAGCCCCGGAATCACAGCCTCTAGGTAATCAAAGAATCAAATAAAACAAACAACAAACAAACAGTTGATGCACTGGGGAAAAGCAATTATTTTTCCTACTCTTTCTACACTGTCTTAAACCTTATTTTCCTGTAGTATCCCCAGAGCCAGAGGAGGAAGCTGCCGACACGAGTGAGGAGTCCATTCCTGCTGCTGAACCCCCTGGTGAAACAGAGTCAGCCTCAGGTAGTCTGCTTTTCTATAAATACATGTGCCTCCTGTGTAAACTGTCAGTG